CCTTTGACTCCACGCCGGATTCAGGCAAGTCGCGGCACCTCACGCTCTCGGTCCCCACTCTCGTCACGCACTCACCTTCACACCACACAGGGTGGCCATGCGTCAGAGAGGGGGGATCCGAAGGGTTTGGTAAGCAACAAGGCGCTCAGACCGGGTCAGTGGTCCGAGTTGGCTCATAGGGTCGTCGCTGCGGCCGTGGGATCATCCACCATTGTAGGTTCCATTGAGGGGGTTGACGTCCGGATGTTGGTCGACACGGGAGCGTCGGCGACCATCATCTTGGACCTCATTTACAACATCTTACCCAACAAGTGTTGTCCACTGCGGACTGTTGATGTGCCGTGATTTGCCGCTAATTGGGGTTCATTGGGGATAAATGGCAGGATCGACGGCCAGATCCGCATTGGCGATGTTAAATTGGAAAGGCCTGTTTTGGTTTTGTCAACCCTCGCCATTCCATGCCTCTTGGGCACGGACTTTTTGGCAAGAATGCCCATCAAAATTCTCATCAACCAAGGGTGTATCGAGCTCCCCTCCGGCCAATGCATGGATTTCTTGCCCTCACCCACTCGCTTGCGCACGGCATTCGCCACAGTTCAAGCGTTGGCGTCTCGTACGGTTCGCGTTCTGGCTGGCTGTTAAATGCTCGTTCCTCTCCGGTTGCGAAAACCTCTTGCGTTTAATGCACTTGCTGGAGGCGTGCTGCTAGGTCCTTCTAACACGGCGGTGTGGGGGTTGGATCTTGTGGGTGCGCAGACGCTCATATCGGGTGACAGTGAACCGTTCATTCAGGTCCTGAATACGGGGTCAAGGATTACTGTTGTTCCCCAAGGTACAGTGCTTGCACATGCATCACCGGCCCTTGTGGGGGACTCGTTGGTGGGTCACGTAGGAGATGTGGCCCGTCCCGTCCCGCATTCACGCCCTGATTCTGAATGGATTGACGCGCTTTGTTCGTGGTGTACGAACTTCTTGCCATCACAGCATCTTAAATTGCATGCGCTCTTGCGGGACTTCGCTCATGTATTTAGCAACGGTAAATTTGACATTGGCTGCACCAAGCTACTCAGTCACCACATTGACACGGGTGACGCTGCGCCTATCCGACAGAATCCATTCCGCTTAAGCCCGGCTGAGAAAGAGCACGTACGGATTGCCGTCAATGACATGCTGGTGGCCGATATTATCTCGCCGTCCACCAGTCCGTGGAGAGCGCCCATTGTTTTGGTTAAAAAGCTTGATGGCACCCTTCGCTTGTGTAGATTTACGGAAGCTCAATAAAGTCTCGGTAGCAGATGCTTATCCACTCCCCCGCATGGATGAGTCGCTCGACGCCCTGGCGGGCGCGTGCTACTTTTCGATTTAAGACCTGCTATTCGGCTTTTGGCAATTACCACTCGATGACGCTTCTAAACCAAAGACAGCCTTCTCCACTCCGCAAGGCCTCTTTGAGTTTAATCGGCTCCCCATGGGATTGCATTCGGCTCCAGCGACGTTCCAGCGCCTGATGGAACTGTTCCTCGCTGGGCTCCAGTGGGATTCCTGCCTGATTTACCTCGACGATGTCATTGTTTTCAGTCGCACTTTCGATGAGCATCTCGAATGGTTGTGAGCAGTCTTGTTCAAAATGCGAGCAGCAAATTTGAAAATGAAACCTCAAAAATGCCACCTCATGCGCGATTCCGTTCATTATCTTGGCCAGATCGTCAGTCACTTCGGCATTGCTACAGACCCCGAAAAAACCGACTGCGTCCGCTCTTGATCCATCCCCACCTCTGTTGGGGATGTGCGCAATTTTGTGGGCTTTGCCTCATATTATCGGCGGTTTGTCGCGGGGTGCGCGTCCATGGCTAAGCCCCTCCATGCGTTGACGGCAAAAGGGACAAAATTCTACTTGGGGGAGGCACAACAGGCCTTGTTTAATGCCAACCGTAAGGCCCTGATGGCGGTATCCCGACTTCTCCGTGCCATTCATTTTGGACACGGACGCCAGTAATACGAGCATGGGGGGGTGTTGTCACAGGTGGTCGATGGTGTGGAGCGAGTCATGGCCTATGGCAGCCGTGTACTATCCCCCACGGAGCAGCGCTATTGTGTAACCCGTCGCGAACTACTCGCCATTGTCTTCTTCGTCCAGCATTACCGGCCGTACCTGTACGGTAGACACTTTACTGTACGTTCGGACCACGCAGCGCTCCAGTATGCCTTAAGGTCGATCAGCCATCGGGTCAATTGTCGCGCTGGCTGGAGGTCCTCCAAGACTGTTCATTTACGGTTGTCTACCAGAAGGGTATTCGGCACGGTAATGCTGACGGGTTGTCACGGTTACCCCTCGTTGGGAAATGTGCTTGCTTCTTGGGTTAAGGGCGGTGTAAGCCTCCTGCCCAGGGTACGCCTCTGTCCCTCGCTGCCACAGCGGGTCCTGTCATTGACTGCCAGAAGGCGTCCAGCGCGCCCGTTGCACAAGACGCACTGTTGGGCCTAAGTTAAGACAAATGGAAGACATCTCCCTCTTCGGATTACGCCGCCGCGCTAGGGAGTCCCTCGAGGATGGTGGCCGGGGTGGCCCCGTTTCATTCGTCATACGGGATGGCCTCCTCATGCAGTGGAATGGCGGCTCGCGAGCGTTTAAACTTGTGGTGCCCACGTCTCTGCGGAGTAAAATTGTTTGGGCCACCCACCAGCGGCTTCTTCATTTGGACATCCACAAAACGCTCCCTACTCTCCAACTGGAGTTTTCTGGCCGGGTATGGCTAGAGATGTGGCTGACCTCCTTCGAGGCTGCACTGAATGTGCTTGCCGTAAGCCACCCGCGAGGCCGTCTTGCCCACCTTTACAATCCATTCGCATCTCCCGGGTGAACGAAATTGTCGCGTTAAATATTTTGGGCCCATTTCCAGCTACTCCGCGAGGTAATAAGTACCTGTTGGTTGGGGTCACAGATTGATTGGGACCTCCACATCTTCGGCGTGCTGCCTGCATATAGGATGGCGCCCCATGCGGCGACGGGGTTTTCGCCATTCTACCTCATGTATGGCAGGGAAGTCTGCCCCCCGGTAGATGTGCAGCTGCGCATGAAACAGCCTTCGGCCAAGTCCAAGATGGCCGATATGTCCGTGCTAATGCTCGCCGCTTGATGGAGGCCCGGGAAGCCGCGAAATCTAACTCAGAGGCACGCCAGCTGGCTAACGAACGCCTGTGGGGCCTTGTACGTCTCACCATGCATGGGTTGAAGGGGACCGGGCTTGGCTTCATTGCCCTCAGGTACCCCTATCAACATCTCCTAAGCTGCTTAAACCCTGGAAGGGCCCCGTCGAGGTTGTCCGCGTGGTCCGACCCCAGTGCGTTAAAATACCGTTCGGGAAACGTTCTAGGTATGTCCACCCCTCGTGCCTCAAACCTTTCATCCCTCCTCACACCTCTACTACACCACACATGGACCAAGAGCGTGTTGTGTCCAACGAGCCAGATCAGGTGCCAGTGGAGTCTAACCCTCAGCCCAGTCATGTCGTTCCGTCCTCAGGAGCCGCGGGAGTAACATCGTCCCTGCCGCCCACGACGGCGGGTTCAGGGGTCGGCGGGTCACCGGCCGTCCCGTGCGTCTCGCCTCCACAGTCCCCTTCTGCTCTGGATGGGCCGGCCTTTAGGACTCACTCAAAGTCCCGGAGGTTTTCTTGAGCCGCCACGAACTTGGTTCCCCCCCACACCACACACTCACCTTGCGTCCATTGACCGCGGTTGCCGGTTGTTCCTCGCCGTGTTGACGACCGTCGGTCGCTTTGTTATTGTTCGGTTTGTCGCAGGGATGCAGGTGGGGCGGGGAGAACTCCATGTACATATGTTGTTGTCTTTCCTTGTACAGGTGGGCTGGGGTATTTATAGGCGTTCACGCGGTTTGTTATTGCATTCCATTGTTCATTGAGGCACACGTACACAAGCGTTTTGTTGTTATCATCCAAGTTTATTGTTCTTGGTTACAGCCGGGTCGGCTCGGTGCTATGAAGGGGGGGGGGGGGGGGGGGGGGGGTTAGGTGATGTAGCGATGTCGATGGGCTGTCTACACTTACCTGCAGGGGCAGTCAGGGTCCAACAGGGGCAGTCGTTATATCCCTAGCCCAAAAGCAGGTGGGGGCTGCGGGGTGTTCCAGGATCCCCCGGGATCCCTCCCAATAGGAGGGGGCTGCGGCGTGTCATGGGATTCCCCGGAGCCCCCTCTGGAACTCTCTAGAAGGTAGGCGGAGCCAGGGCTGATGCACGGGTGCTGGGTATAAAAGCCGGACCCCGGGAAGGGTCCGGGGCCAGTCCAAGACAGAAGCCAGAAGACCAGCTAGATAGGACCCTGGGACCCCTAGCCCCACTGCACTTGTAAGGGCCGGGACCCTGTGTGGCTCAGTGGTGAGACCCTGGGAACCCCCGGCCCGACGTCCTTGTAAGGGCCGGGTCCGAGTGGGCCAGTGGTCGGAACCCGCACCCTGGCTAGGTCGGGTTAGAGTAGCCTCCCCTAGGCACCCTTAGCCAGAGGACCCAGAGTCATGGTACCATGTTAGCACATCTTAGCCCGGAGGCAGTACCTCCCCTGGCAGTGGTTATAGAAGGGCCGTTACCCTGAGTGAGTCTGGGCTGTACTGCCAAATATTTGTATCAAATAAAGTGTTGCCTCCAAGATCCGTCTCCGACATCGCTAGAACTCACTACATATTGATAAAATTCTGACCAATAAAGCTCCTCACTGGTTAACACTTTTCACGACTGAATTCAACATGTACACATTTATATATTTGAAAACTGTACGCAAATTAAAGTATCTAATGCATGCACATGTTCATAACGTAGCCCCAGAGCTGCTTTGTTCGCATGGTGGTCTGCCCATAAATGCACTTTCCAGGCCCAATATAGGCCCATTCACGCATAGCTTGTGAAACCTTAAGCCCGTCGCATTGCCGGTGATTTGGTCAGAGACGACTCTGAGTGTGCATAATTGTGAAAACGGAAGCTCTAACCTGCTCCATGTTCCTCGTGGTGCAGATGAGCTGCACTGCAACGGCGGGACAGCCCACAGTGTCCAGTGCCTGCCAGGCCTCTATCCGCTTCACTACCGCAGGCTTGCACAGCACAGAGAAGTGGTTCACCTGCAGTGCAAACATCCAGACACCGCTTCCTTTACAATTCCAATGTATGCAAGGCTTATTACAATATGCACAACCATACAAACCATTGTAGAACGTAGTTTTCAACCAATGTCTCCCGATTGTGCTCATGGCATCATGTCACAAGGCAGAGAATCCACTGGCATCTCTTGCAAAACAGCTCAACCCTTCTTGGTAGAGAACATAATTGAAAGATCGAGATCTGTAAATATAAATGTGTCGTTTAACCCACCACCTATTAGTAAGATTTGTCACGTAAACAAAACATGCAAATTAGTTACTAGTTCGGCACACTGGTGTGTTGGAGAGTAAACCCACAACATTTACAATTCGAGTATGATGTTTCGCCAGTAATTACAACCAGCCTCAACGGGCGACACTCAGATTTGTGGAGAAATCCTCCTTCTGTTTTGGTCTTGGGTAAATGCGTGCAAAGACCATATTACTATAGATAATATTGGTCGTGAAAGCCTACATGTTAAACAGATAGAGAACTACTTCTGAAATCCCTTCAAGTGACCTCTGGTCGACACAGCATGGGGCAGTCAAGTACTGTCTCTTCCCTATTCCCAAAGCTGGAGGTGCAGAATCAATAATGGCTTACAACTGTGAGAGGAATGAATGGGTCAAAATATGCTCATACAAGTTAGATTTTCAGTCAAATCGCACTGTACAGTGTTAATACGTGGCAGTATTTCACAGCATATTAGAATAATATAAACCAATATAAGTGGGAGCACACCACGAAACACGCAAATACATTTCATCTAAATACCCTTAAAATTAAGCCCGAGTCTAAAATGTAGTCCCTGGTTGAATCAGTCCAGAGTTTGCTTTGTTGAACCAATTCTGCTAAACTCATACACTCCCTGAAGGCCACGTGGCTGGGTGGGATGTGTAACAAACATAAGCGTGTTTATGTAGAAGGGCAGGTATGTCGAGACGTATTACAGCTTATGGCCTTTGAAACAAGCAATGAGTGAGGGCTGTTGCATGCGTGCTATGGCAAGTGGGTACCAGCTGCCCATAGACGTCTTCAGGCTGCTGGTGAAAGAGGCTATTGAGGGCCTCTTCCAAGTTCTGTGGGACCCCGTGGGCACGGTAGAACTCCACTGCCGCTTGCTTCAGCTTGTACATTTGCCGGACGTCATCGGATAGCGAGCGCTCCATCACAGTTATAGCCAAACCTGCCAAGGTGGATCATAACAATTGTTCAACTACGCCTTCTTTTTCTTAACATTTCTCTCGGTCAGGGGTCGGCAACCAAAACAACAAAAAGAGCAATATTTTTCGAATTCGGTAAAAAAACTATTTCAAGAGCCATCATACATGTAAATACGAAACGGTGGCCCTGAATAAAGAACGTCACGAAACAGTCCTTTAATGAGCTGGACTTCCATGGTGAACTGGATTTCCATGGTGAACTGGACTTCCATGGTGAACTGGATTTCCATAGTGAACTGGATTTCCATAGTGAACTGGACTTCCATGGTGAACTGGACTTCCATGGTCAGGGGTCGGCAACCAAAATAAGAGGCATTTTTTTCGAATTTCAAGAGCCGCACTGCAGTCCTTAAAGAGCTGCATGTTGCTCCGGAGCCGCAAGTTGCCGACCCGTGCTCTAGAGCGTGCTATATTATCGTGCATTGTATCATTAAAGTAACGATAACATATACGTACTGAATTCATGTAGAACTTCTCAAGCTAAGAAGGGTTGAGCCTGCATAGTGCATGTATGGGAGACAACTCTACAAAACAAGTTGCTATGGTTTGCGGGACTACGTGGTGACCAGCAGAGGGATGTGCAGATAATTATAGCACTGTACATTATTTCCACGTCTACACTTCCCGCCTTCACTAACCCGCACGGACCAGTGTAGACAAGTATAGCAAAATCACCGCCCGCGACTCGCACGGAGTGGGGAGGTGCGCATTCAGCAGCCGACCGCTAAAGAGGGCTGCAATGTCCACATAATGAATGCACGTTGTACAGTCTGTGGTTAGTAATAATATATCTCCATATATATAAAAGGCAAAGTTGTACTTCCCGACATGCAACAAACTTTCCAGACTGTACACCATACAAAAATTAGAAAAATACACTTACGTTTTTTTTTTTGGGGGGGGGAGCTCAATAATGCATATATTTTTTGCATGGCAAGTGAGCTGTGACGTCAAATCTGTCACGTGACCGCCGAATGTAGAAGCGTAACGCATTGTAGTGTAGTGGTTAGCGCGCTGCCCTACGAACCCGGCGATCCGAGTTCGATTCCCGCTCACGGCCACCACCGGTGACGATTATTTGAACCGGTCCTGGGCCTCCCCTAGGTCAACTCAGCCTCAAACGAGTAACTGCTGTGGTGTGAACATCGACACTGGGGAGACAAAGGCGGCCGGGCGTGGTGAATCCAAGTCCCGGGCGAAGCCGGGTCGTAAAGCTAGTACAGTATATATACAGCGCCGCATGTAATAAACAGCTTCTGTAATATAAACAGCTGCTAATGTAGATTTAAAGCTTTCGTGACTGCAAGGATCCACTTTACCGAATAGAACCAAAGAGTATAGCTGCTAATGTGATTTGCAGGTGCAATCCCGAGGTCGCCGGTTCGATTCCATCTCCCAGCGCGGCAAATGAATCGTATTCACTGTACAAAATAAAGAAGCAGTCTCCTTCACATAATCTCTATTTAGACTGGAGGAATCCGATGCCCTATACAGATATTTTTTCCACAGATGTCCAGTTAGGGAGGGGTCAGCAAATTACATCAGCAATACAGATACAACTACACTTTATATTTCACGAGGTAAAGCCCACCGAGCTGTATATTTTTCAGAAGCGACCTGGCCACAAATGATAGCTCAACGAAGTGGCTTATCATGTGGAAATGTATAGGAGCCAAACACTCTAAATGCATGTGTCTAAATGTAGAGGGAAACCCCAGAGGACCGAATAAAAGTCCACGCAACCGCGGGGAAAGAGAGACGGAAACTACAAATATACAGCAGCAGGCGTCAGGGTCGGGATCGAACCCATGTCCTCCTGGTATACCAGGCGATGGAGTTAACATCTCGCCACCGCGGCGCCCTACATATCCGTCAAACAACTCTGACACAACCCATGAGCCTGCCGGCCTTCTGGGAGCGCACAATCGCAACACCGATTGACACAACACAAGCACAAGACCGTGGACCAGTTGAAGACTTTCAGTGGCCCGGCAGCAGTCAGGGGCGACGCTCGAAATCAAATGCCCGCGAACTGCCGAGCTTACACAGGCGCGGAGTCTTGTCGGCAATATTATAACTCTAAACAATTATCTGCGTCGTTGTGGAGAATTAATGTAGTAAACAAAAGAAGCGTGAATGAAGAAGCAGACCGCGGTGTCGAGGGAGAAAGTGGCCGCCACTCGGCTTCCGGCGTCTCGCGGTTGCCTCGCAACGGCGCGCGCGCCCACGTGACACGCCCATGGCAACGGCCGCCATTCGCCACTGAAGCTTCCCGTGTGCGAGACGTGGAGATCCAGTTTTCAGTTTCAGTTTATTTATTTTGGTATAGCCCTGTTAGCCGTTCGGCTCTTTAATCGGGTGCAACCATAACAAACAAAAAAACTAAAACACGAACAAGAAAACATCTTAAAGTGACTATGTGACTGTGCAAACAGAAAATCCATGAAAAAACACAGCAAAATATTCCTGAAAATAGCACCGTACACCAACACTGTGTGCAAAAAATCCCAGTGGGATGCAAGTCAAACAACAACAACCACTAGAAAACTTAGATTAAGGCCATCAGTCTAACTCCGTACTACAACAAAACAAACATGTCCAAACCAAGAAACTTTTCGAAATCACCAAAAAATAAAGCCATAATTGCAACGTAACAGTGATCATAGGGACTGTGACCGAATTTTTATAATAAACTACATAAATAACATGTAACACCAAATCCTAGAGCCATAGCTGGCTGCATGAGTTATTCCACAATAGAAGCATCAGTCGGAGTATCACATTTTTCAATGCACCTTTAAGATCAGCACGCTACATCAAAATACAGATACAGATGCGTTGAAAACAACAACAAAAATGCGAATAAAATCGGACGGCCGATGAAAGTCACCGATCTGCGAATGCCTCTGCACGATGGGTGATTCGATCGCAGATCCGGGGAGGAGGACGAGGTTATTTTTGTATCGCATAATTATTATTTTTACAGCGACTCGCAAGTGTCGCCCTACGCGCACTGCGCATGCGCGCGCCGTCGTGGAGCGACGTCATGCGATGGCGGCTCCCAGTGGCGAGCAACGCGGAGCAGGGCCAGAGTGGGGGGCCGGGGACTTCGGGGATGTGGGGGGTGAGGGGAGCACGGGGGGCAAGGGTGGCGCGGGGGGTAAGGGAGGCACGGGGGACGCGGGGAGCACAGAGGATGCGGGGGGCAATGGGGGCGCAGGGGACCCGGGTGGCACGGGGGACGCGGGGGAGCCGGGCCTGAGGTCCCGACCTGCGGCGTTGGGAGTCTTGGGGCCGCAGGGTGAGGCGTCAACGGAGGGCAAGATCCGCCGCCTCAGAGACTCGCTTCGCAGGTAACGGGGGGGGGGGGGGGTGGCAGCGCGCCTCCAACACCTCAAGTGTTTTATTTTTATTATTTTATTTCCATTCTACGTGACTTTACCGAAAGAACCAATAAGGCGAACATGTACCTAGCCTGGCACAAGCAAGCGCTGTGTTGCAACGTCACCGAACAAGTGAGAGAGAGGCTACGGTGCTCGACCTTGCACCGTCTCTGCAGATTCACGGAGGCAGTGTTGACCCAACTGCGAAATTCCATACAATAGAGTGAAGTCTGCAATGTAGAATTTTGAGTGAACATTGCAGTGTTGACGAAGACAAATATCCCTCGTATAGGCGTTACAGGCTTTTGGGGCAAGTGCTGTTAGCGAGTAGCACCTATGAAGGCCGTCATAGTGGCACACGAGGGGGATGGGTGATCTGCACCACGCCCGGCCGCCTTTGTCTCCTTGGTCGCGATGTTTTACACACCGCACCAGGTACTCATTTGAGACTGAGTCGACCTAAGGGAGGCCCAGTTCAGATAATCATCACTAGTGTTGGCCGTGAGCGGGAACTCGGGTTGCCGGGTTTGTAGTGCAGTGCGCTAACCACTGCGCCACCGCTCTCTATTGCAATATTGACAACCTACGTACGTGCGCATTACCATAAACACAACATTCGAGACTAACACAGCGCATCTCCTTGGACAGTCATTTCCCCGCACCTTCGATTAGCACGGCTGGCTACTTACGGTCGAAAGAAGTTCAAGATATTGTAGATAATACACATCTGTGCCACATCAGTCCATCTCTTCTCTAGCCCGTACCATGTCCGTTTAGCCCCATCCGTCCGGCCGAACAGAAGTTAGTTGGGCATGCGGTGGCTGGGCATGCGGGGGCTGGGAATGCGGGCTACATGACCCAGCCAACGCAGCCTCATTTGCCGGAGCTCACTGATGGGACTGTGTCCAGATTCTTCAAGGACCTGTGAAATCACACAACCCAGTCTGGTTAAACCCAAGATGGATCGTAGGCAGCCTAGCCTGAATATTTCAACCTAGTGCAGATGTTCCTTAAGAGGGCTCCACGTTTTGCACGCATAGAGAAGGGAGGGCATTACTGTGGCTGAGAAGATAAAGCTTAGTCCAAATTATGGAACAAATTGTAAACAACTGTTGTCTGTGCTCATTCAAAGGAGGATGAACAGCAAAACTACACCAACTCTGCTAAAGCCCTCTCGTGGCTGCTATCAGACTTCGACATTGGAATTTAACTCCTGAACATATTGTCATCATATGGACAAATAACTTAATTGACCTACCGTGTCCCGGTCGAAGGTTTATTCTTTATTTCTGGTAGCGATTACGGCTCCTTCCAAATTCTGGCATACTCAAGTCCAGATCCTAGAGGTTTCAGTACTTGTTGAGTTTTATATTATAACACGATTTATAATGTGCACATATTTTGCGAGTCGGATGCAATGTTCATTCATGAACTCGGAGGCCCGGAGCCATGACTTTCAAGTCCCTCATACGTGAGAGCCTGAATAGGTTATAGCCTGAAGAGGTCAGAGCCTGAAGGAGTGAGAGCCTTGAAGGGATGAGAGCCTGAAGAGGTGAGAGCCTGAAGAGGTGAGAGCCTGAAGAGGTTAGAGCCTGAAGAGGTGAGAGCCTTGAAGGGGTGAGAGCCTGAAGAGGTGAGAGCCTTGAAGGGGTGAGAGCCTTGAAGGAGTGAGAGCCTTGAAGGGGTGAGAACCTTGAAGGGGTGAGAGCCTTGAAGGGGTGAGAGCCTTGAAGGGGTGAGAGCCTTGAAGGGGTGAGAGCCTTGAAGGGGTGAGAGCCTGAAGAGGTGAGAGCCTGAAGAGGTGAGAGCCTGAAGAGGTGAGAGCCTTGAAGGGGTGAGAGCCTTGAAGAGGTGAGAAGTGTGGAGAGGCATGGGTGGAGACCTTGATAGAGAGCTTGGTGGCACAGGGTCATGATTTTACACTGTCGTAAATTTGATGGGATATAATGTTTTGAGTTGGTGCGTTATTTACACGTGACCTTGTTTGTCATGCTTCACCCATCTTACCAGGGACAACTGGAAGGAGAATGAGAGCGCAAAGTGCGAGTTCGTCAGGCTCCTGCTGCAGGTGGTGAGGCCACACGTGGGCGCGACGCTCGTGAGGGAGGCGCTGCTGCCCCCCACGCTGCTCTTCTCCGACGACTTCGAGCTGGAGAACCAGCTGCTGGGCGTGCGCTGCCTGCACCACATCGTTCTGAATACGGTGAGCATCCCCAACCACGTGGAAACAAAACCGCCGACGAGGTGTGCTCATTGGCGCCGATGATGGCAGCCTCGGCCGGTTGGTGCACCTTGTTTTGTCCGGTTTTGTCTTGTTATGCTTGATCACCTGTGCTGGTGAGAGAGGCCTGCTGTTCAGCACACCCGTGCTGGTGAGAGCGGACTGCTGTTCAGCACACCGGTGGTAGTGAGAGAGGCCTGCTGTTCAGCACACCTGTGCTGGTGAGAGGGGCCTGCTTTTCAGCACACCCGTGCTGGTGAGAGAGGCCTGCTGTTCAGCACACCTGTGCTGGTGAGAGGGGCCTGCTGTTCAGCATATCTGTGCTGGTGAGAGAGGCCTGCTGTTCAGCACACCTGTGCTGGTGAGAGGGGCCTGCTGTTCAGCACACATGTGCTGGTGAGAGGGGCCTACTGTTCATCACACCAGTGCTGGTGAGAGAGGCCTGCTGTTCAACACACCTGTGCTGGTGAGAGGGGCCTGCTGTTCAGCACACTCGTGCTGGTGAGAGGGGACTGCTGTTCAGCACACCGGTGTTAGCGAGAGAGGCCTGCTGTTCAGCACACCCGTGCTGGTGAGAGGGGCCTACTGTTCATCACACCAGTGCTGGTGAGAGAAGCCTGCTCTTCAGCACACCCATGCTGGTGAGAGAGGCCTGCTGTTCAGCACACCCGTGCTGGTGAGAGAGGCCTGCTGTTCAGCACACCCGTGCTGGTGAGAAGATGGCGCCGATGATGGTAGCCTCAGCCGGTCGGTGCGCCCTGTTTTGTCTTGTTTTGTCTGTTATTTTCAGTGTTTTGCCAAGATTTTCGGAGTTCCCTAACAAGAGACAAACTTTTAAACATCAGGGAAACAACGCCTGTGGATTTATTTCCCACTTTTCTGCTTCCAGCGCAGAATTAGTGGGCATTCTAGTCAAAGCCGCGCTAGGCTTTGCTCAAGCAGTGAAACGCCACCCAAGGGGTAAACGGTCGGGTGCTCTCGTAAGACGCGGGATCCGAACAGTGCTTCCGAGCTTTTTCCTCTCCAACGTACGTTCACTGTGTAACAAAATGGACGAACTTCATCTACTGATGGTGAAAAACAGAGACTTTCTTTCATCTTCTGTTTTGTGTTTCACGGAGACATGGCTGTGTGATTTGATTCCGGACACTGCGCTACAACTGGCAGGATTCCATCTTGTAAGATCGGATCGTGATATAGCACTCTCCGGCAAGACGAGAGGCGGCGGTATTTGTTTTTACATTAACAGTGGCTGGTGTGTAGATGTCACAGTGATTCTGCAACATTGTTCACCGCTCCTTGAACCATTTTTTATAAACTGTAAACCTTTCTACTCGCCTCGCGAGTTCGTGTCGCTCATTTTGGTCGGAGTTTACTTGCCGCCGGGTCCTCGGGTTAATGAGGCCCAATGCATGCTCGCCAACCAGATTCTGAGTGTGGAGCGAGCAAATCCAGATTCGCTGGTTATCGTACTTGGCGACTTTAGCAAAGATAATCTCAGCCACGAACTCCCCAAATACATACAATTCATTAAATGCCCTACCAGAGAAGGGAACACTGGATCACTGCTACACTACAGTCAGTAGAGCCTACCACGCCATCCCCCGAGCAGCACTGGGACACTCTGACCATGCCATGGTCCACCTGATTCCTGCATACAGGCAGAAACTATAGCTCTGTAAACCTGCTGTGAGGACATCTAAACAGTGGACCAGCTAAATGCTCTCAAGACAGTTGAGATGGTTGTGGACTTCAGGAAGAATACAGCACCACTCACCCCCATCACCCTGTGCGACTCCCCAGTCAAAACTGTAGAGTCCTTCCGCTTCCTGGGCACTATTCTCTCCCGAGACCTCAAGTGGGAACTGAACATCAGCTCCCTCACCAAGAGAGCTCAACAGAGGATGTACTTCCTACGGCAGCTGAAGAAATTCAACCTGCCAAAGACAATGATGGTGCACTTCTATACAGCAATCATTGAATCTATCCTCACCTCACGCTGCTGCCACTGCCAAGGACAAGAGCAGACTGCAGCGTATCATCCACACTGCTGAGAAGGTGATTGCCTGCAATCTACCAACCCTCGAGGACCTGCACACCTCGAGGACCATGAGGCGAGCGAGGAAGATTGTGGCCGATTCCTCCCACCCTGCACACTCTCTGTTCCAGCTACTCCCCTCCGGCAGAAGGCTGCAGTCCATCAGGACCAAAACCTCACGCCACAAAAACAGTTTCTTCCCAGCCGCTGCTGGCCTCTTCAACAAGGCCAAGGGCTTACACTGACTTTAACATTTTATCTACAAAATTACACCTTGCCATATTTACACTGTTACCCTATTTGTATTTTTTGTATTTTTAGATTGTATCTTATAGCTACTTTATATTCAATATTTATTCCAAATGTTACATACTTTAGCCCCTTAGTGTTAGTTAGACTTTGTACCTTTAGTATAGTTAGACTTGTATACCACTTATTCTTGGTTCTTTCGGTAAAGTCACGTAGAAGGGAAACAATAAAGTAATAAAAATATAAAACAATAAAATTCTCACGACGTTTCAACTGCAACACAAGCAATCATCATCAGGTGTGAAAAACCACAGCAAGAAAATTTGAAAAAAGTGGCGTTTTTTTTAATGTTAGCACCACGGAGAGCGATTTGGCAGTTATTCAGATGGACGAGTCCATCTATGTTCAGAAAAGAGGAGGGGGGAGAAGAAAATAATGGATGCGGTCTGAAAGCCACCGTAAGCGTGAACAATCAATGAAGACCTAAATTGGTTTATCAAACCCTTCCAATGATTGCTAAGCCAGAATCCATATTCTCGGTTGAAATTGTCTCTGTGTTTGTATATGTGGATAGCCTCATAAACGAATCTCTCATGGTAGCCAGATGGCTTGCAAAGAACCTCTGTCTTGGAGAAGTCAGTGTCATGTGAGCCTAACAGTGATCTGCCACGGCCGAGGTGTTGGTCCTACTGTGTTTTAGGTCTGCTTTGTGTTCACGAATGCGGTCCGAGACATGTCGTTTGGTTTCTCCAATGTAACTACTACCACAGAGGCAACTTAGTTTGTAGACGCCAGGGTACTGTTTGTCCGGAATCACATCTTTTACAGACGGAACCAGATCACGGATTTTATGTAATGTGTTGAATTGGACCTGGATCTTGTGTTTATTCAAGATTTTGGAAATCTTTTTTGTGATCCCCGCAATGTAGGGTAACGTGATGGTTTTGAAAGGCTCAAGAGGGTACTTCTTCATGGTTGGAGTGATAGCTTTGCGGATTGTGTAGTCGGAATAACCATTAGCCTTAAGAGCTTGGTGTACGTGCTTGAGTTCACTGGCTATGTGTTCCTGGTCGGATATGCATTGGGCTCTATGGTGCAGAGTCTTGATGAGGGAATTCTTCGGGGATGGATGGTGGTGGGAATCCGGTTTCAGGTAAGCATCCATATGAGTAGCTTTCCTGTAGACAGAGTGGCTCATTGAACCATCAGGTCTCTTTTTTATTAGGACATCCACAAAAGGTAGGTTGCCATCTTTTTCGACTTCCATGGTAAATCTGATGGCTGGGTGTATGGAATTAATGTGGTCGAAGAATTGGTCTAGAGCAGGCCGGCCATGTGGCCAGATGACAAAAGTGTCATCCACATACCTCTTCCATAAGGTTGGGCACCGAGTGGTAGTCTGGATGGCGTCAGTCTCAAATCTATCCATGAAAATGTTGGCTACAACCAGAGATAGGGGGGAGCCCATTGGGGTGCCCTCAGTTTGTTTGTAGAAAGTTCCATTCCAAGTGAAGTATGTATTGGTTAAGCAGTGTCTCACCAGGGGGGACTCCTCAGTGTTTAGTCCTTGATGAACCAAGTCTTCAATTATGGTGTCAGGTACAGGAACTTTGGTGAATAAGGAAACTACGTCAAAACTGACAAGCAGGTCGTCTGGGGACCGGTAAATACCCGTGATTGTCGATACCAGGTGAGTAGAATTTTGTACCGCAGAGGTGGTTTTTCCAGTGAAAGGCCGCAGGATTTCAGACAAAACGAGCCAGTTTGTAGGTGGGGAGTTGATAGTATAGACGATGGGACGAAGGGGTGTATCTACTTCATGTATTTTTGGTAAGCCATATAATCTTGGTGGCCTGGCAGCAGAAGGTTTCAACGAAAACTGTTTGGTTTGATCAATTAATGCGGTTGAATCAGACATGATTTTGTTGGTTTGTATGACGAGGCTGTCGGTGGGATCTCTTTTTATTTTTGTATAGCTGCCATCGTTGAGTAATTCTTGAATTTTGTTGTTATATTCTATTTTATCCATGATGACAGTGGCATTGCCCTTGTCGGCTGAGAGGATGACAATGTCATCCTTTTTTTAATTTATATAATTCAAAACACTCATCTTTGCTGAGGTTGCTAGCTGGCATCTTAGCGTTTTTGAGGGTTGCAGCGATTTCAGATCTTGCTACGTCTGCAGCGATGTGACCCAGGCCCTTGAGAGCCACGTCTACTTGGGCAATGATATCATTAACTGGTATGTGTTTAGGTTTGACTGCAAAGTTTAGCCCTTTAGCTAAAACAGATTTCAGACCATCGGAAATAGAGCTGTTACTGCGGTTAATTACGACTTTGTTAACGTCTAGCTTTTTGGTGTATGGGTTCGGTCTTTTGTTGGAGAGGAGGTTAAATTTGGAAACAGGTTGTCCTTACATTTGGTCGACATAGTGGCAGGTGAAGAGGCAGTCATATTGTCTACATTCATAATAAAGGTTTTTGGGTTAGATCGCATTATTTATAAATGTGTTGTAACCCTGCACCACCCGACACGGCCAATCAGCAAAAAGTGTCACGTTGGCAAAAGACAAATAGTTAACTACTTTAGCCCACCGGTGTGTTTAAGAGTGAATCCTCAACATTTACAGTTGAGTACGACGTTTTGCTGGTAATTACATCCAGCATCATCGGGCAATTCGCCAGAATGGTAAAGCCCTCACTTGCTCCCGGTCTTAAATAGAGCAGCAGGGTGACGTCATCATTTAACTCATTCAGGTGCAGTGATTTGAGGCGGGGGGGGGGGGGGGTATTGTAATTATATAATGGACTGGTAATCAGTCAATTGTTATGATTAGTAATGAGTTGTAGATTAGTAATTAGTTGTAATGTGTGAGCAAGTGAGGGCTTTACCATTCTGGCGAATTGCCCGATAATGCTGGATGTAATTACCAGCGAAACGTCGTACTCAAACTGTAAATGTTGTGGATTCACACTTCAACACACCGGTGGGCTAAAGTAGTCAACTATTTGTCTTTTGTCAACGTGACACTTTTTTGCTGATTGGCCGTGTCGGGTGGTGGAGGGTTACGACATGTTTATAAATAATGCGATTTAACCCAAAAACCTTTATTATTAATAATATTGGTCGCGAAAGCCTACGTGTTAAACTGATATTGTCTACATGTTCCCAATCCGATGTGGACATTGTTGCCGTCAATGATAAGTGTGATTTGTAAAGTGTCTTGTCTAACTGATCTAGTTCGGTGTGTATAAGTCTGATTTTCTCTGAGATAAAAGCTAAGCTTGTTCTGGAAAGAATTTGTTTCGCATTAGAAGTTACAGCAGCAGAGGTCAGTGTAAATGCGATTGGTATTACCCCAGAATCGCGGCATCTCTTCAGAAAGGTGAGAGACTCGATCAGCTGAGCCTTCTTATCCCGGAGTTTGTTGAAGGATCTCAAAGTTATGTGGAAACCCTCCCCGTAGAGGCAGTTAAATTTAGATTTAAAGCTTTCGTGACTGCAAGGATTCATATTCTTGGTTCTTTCGGTAAAGTCACGTAGAAGGGAAGCAATAAAGTAATAAAAATATAAAAAATAAAATTATCACGACGTTTCGACTGCAACACCAGCAATCATCATCAGGTGTGAAAACCACAACAAGAAAATTTGAAAAAAGTGGCGGTTATTTTTAACGTTAGCACCACGGAGAGAGATTTGACAGTTTGTTCAGACGAACGAGTCCATCTATGTTCGGAAAAAAGGAGGGGAGAGACGAAAAATAATGGATGCGGTCTGAAAGCCACCTTAAGCGTGATCAATCAATTAAGACCCAAAATGGTTAATCAAATCCTTCTAATGATTGCTAAGCCAGAATCCATCTTCTTGGTTGAAATTGTCTCTGTGTTTGTACAGTGACGTAAAAAAGTATTTGATCCCCTGCTGATTTTGTATGTTTGCCCACTGACAAATAAATGATCAGTCTATAATTTTAATGGTAGGTTTATTTGAACATTGAGAGACAGAATAACAACAACAAAATTCAGAAAAACGCATGTCAAAAATTTTATAAATTGATTTGCATTTTAATGAGGGAAATAAGTATTTGACCCCTCTGCAAAACATGACTTAGTACTTGGTGGCAAAACCCTTGTTGGCAATGACAACAAGGTCAGACGTTTCTTGTAGTTGGCCACCAGATTTGCACACATCTCAGGAGGGATTTTGTCCCACTCCTCTTTGCAGATCTTCTCCAAGTCATTAAGGTTTCGAGGCTGACGTTTGGCAACTCGAACCTTCAGCTCCCTCCACAGATTTTCTATGGGATTAAGGTCTGGAAACTAGTTAGGCCACTCCACGACCTTAATGTGCTTCTTCTTGAGCCACTCCTTTGTTGCCTTGGCCGTGTGTTTTGGGTCATTGTCATGCTGGAATACCCATCCACGACCCATTTTCAATGCCCTGGCTGAGGGAAGGAGGTTCTCACCCAAGATTTGACGGTACATGGCCCCGTCCATCGTCCCTTTGATGCGGTGAAGTTGTCCTGTCCCCTTAGCAGAAAAACACCCCCAAGCATAATGTTTCCACCTCCATGTTTGACGGTGGAGATGGTGTTCTTGGGGTCATAGGCAGCATTCCTCCTCCTCCAAACACGGCGAGTTGAGTTGATGCCACAGAGCTCCATTTTGGTCTCATCTGACCACAACACTTTCACCCAGTTGTCCACTGAATCATTCAGATGTCCATTGGCAAACTTCAGACGGGCATGTATATGTGCTTTCTTGAGCAGGGGGACCTTGCGGGCGCTGCAGGATTTCAGTCCTTCATGGCGTAGTGTGTTACCAATTGTTTTATTGGTGACTATGGTCCCAGCTGCCTTGAGATCATTGACAAGATCCTCGGCTGATTCCTCACCGTTCTCATGATCATTGCAACTTCACGAGGTGAGATCTTGCATGGAGCCCCAGGCCGAGGGAGATTGACAGTTCTTTTGTGTTTCTTCCATTTGCGAATAATTGCACCAACTGTTGTCACCTTCTCATCAAGCTGCTTGGCAATGGTCTTGTAGCCCATTCCAGCCATGTGTAGGTCTACAATCTTGTCCCTGACATCCTCGGAGAGCTCTTTGGTCTTGGCCATGGTGGAGAGTTTGGAATCTGATTGATTGCTTCTGTGGACAGGTGTCTTTTATACAGGTAACAAGCTGAGATTAGGAGCACTCCCTTTAAGAGTGTGCTCCTAATCTCAGCTAGTTACCTGTATAAAAGACACCTGGGAGCCAGAAATCTTTTTGATTGAGAGGGGGTAAAATACTTATTTCCCTCATTAAAATGCAAATCAATTTATAACATTTTGACATGCGTTTTTCTGGATTTTTTTGTTGTTTCTCTGTCTCTCACTGTTCAAATAAACCTACACTTAAAATTATAGACTGATCAATTCTTTGTCAGTGGGCAAACGTACAAAATCACCAGGGGATCAAATACTTTTTTACCTCACTGTATATGTGGATAGCCTCATGAACGAATCTTTCATGGTAGCCAGATGGCTTACAAAGAACCTCTATATTTAATTTACCGTGTAAGGCTCACTGAGCTATATAGCTGTTTTTTTCAGAAGTGACCTGGCTACAAATGATAGCTCAATGAAGTGGCTTATCGTGTGGCAATTCATTGCAGCCAGATTCTCTAAACGCATGTTTCTAAATGTGGGGAAAAACCAGAGAACCCAGAGAAATATCCACGCGACCATGGGGAGAACAAGCAAACTCCAAATATACAGGCATCAGGGTCGGGATCGAACCCACGACCTCCAGTATTCCAGTCGAGGTAGTTAATATCTCGCCACCATGTGCAGAGAATCACGGTTCGATCCAGTAGGCCGCCCTGATTAATACTGTGTTATAATCATACATTCTGATTAATTCTGTGTAATAACCATACTTTCTTACACAATATTTTTCACAGTAGATGCTATGGTCCACATTTAGAGAAATTACCTGCAAGCTACTAAACTGGGATTACAATTATCGCGAGTGAATGCCCACTTTCAAGCCGGTGCTGAGTCACGTCGTGCCACACAGAGACAGCCGCCACTGGTTGAGATGGGATGTGATGCTTTGAGATGTCGAAGCATATACGTACCATATTGATGCAAATATTCAGATTATAATTATTATTCACATTTGTTCCTATTAATGTGGATGGTGAGTAACCCTTGGCAATTACAGACAAGGGTAGCAGGTCTAGTAATATTTTACTTCAGAGCACCTCTGATTGATTGGTACAGATCCCCAAATGCTATAGATTTTTCAGAAGACATCATTTAAGAGGCTTTTTTCAGAATGAGAAATCGTCTAATTAATCCGCTGTACAGGAAATTTATAAAATTACCGATAAATAAATTGCTATATGTTTTCGCTGCTCATAAAATCATGTGATGTTAAGAATTAAACGTTAAAATTGTGGATGATTCAGTTCATTTTATGAATATTTATCATTTTTACCATCGTTCAAATTGTTGTTGTATGATTATTCATGTGTGACTGTAACATTCTGTTTTTGCTTAAATAGCCGGCAGCAGAATTGAGATGCCACAATCAAGCCCAGGTGATCTACCATGCGCTGCACCGTCACCTCTACTCCAGGGAACACGAGCTTGTGCAGGTACAGGACTCGGTGGATGGTGACACAATCATTACTTCAGCTTCTTTCATCGGGAGATGCTACTCATTTTTTGTTGAAACGTACTGTTTCAATCTACCGTATCATCCTATTGTCCACAAACGCTCAGAGAATTGCTGGCAGAAGGTGATTGAGCATGCAGATATTACAAACACGGTGTTTCCAGATTGAAAATTATTACCCTCCGGTCATCCTTGCAGCAGCGGCTTTTGGCTAACCATCGAACAACGACAATCATTGCATCGCATGCTTTCAGATGTGCTTCTGCAGCTGTCTGGAACGCTCTTGCTTCTAATATTAGGAAGCCACTGGAGCTGTGCACTTTTAAATCTTATTTAATTTCTTTAGAACTTCGTTTTTGTATTTAGCATGTTCTCCTTACCATACACCTCGGATAAGCACGATTGGCTATGTATGGTGTGAAAGAAGTTCAACATGCACATACGTGATCAGTGCAGCTAAAATTCTGGCAGTGTGTATTGTATGCTACGTTTTTACACCCCCCCCCCCCCTCCGTGCATACATCTGGCCAACTGTGGTCTGATCCAGCCACTGGCTGTTCATCTCATTGAAAACTGTTCATTGTTAATGCTCAGACAGCCATATTCAGGCACACTGAGGATTTCTCATCATTCAATTGGTTTAAAACTATCATTGGGATATTCGTTAAATGTATTCCGTTTTTTTTACTTCATGAATCGGCTCGCTTGCCGATGTCTTTTTATTTCACAATACAAGCGGACTTCAATACACAAGACATAATCATTTGGCTTCCCTCTAATTCTGCTTTCATGAAAATTAACTTTTTTTTATTTTAAAATTTATAAGGCAGTGGTGGTAATAAACACAGTTAACTTATTTGTGACTGTGCTGATGTGATTGCACGGTGTCATGCGCAAAGAACCTGGCATCCCGAGTTCGATCCCTGCTCACGGCCAACACCAGTGACGAATATCTGAACCAGTCTTGGGCCTCCCCTAGGTCGACTCAGCCTCAAATGAGTACCTAGTGTGATGTGTAACATCGCCACTGGGAAAACAATGGCGGCCATGTGTGGTGTTGGCCACCCGCCCTCTCGTGTGCCGTGCAGGCCTTCATAGGTGCTCGCTAATGGCACTTGCCCCAGCAGTCTGTTCAGACGATGCGGGGGATCTTTGATTTTGTACTGTGTCAATGCAGGCTGTGCACAGGTGTTTGCTGATTCTGCTGCCGGTGCTGGAAGGACCGTACCTGGCCAATGCTAGCCCTGGTAAAGCCAATCCCATGGCACTCACCAGCAAGGTGCTGCTGCTCACTCTCTCCCACATGGAGATGGAGGACAGACTGTCCCTCCGGCGTGTTTATGCTGAAGTGCTTCCTGCCTACATTGACAGGTGTGTGTGTGGTACACAGTGCGTCGCTCCGATATCACTCTCACACATATAGCATATAACAGTACTGTGTGAATGTGTATTAATTTTGGTAGGATTAGAGCATATTCTCATTGACATCAAATGACGATGCATGGGCAGATAGCCCGTAGGTGTCTAATGCATATTTTGTCATTTGTTTCCACTTTCCTCTGTCTTGTGCTAATATGCTCAGTGCCAAATCTTTCTGGCACCAATCTCCTATGTCGTCGTCATCAAGCCATTCTCTATGAGGTCTTCTCTTTCCTGTTCCTTCCATTTTTCCGAATAACACACTTTTAATTTTCCTGTTATTGTCCATCTGTCCAAATAGTTGCAGTTTCTTTCACATCACTGCCTGCATCAGGTCTCCTTCATTTTGCTGGTCATGTCCAATGTGTCTGCAGCTTTTTACACAATGTGCCTTCCACATCGTGTGGGTCATGGGCAAACGTCATCGGTGGGACTCGTGTAAATGTGGGGGGCTCCAGAGGTTCCTAGTCGTGGGTTGCGAGATCCCCCTAGCATAGCACAAATTAATTTCCCTAAGTGTGGTGGCAGGTTGAGGTGTCGATGCAGTACATTCTGTAAAGTGGATTGGAAATATACGTGGAGAAAGTGTTAACCCTCGACAGGGTAGCCGACATCATAGTCATTAAACAACCAATAGAAATGAATTACAGGAAATTATTGAAGTCATGATTTAATAAGGCTGCAATGTTGGATTCAAGATGAATATGATGGAACAAGTTTGCATAATGAAGAGTTTGTTGGAGTCGCAATTTGACAAAATAGCAGAATATTGTAATTGTACTCGACATGCCTTGCCTCAATTGTAACTTAATAAAATATTGACTGATTTGCTAAACCTAAGCCAATTTTGAGATTGCCCTTTCCTATACGGTCTTGTTCTCCTAAGACGCGGTAGTTGCGTTCCTGAAGAACACCGCGTTATGGTAAATCGTGTTATAATAAATAATATATAATATAAGGTTAAAGCACAGTCTGCCATAACACACAAGATGCGTACGCAGGCTGAACAACGGCTGAGGCGCGTGGGTAGCATCTAGAAGCATCCAGCAGCATCCCGCCTTGTACAATGCTACGCCGAGACAGCCGTACGACTGCTTATTCCTACTCGAGTGACGTAGTTACGTTCACTCAATCGGGTTCTATCCAATTCGCATCCCGCATTATAGAAAATGTGTTGCCTAATACATTAATCACGCTATATCCAATTCTCATTAGGAAAATACGGATTACAGGAGAACAGGCAAGTATTATGGAAACACTGAAGGTGGCACAAGTGAACTCGTGTGTGTGTGCGCACACCGGTCAGGTTGGGCATTCTCATTGTGCGACACATGAAGCAGCTGCTGGGTGTTGTGGGCGCCTTCCTGGAAGTGAGCGACGGCCCTAAGGAGGAGGCCCGAGCCTACATCCTCCTTGCCCTCAAGAGCCTCATCAGCTGCGCGTGGCCCCGGTAAGTTGCTACAAAGATAAACATCTCTCGTACAGCCTTAGCAGACTGTTGGGGAAAGTGCGGCATGATACATGAGGGGGTGGGTGGGTGGCCACCACCACGGCGGACCGCCTTTGTCTCTCCAGTGGCGATTTTCTTATGCATCGCACCAGGTACTCATTTGAGGCTGAGTCGACCTAGGTCAGGCCCCAGGACCGGTTCAGATAATCGTCACTGGTGTTGGCCGTGAGTGGGAATCGAACTTGCGTCAACGGGTTTGTAGTGCAGCGTGCTAACCGCGATACTACTGCTCCCCACATATCGCCACAAAGACAAAGATCCACTGTATAGCCTTAACAGACTGTTGGGGCAAGTGCTATTCGCGAACATCTGTTAAGGTCGGCACGGCACACGATGGGGTGGGTGACCAGCACCACGCCCAACCACCTTTGTCTCCCCAGTGGCGGTGTTTACTCACCTCACCAGGAACTGATTTGAGGCTGAGTCGACCTAGGGCATGACCGATTCTGATAATCATGAGCAGGAATCGAACTCGGATCGTCAAGTTCGTAGCGCAGCGTTCTAACCACTACATTACCGCTCCCCATAAGTTGCTACACACATACGCATTCATTTCTCGGGTGCTATGATTACCAATTCGCCATCGACTCTCAATCAATATATAAACTTTCCATTTTATACTATATTTGCATACGTGAGCTTTGAAATTTCCACTGCTCAGGAGTGAACTTTAATGTAGTGCTCCCTATAAATTGCAAAAACTAATATCTACTTTTACACAAGTCTAATGTGAGTGATAGATTGCACTTCGCCAGTCACAATGAGGAGACCTCCGTCATCCTTCACTTATGGAAGAGGTCGCTCGTGTGCAGTCCCAACTCGGCCAAGTGCAGTGCATAACCAGTCATGCACGTGAGACGTAGATTGTTTGGTGGTCTTGCTTTTTTTCCGAATGCCGTTTGTCTAGGATGGCGGCGCGATGCGGTTTCCTGGTGAAGCTGCTGCTGCGGTTTGCGTACGACATCTCGGCCGAACGGACGACGGTACACGGCAGCGTGCAGCACGCGCTGCTCACTCACGCGGCCGATTGCCTCGTCTCACTCGACCGCTGTTGTGGTGGACAGGTGCAGGTAGGGCCCACGAGGCCGCACGGCCCCAACAGTGTCATGCTAAAAGCATATCTGAGGACTGCTTCAAATTTAAAATAATGTCCACCTCCCGTACGGTATCAGTATCGGCACAAACACGACACACGGCCATGCTCGGACATAGCACGACGGGCACGTGAATAAGTTGATGACCACGAACTAGATGGATCGCACTGACTCGAGAATCGTGGACTCAGGCGATGGAAGAGCAGCCGGATGCAAATGAGCGAATGTGCACGGGGGGACAATAACCACGGAGATGGAGCAATCGAATGGGTTAATGGGAAGGACCACGTCGGATTTTGGCATTGCAGAATTGAGGAATTGCGACGGTGTTGGAGCGTCCTTCATCCAGCAGTGGATAGAGTTGTGATGATAATGTTGATAGAAGCATAACAAATAAACACCCCCTTGATAGTCATCTACACTGGAACAAAAAGTGCTGTTAGGATACACTTATTAAGCCAGGTACAGTGCACAAGCAGTTGGTGTGGACAGTACCATATCCAACCACCTTTGTCTCCCCAGTGGTGACATTACACACCACTTCCAGGTACTTACGTAAAGCTAAGTCATCCTAAGAGAGACCCAGAACTGGTTCAGATGTCACTTGCCACTGATATAATTTCGAGCCACGAATTGAACTCAAATGACTTTGCACATTTCAGAGCCCTACCCACTCCACCACCATTTCCCTCACCACATAGCCTTAACAGACTGTTGGTGCAAGTCCTGTTAGCGAGCACCTACGAAGGCTGGCATGACACACATCTTTGCACCCACACATTCACACACACACTGCAGCAGATGCATCTGCATCTTCAAAAGCAGTAGAATCTGTATATTATAATTAATACTGTCGTCAGCAGCAGCAAGCAGTTAGCAGTGTTTGTGGGGAGACTTACTGGCCTTTATCATGGGAATGTGTAATTTCCACCGCTGACTCCAATGTGCTTGTTTTGTTTAGGCTTTGCTGAGGGACGTAAAGAAGGCTTCTGACAACCCAGGTGTCCTGTATTGCGTTACAACGGTGTTTAGCGAGTGAACGTGTCCAGAGTGCTGCTGTTATTACAAGGTTATACCGACAGTGATATTAATATATCAGTAGCCTTCAGGCACTATTGGCAAACGAAGCAGTGAAAATGTGTGATCGTACTCTATTGAAGCGAACGCAGAGATGACAAGGCTGATACCTTCCATATCACCATGGAGCCAAGCTATATTTTATTGTGTTTCTCCTAATAATAATGTCAAATTGCTATCCGGATGTTTTCTAGTTTTGTGCTAAATTAGCATTACAATAAACATATTTTGTAAAAAGTTAATGATTATATGCATCCCTTTTTATATCACATTTGTTTTTACAAAATTAAGTGAGACAATCTCCTAGCAGTGCATGGCTTGCCATTTAACACTGGTGTTTTTTTAATTACTGCCGAGTATTGGGAATCCATTTGATAAACTTGCCTTGCATGTATATAGGGTAAACTCCTGAATAGCAACAGATCTATATACAGTCTGTTCGATAACTCGTGTCTCGGCCTCACTGTGCGCTGCGTTGCACCACTATCCGAGTAGGTAACCTCGCATTCAATAAACCTTCAAAGCCAGGGTGAACATCCGACTGCAATGTATTTAATTATTAGAAAGAGGTAAAACTGATAGAAAAACACAGCACAAAATACAGCATCTGTTAATACTTGTGTTGTGACATTTCCTGTCACTATACTGTAGCGCCAGCCCCTAATTTGGGAGTGCTGCTAAGTGCTGGGAACCTCCCTAGGAGGCTGAGGGACACGTGACCGGGGGCCAGGAGCCCCTGTCTTGATACAGCAGGGGGCGTGGCCGAGGGCGTGGCGAAGCCACGGCCAAGGAAATAAAGGGGGAGCCCCGACAGGGATCGGGGCTCATTTGTGGGGATCGTCCTGGAACTCGCTCTTCGTTCGTCGGTTGAACCTTAGCTGGGAATCATGGATCAGACAGCGTGTGTGCTGGCTGAACGTTCGCTAGGGTTAACTCGCACGCACATAGCGACATTATAGCTACACCTAGCTAAAGAACCAAAGTGTTACCGTAGGTTGTGTAATGTCTTGCCTCCCAGTTCGTGTGTGCGCCTCAGTGTATCACACTACACTTGCAATATCAACACAATGAATGAACACTGCAGCATCATAACATTGTCTTAGATAACATGAAACTCAACAATAGGTCCTGGATGGACCAGGCACCTCCATTAGCACTGAATAACTATACATCAAGAGAATAAGCTACTGTGTTAAATAAGGTCACTTTGTGTAATCACCATACTGCAGCCTAAATGTACGGCGCTGCACATAACACTGAACTGTGGATGAGATACTTCATCCTTGCTCTCAAGAACACATTAAAGTTATATGGGCACAAGTCTGGCTCGACTTGTCCAACTATAAATATCATTCACAAGTGGCAGGCTTCATTGTTAACTAAGCCTCATATTTATCATAATTTAACAGCATTATAAAGGCAATCCTAACAAAACAGCATTCCCAGTATTATAAGAACATAAACGAATGTACATACTGCTTCTTAAAATCCCACAATGAACAGATGCACCTGTCTTCACTGAGACGCTAATTGTGCCTCCATTTTGTACTGTGTAATGGCTGGCACCCCTTCCTCGTGGCTTGGAGAACCTTAAATCGTAACTTCCTGGTTACTTGATCAAACGCGACATCCTATCAGGAAGTTCCTGTGTAAGCACACCCCCATATCTGCCGTGGGGCAGAACAACTCGTGTCTTTATAATGCAATTAATGTATTAGGGAATACTTTTTTATAACGCGAAAGCATATTGGATATAATGCGATTGAGCAAATGGAACTGTCGCATGAGTAAGAATAAGCGGTTGTACAGCTACCTCAGCGTAGTATCACACAAGGCGGGATGATGCTGGATGCTTCTAGATGCTACCCACGCACCTCAGTCTTTGTTCAGCCTGCGTACGCATCTCATGTGTTACCACGGACTGTGCTTTACCCTATATTACATATTATTTATTATAACGCGATTTTCCATCACGCTTTGTTTGTCAGGAATGCAACTACTAGCGCATTATAGGAGAACAGACTTAACATTTCACTTGCATCAAATCGTCTTTATTAGTTATCATGACCCCGGATGTTGCAGGCAGATTGACAGGGCTATGCATGAACACTAAAACTTATTTGGAAAGCGTGGAAAAACCTACATGCCAAATGTGGAACGTACAATCCAATATCCAGAAAAGTCACTGTGTTCGAGGACTCATTTTCAGGAGCATCGCATTTAAAAAAACAAATTCAGCCAATTAATGATGATTTCGTATGTGTGGCAGGAAACTAGAGCAACTAGGAAAGAAAATCCACATGCGCGAGGGAGCAACACTATCCCCGTACAGATGGAAACAAGTGGCAATCAGCCCGTTTGCTGTGCTGCCTTCTGGCAAGCCAGGATATGGCTCCACCTCGACGCCCACGTAAATAGAGTGTGGGGGCCGACGTCCACCTCCCCGCTCCCCGTGAGCGGGCCGGGAGCGACGTCCACCCCCTCCACTCCCCCCTCCTCCTCTTCGGCCGCCTCTCGACGGGCCCCCGCCGATCGAGTGATCGGCCCCCCTGCGCCAACGTCCTCTCTCGGCTGGCTCACCACCGCCCGGGGTTAAGCCCTAATTTGCGTACCCTCCGGGTGGTTAAGCCCTAATCCGCGTGCCCGCAATGCTAATGTAAACTGAAAAGAAGCGGCGGCTGTATGAACATCTAAAGGTGCGTGCTTCCCCAACGGTCAGCGCTACGGCCCCCAGGGGACCCGGCAGCTTAATGCAAACGCAGTGCAAACTCGCTGCGTAAACACGCACGCGGGCGCTTACCACCGCCGAGGTTATCCCACACGCCGAGCGCTAATCAACATAAACGGTGGCGGTATGAATATGCACACCTACCCCCCCCCCCCCCCCGGGGGCACGCCTCACCGTTATCGCTATCTGTGTAAAAGCGCCGGACACCCCGTCTCTCTATACAGACACTCCACACACAGATCACAGACGCTACGCCGAGGTTCTGCCCACACACACAGAAATCACACTACACCGATATTCTGTACTAGAGTTTATTAATGGTGCCAATACACATTACCCGGCGGAGGAATGTTTCGCGAAGAGAGCCTAGCGTAACTCTGCCTATGAACCCAGTCACTCAAGCGTTCTACGACTTACCTCGTAGCTGTACTGCCGGTGTCGCACAGACGCTGTGAGAGTCGAAGGGACGAGCGAAAACCTCACCTATTACTGCCTCGTAGCAGCACTCGCTGGCATCACATGGTTGCTGCGAGCGGCTCGAGGAGGCAGGACAGCAGGGAGTCGGTCTCTAAACTTCAAAGGCCCGGGGGGGGGGGGGGGGGGGGGGGGGGGGGGGTGTCGCGTCGCGCAGCCAATCACGCGCCTACCTTTCAATTTACAACTGATGCCCCGCCCTCACCTGGAGCGTCCGTTACGCCTCCACCCATCGTTTTCTTAGTTTGCCCCTTACCTGTTTTTCTCCCGTGCCCAGTAGTTTGAGCCTTCGGTTTTGCTCTTTATGCCTAATATTCCAACCTCCGTCCTCCCCCCAATGTTGTGAGTAACTCATTGCGGTTGGCCCAGGGAACCTTTTCTTTTTGCGCCCATACAATTTTAAGCCAATTTAGGGGCACCGCAATGTAACCTGTCCTGTGGGGGTTGGCCAATCTCCTGGCACCGGGAAACCGTGGGACTCTCCCCCTAGGGGCCCTTCGGATTAAAACCCGATTTGCCAGGCAACCTCCCGCCAGGACACTACGTGGGTGCGCTGCGTGCGGGTGTGTGTTTCGTGCGGGGGCCGGGAGGGAGTCGCGGCGCTTGCGGAGTTGCTCCATGGTCGTGGCACCACAAGAGTTTCACAGCATCTGTGCGGTGATCCACACCAACCCTCGCTGCCTCCCACAGTGTTGCATTACAGGCCACATGCAGAGCCACCCATCCACCGCCTGTCTGTGCGGTACTGTGCTAGACCGCCATGGTGTTACTGTGCTAGAAAGCCATGGTGTTTCTGGCAGCATGGAGATGCAAGCAACAAGGCGGCAATGCTTTGCACGCTATTTAATGTTGAGCTTTGGAAGTGTGATTCTCAAAAGTTTCCCTTTTTTTGTTTATACAAGAGCCAGACAATAAAAAGGGGAGTGAACATGAGACCATACACAAGAACCAATACCAATGCCCACCATTCACCTCTAAGTGGCAGTGACGTCATCACGACGCGTGTGCCAGGTCAGGTGCACTTTGAGGCCACGTGAAGTGTCAAAGGCTCGCTGGCAGGAGGTCACCAGACAAGCCCAGGTGCCATGGGTGACTGAGATGCAAGGCCGATGCATTAACTGCACCATGACACAGTATAGAAGAGACAAGACAACATGACACAGTATAGAAGAGACAAAGTACAAAATTGCAGAAGATGAAGACGGTAAAACAACAAATGGGAAATTGATACAGAGGAGATAGTTGATACAAACAAGACAAGCATTTTCTTTGGTTCTTTTGGTAAAGTAACGTAGAATGAGAATAAGCTACCCATACAGATGCTTACTTGAAACCGGATGACCACCACCATCCATCCCAGAAGAACTCCCTCATCAAGACTCTATACCATAGAGCCCAATGCATTTACGACCAGGAACACATTGCCAGTAAACTCAAACACGTACACCAGGCTCTCAGGGCTAATGGTTACTCCAACTACACAATCCGCAAAGCCATCACTCCAGTCATGAAGAAGGATCCTCTTGAGGAGCCACTCAAAACCATCACCTTACCCTACATTGCAGGGGTTACTAAAAAGATCTCCAAAATCCTGAATAAACACAAGATCCAGGTCCGATTCAACACAGTACATAAAATCCGTGATCTGGTTCCATCTGAAAAAGATGCTGTTCCAGACATACAGTACCCGGGCGTTTACAAACTAAAGTGCCTCTGTGGTAGAAACTACATTGTGGAAACCAAACGACATATCTCGGACCGCATCCGCGAACATAATGCAGACTTGAAACACGGTAGGACGAACTCTTCTGCCGTGGCAGATCACTGTTATTATTCAGTGGGTTCACATGACATTGACTTCTCCAAGACGGAGGTTATTTGCAAGCCAACTGGCTACCATGAGAGATTCGTTCATGAGGCCATCCACATATACAAACACAGAGAGAATTTCAATCGAGAAGATGGATTCTGGCTTAGTAACCATTGGAAATATGCTTTAAACCATTTCGGTTCTTAATTAATTGTATTTTACGGTGACTGTCAGACTGCAGCTCTTTCGCTGGCATTGTGACTTTTTCTACCTCCCCCTCCTCCCTTCCGAGCATGGATTGACTCGTCCGCCTGAATGTTGCTGTCCTTGGTGCTGGTGTTGAGGGGATGGGAAAAACCGCCATTTTTCACCATATAACATTGTGATATATAACGACTTATTGTTAGTTGCTCAGCTGATTGGAGAGTATATAGAGTTTATTGATAACATTGAGAAGCTTATATTTTAGTTTTTTAAATTGGTTTACTATATGGTATTCATTATATAGTGTAATGTATACCCAGTTGCTGTATGATTAATAGCTCAGCTTATTGAAGAATATATTAAGTACATTTATTACATTGATGTGATATAGACTTAGTTTTTTCACATCGGTTTACTTTATGATAGTTGGTTAGTTGGAGGCCTTTAGCATCCATATACTAAATGCCTCTGTTGATATGTAAACTTTGACTTTAACACAGCTATTTCTGCCACAAGCTAATCCCTCGGCTATTTCAATGCTAAATTCTCCTGCTCTGATATGTAAACTCCTTTGTCAGGGCTCTTCACGCTTCTCACCGAGCTTAAAAGACGCTATGGTTTACTTTATAATAGTTATAGTAATAGGTTTTACCCTTTTAACTGGCACAAAAAACTGACACCTTTATTCAAGGCATCATGTTTGCAATAATCACAACACAAGCAGTCAAATTGCAAATAAAAGACACAACTCTGATAATAATATGCACTGTCCTTGAATTTGATTGGTCCACACCCGAGACGGCTTTTCTTAGAGCCTAGTCTCCAATGGTGTTGGACCAGAAGACGCCAAAAGGCGTACAACTCAAAAACAGCACACTATCAGAGTATTGAGGGCTCGGGGTGAGCATTTACGTTATGAGACCTCCTTTGCCAGTAACAAGATATAGTAATAGATTTTACCCTTTAACTGGCACAAAACTGACACCTTTATTCAAGGCATCATGTTTGCAATAACCACAACACAAGCAGTCAAATTGCAAACAAAAGAGACAACTCTGATAATAATATGCACTGTCCTTGAATTTGATAAGTCCACACCCGAGACGGCTTTTCTTAGAGCCTAGTCTCCACTGGTGTTGAACCAGAAGACGCCAAAAGGCGTACCACTCAAAAACAGTGCACTATCAGAGTATTGAGGGCTCGGGGTGAGCATTTACATTATGAGACCTCCTTTGCCAGTAACAAGATATAGTAATAGGTTTTACCCTTTTAACTGGCACAAAAACTGACACCTTTATTCAAGGCATCACGTTTGCAATAACCACAACACAAGCCAAAAGGCAAAGGAGGTCTCAATGTAAATGCTCACCCGAGCCCTCAATACTCTGATAGTGTGCTGTTTTTGAGTTGTATGCCTTTTGGCGTCTTCTGGTCCAACACCATTGGAGACTAGGCTCTAAGAAAAGCCGTCTCGGGTGTGGACCAATCAAATTCAAGGACAGTGCATATTATTATCAGAGTTGTCTCTTTTGTTTGCAATTTGACTGCTTATGTTGTGGTTATTGCAAACATGATGCCTTGAATAAAGGTGTCAGTTTTTGTGCCAGTTAAAAGGGTAAAAACCTATTACTATATCTTGTTACTGGCAAAGGAGGTCTCATAATGTAAATTTATAATAGTTGGTAATTGGAGGCCTTTAGCGTCCATATACTAAATGCCTCTGTGGATATGTAAACTTTGACTTTAACACAGCTATTTCTGTCACAAGCCAATCCCTAAGTTTTTTCAATGCTAAATTCTCCTGCTTTGATATGTGAACTCCTTTTTCAAGGCTCGCCACGCCTCTCACCGAGCTTAAAAGACGCTGAGAATCTTAGCAGCGTTAATTGAAGCTCTGTCGTCCCGACAGTTCTGTTCTTTCACCTGAAGAAGGTTACTTGTGTTGTGGCCGAAACGTCGTGAGAATTTTCTTGTCTTATTTTATTTTATTATTTTATTCTCATTCTACGTGACTTTACCAAAAGAACCAAAGAAGATGAATCCTTGCAGTCACGAAAGCTTTAAATCGAAATTTAAGACGAGCATTGCCGATTCCTGAGTAGAAACGTCACGTGACACAATGGCATTGATTCGTGGAGAGGGATGGGAGAAGGCTGCCAACTTGGAAGTGGCATTAAGAATGTGCATGAAGAGCAACAGATCATTTACATGGCCTGGGATGGCTACGCTTGAGCCCAGTTTACGCGGTGTTAGGCAAATATCAATCTGTAGATATCCCACATCAATACAGCCGAAACTTCCATTGTTACTCAATTCTTGCGTACGGCAACATGCTCAGGAGCTAAACGTCGATGTTGGAGGTCTGATAGCCACGACAAGAGGGGTTCATGAGGGAGTTTGTCTAGTTTTGCAACTCAGTTGGACAGCAGGCTATAGTAGTTTACAAAATGATTTGTAATGATTTACCCTGATGCTGCTGATGCTGCTGCTGCCTCTAGACATATAAATGCCAGTGTTTGCTCACTGTGATTATGGAGCAGGGGACTTTGTCCTCGAAAGCAGGTAACCATTACACGACTGAAGGTTGCGCTTGCCAGAGAAAAACACAAGCGCGCTCGACACGTTGAGGCATCGAGGCATTGAGGGCGACATGAGGCTCCAGGACGCGTTGCTGGAGCTGCCCCTGTGGTCCTACTGGGTCTTCGTGTTCCTCCCGGTGTTTCTCCTACTCGTCTTGCTCATCGTTGTGTTGGATGGAAAGCTGAAGCGAGGTAGGTCATAACGCAGCCGTTTCAATACAGGGCAAAAAAGACGTTATTGTCTATTTGTTTGCGTTTCTCCCTTGTGATGGGACTTTGTAGGATGAACGTTGAGATTTATAAGGGCACGGGGTGGACCAATAAGGTATATAATAAGGTAAGCACTGATAAGGGATTGACAGGTATGTGATAGGGCGCTTTCGTGGTGAGCGAAGTATTAATGTAGGGGATGCTTTATTTGGAGATGGTCATTCGAGTACGCGTCTTCCTCACGCTTTCATTGGCTATGTTTTCCATATACTCAATACAGTCTTAAATACAATTTAACAAGCACACATAATAACAATAACATACTGTATGAACGATTTATGACATCCATTGGTATAATATTCACTTTATCTCTAAGTTCAGAATTTTGGTGTAGATATTAGTTCAGAATAACAGTTCAAAGTTCCGCAAATCATATTTTGAGGATTTTATTTGTCTTATCCCCATAGTTTTGCTCGATCGATACGTTGCTTATACACTTGTGTTGCCGAAAGTTTCATCCCTGCTTCTGTAAAATTTCGGACCAAACTACCAACACTACACGGTTTGATAGGGTTCCTTATACTTATGTGTGGAAGCTTTTGTTTATATCAGGGATCGGTAAAACAAGAGCCATGTTTTTTTTATATATATATTTCAAGAGACGTAATGCACTGTGTGGTAAATACGAGACGGTGGTCCTAAATAAATAATGTCACAAAGCGGCCCTTAATGAGCCCCATGCGGCTCCGGAGCCGCATGTTGCTAACCCCTTCCCCATGGTAAACCGGACTCCATGGTAAACTGGACTCCCATGGTGAACTGACTCCCTTGGTGAACTGGACTTCCATGGTTCTGGATTCCCATGGTGAACTGGACTCCCATGGTGATCTGGATTCCCATGGTAAACTGAACGACTTCCATGGTGAACTGGACTTCCATGGTCAGGGGTCGGCAACCAAAATTACAAGAAGAGCCATTTTCATTTTTCACTTCAAGAGCCGCACTGCAGTCCTTAAACAGCCACCGCATGTGGCTCCGGAACCGCAGATTTAGATGATGCTACCCGTGTTGTAATCTGGACAACCGTGAGTAGTAATGTGATCCGAGTCCATTGTCTCCAGTATACGCTACTCTTCTACACCTAAACGTACAGTATCCAATCCAACACAGTAGTCCAATATAAATTAATGTATATCATAACGCCGGGTTGCTATGAGGAGGGACTTGCCCCAGAGAAAAGCGACCAAATTTATTAAAGGGCTGCCCAAAATGCTGGCAATAAAAACCCGGAGCCGGGATTCTTGGTGTGGTCTGGGACATGTTTTTGTTGTTTTCCTGCCTTGCCCTAACTTTCATTTAGTGTTGAAAAATCGGCAGGAATGTATATGTAGTGTTCGATTTCACTCGGACAACTTCTGTCTTTCTCCGAACACCGCTTTATTTACAACTCTCAGTATGTCCTCCACATTCCACAGTATCCTGGTCGCCACGGCTCGCTCGCCGTGCTTTACTCGACTCGCTCGCCACCTTTGTCTCTCCACTCCCCACGATTACTTCGCTTACTCCCCACAATTACTTCGCTTACTCTGCCACTAACTTCTTCGTCTCCGCTCTCCGCTATCACCGTCGCTATGTTCTCTCCACTGCTAACTTCTTCGTCTTTGTTCACCGCTATCATCATCACTATGCTCACTCCACTGCTAACTGCTTCATCTCTGTTCACCGCTATCACCGTCACTATGCTCACTCCACTGTTACTGCTTCATCTCTGTTCACCGCTATCACCGTCACTGTGCTCACTCCACTGCTGGCTGTTCTCGTCTTCAGCTCCGCTATCGCTACGCTCTCTCCACTGCTGGCTATTCCCATCTCCAGCTCCGCTATCGCTACGCTCTCTCCACTGCGGGCTATTCTCGTCTTCAGCTCCGCTATCGCTACGCTCTCTCCACCGCTAACTGCTTCGTCTTTGTTCAGCTTCGCTATCGCTACGCTCACTCCACCGCTAACTACTTCGTCTTTATATTCTTAGTTTTTTCGGTAAAGTCACGTTGAAGAGAAACAACAAAATAATAAAATATATATAAAACAATAAAAAAAATTCTCACGACGTTTCGACCATAACTCAAACGGTCATCTTCAGGTGTGTCCGAGATATGTCTTTTGGTTTCTCCAATGTAGCTACTACCACAGAGGCACTTTAGTTTGTACATGCCCGGGTACTGTATGTCTGGAACAGCATCTTTTACAGATGGAACTAAATCACGGATTTTATGTACTGTGTTGAATCGGACCGCATCCGCGAACATAAAGCAGACTTGAAACACGGTAGGACGAACTCCTCTGCCGTGGCAGATCACTGTTATAATTCAGTGGGCTCACATGACATTGACTTCTCCAAGACGGAGGTTCTTTGCAAACCAACCGGCTACCATGAGAGATTCGTTCATGAGGCCATTCACATATACAAGCACAGAGACAATTTCAACCGAGAAGATGGATTCTGGCTTAGTAACCACTGGAAAGATGTTTTAAATCATTTCTGTTCTTAATTAATTGTATTTTTACGATGACCTTCAGACCGCAGCTCCTTCGCCAGCATTGACTCTTAATACCTCTCACACCACTGTTAATGGTATGGTTTTACAACATGGAGTATAATAGCGCCTCGCAGCTGTCTCTCTCCCCCTCCTCTGTTCTGACCATGGACGAACTCGTCCGTCTGAACGGGGCCCGTAGCTATCCGTGGTGCTAAAGTTGAGGGTAAGAATCCACCCATTTTTTCGCCATATAGCATTGTGATATATAACGACTTATTGTTGGTAGCTTAGCTGATTGGAGAATATAGAGTTTATTGATAACATTAAGGTAATTTATATTTTAGTTTTTTATTGGTTCACTATATAGTCCTGTGAATAGCTCAGATGTGTAGGCCTTGACTTCAACATAGTCATTTCTGTGACCAGTCACTAGCTAATCACTCAGTTATTTCAATGCTAAATTCGCCTAGTTATTTCAATGCTAAATTCTCCTGTTTGATTTGTACTAAGTGCCTCGATGAATGTGTATGCTCTGACTTTAACGTAGCTATTTCTGTGAGCAGTTACAAGCTAATCACTCAGCTATTTCAATGCTAAATTCTATGCTAATTCCATTGTCAAGGTGTGCCTCTGTGGATGTGTATGCTTTAACTTAGCTATTTCAATGCTACATTCTATGCTAAGTCCTTTAACAAGGGGTGCCTCTGCGGATGTGTATGCTTTAACTTTTAACATAGCTATTCCTGTGACCAGTCACAAGCTAATCGTTCAGCCATTTTAATGCTAATTTATATGCTAATTCCTTTGTCAAGGCGCTTTGTTCCTCTCACACAGCTTAAAGGCCGTGATCTGAACGTGGCTCTTTCACTCCAGCGCTGTCCTACCAGACAGTCTCGTCCCTTCACCTGATGAAGGCCGCTTGTGTTGTGGCCGAAACGTCGTGAGAATATTATTGTGTTATTTTATTTTATCAATTTATTATTTTATTCTCATTCTACGTGACTTTACCGAAAGAACCAAAGAAGATGAATCATTGCAGTCACGAAAGCTTTAAATCGAAATACTTCGTCTTTGTTCAGCTTCGCTATCGCTACGCTCTCTCCAAGCTCCGTCTCCAACTCCGTCTCCCTTCCACTCTGTCTTCCAAACTCTGTCTCTCAAACTCTGTCTCTCAAACTCTGTCTTCCAAACTCTGTCTCTCAAACTCTCCACACTTCAATTCCCCCTGTTGACTCCAAGCTCTCCAAACTCCAACTCCCGCTCCAATTGCCGACCCCCAATTTATCCATGCTCTCATCACACCCTAATTAATTAACCCGCGTCCCAACGGCACCCCGCGTGATCCGTACACCTGTTTCTCGCCAGACTTCAAGACGCCTCTCCAGCCCCGGCAACAGCACCAACCAATCACAGCCGTCCTTGGCTCTCCCAACCTTATTGCCCTCACATGACCTGTACTGTATTTGCTATCATGTAATCACACTGTTTCCACAACGCACCTTCGTACTCCACTACATTTATACTTACGCAATTTATACCGATACAGTATACCTTATATGTATTTATTTGTTTTAGTGACCTGCTTAACCTTACTCTATTCTGTACTCATATCGGGTTTGTTTTGTATTGTGCTGTTGTTGTAACTTGCTGACACGCCACCTACTGGACATCTGTGAAAAGTGGCTTTATAGCTCATCGGATGCCTCCTCCAGGATAAATAACGATTCTGATTCTGACCGTCGGAATCATCGGCCGCTGTGCCCGGTGTGTCGGGGGTTTCCTGCCTTCAGAAGGCTCGACATGAGAGTGGCCGCCGTGTGCGAAGGGACCCGAGTTATTGGCCACAAACGAGTGATCAATGATAACTCATAGTCGATTGATCGACTGAATCAACATGACGCATGACGCCATCTCGCAACGTCGCACAGCGTGCGCCGCGTAACATACTTTTTATTACACACTTTTTATTAAATGCCTTGAGTCTTTGGATATCCTCATATCTTGTAACTCAATTTTAACCCACTTCCCAATGTGGTATCGACTGCAAACTTGGTATACTTATGTCATACTGATGCCAATACTATATTCTATCATTAAAAATAAAATAATTTAAACATTTTTTACATGTTATGTTTCGGCTTGGAGTCTACTTGTGTACGCTCAACTCACGTTGGCTGTAATTGCCCACAGTCCCTTACGTTATGGCAAGCTTCGGGCCACTTCCTGGAGTCGTGGAGTACTTCCATTTCTAGTATGGTACATTTCAATAAAGCGCACTTATATTGAGAAGTACTTTGAGGTGTCTCTCACGAAAGGTGTTGACTTGTAGACTCTCGATGCTGTTCAAAATCCGAATCTTTATTTTAGACTGGAGGAGGAATCCGATGAGCTATGGAGCTATTTTTCACAGATGTTAAGTAGGGGTGGGTCGGAAAGCTACAGTAAGTAGCACGGTTGGGGGGGGGGGTCACATATTTGTGAGGATGTGTGACGAGGGGGGGGGGGGTTGAGAAATGTGCAACTTTAAATAAATATAGACAACAAGTTCTACTTAATTAAATATACTTTTTAATAAATTGTTCTCCTACAACATCAGAGTGCAGCGGCACATTGAATATGCACTACATTTTTAGGGGGGGCAGAGCTTTGTGATGTCATATTTTACGGGGGGGGGGGGTCTGACTTTTTGTGACGCTGTGTGACGAGGGGGGTGAAAAATCGTCAAATATCTCGTGACGTCATTTATGGACGGCCCCGTTGACTACGTACGGTGTGAAAGAACTTCAACATACAGTTACAATACAAAACACAAAAGGCGTGCAAAATAGAGAAAAAGGGAAAGCAAGTCACGAAAACTAAATAATAAATAATGTAAGTACAAATGGCATAAGTACATACATTCATACTGATTGTTCAACAATAAATACAAGCTCTTTGGGTCTTTCGGTAAAGTCACGTAGATAGAAAAAGAAAAAAGTGATTTTTTAAAATTATATTTATACCTACATGACTTTACCGAAAGACCCAAAGAGTATGAATTCCTGCAGTTACAAAAGCTTTAAGTTAAGAAATGAATGCAACTTTGGACAAGGCAGCAAAACAACGAAGACCACACCAAGACAACACACACAAGTCCCTCAATACAGTTGCACATTAACATTGTAAGTTTCTTGTCAAAAGGTGCTAAGAATGCCACTTTGAAATAAGGACATCAACTTGGAAGTTTGGAACAGTATTGCCAGAACGTAATTGTCGAGATCACAAAAAAACCACGAGATATAGTGATGAGTAGGGTACGTGTGCAGCAGGCAGATTGGAGCAAGGCAAGTGTGGGGGCTAACGTCCAGCTCCCCGCTCCCCATGAGCGCGCGGGGCGCGACGTCCACCCCCTCCACTCCCCACTCCTCCTCGTCGGCCGCCTCTCGCTGGGCCCCCGCCGATCAGGTGATCGGCCCCCCCCGCACCAGCGCCCTCTCTGAGGGACATATCTGAACGGCTGGCTTACACACGCTCAAATCACACCACCACACAAACGAACGCGGAGGCGTGCACGCGCGCGCGCGCCCCTGCAGGCGCGTTTTTTCCCTCACAAAGCTGGCATTGACCAAAAGGAACGGCGGCGGTATGAATATCTATAGGTAGGCATGCTTCCCCAACGGCCAGCGCTATGGCCCAGGCGGACCTGGCAGCGTAATGCAAACGCGGTGCAAACTTGCTGCGTAAAGCGCGCTGTGTAAACACGCACGCAAGCGCTTACTATCGCCGAGGTTATCCCACACACGCCGAGCGCTAATCAACAGAACCAGCGGCGGTATGAATATGTACACCTACACCCCCCCCCCCCCCTCCCCGTGGATAAGCCTTAATCTGCTGTGCAGATGCTAATGCTAGCGGAAAAGGAACGGCGGGGATAGGACTATGGGGCATGCCTCACTGTTAACGCTATTTCTACTGTGTAAACGCGCGGCGTAAAGCGTGCTGTGTAAACACGCACGTAAGCGCAAGCACGCACAAACGACGGCGGCTGTATGTGCTGCAGTACAGGTGCCTCACGCGCATGCTTAAATCACTCACACTGCACCCACGTTGCAGTCCTGCGCTCGCGCTCACGCTGGGCACACCGTCTCTCCACGCAGACGGACGCGCCACACACAGATCACAGAAGCTACGCCGAGGTTCTGCCCACACACACAGAAATCACACGACACCGATATTCTGTACTATAGTTTATTAATGGCGCCAATACGCATTACCCGGAGGAGGAAAAGTTCGCGAGGAGAGCCGAGCGTAACCGTGCCTATGAACCCAGCTACTCAAACGTCCTAACACATACCTTGAAAGTGGACTCGCTGCGTCCCATGGACGCTGAGAGAGTCGGAGGGAGGAGGATGAGAGAAGACTTGCCCAATCACTGTCTCGCAGCAGCACTCGCTGGCATCACACGGATGCTGTGAGTGGCTTGAAGAGGCAGGACGGCAGGCAGGGAGTGGGTCGTGATAGCCTGGAGGTTGTAGACAACTGAACTAATCGTCCTGGGGCTCCCACCTTTATACTCTAAACTTCAAAGGCCCAGGGGGCGTCGTGCAGTCAATCACGCGCCCCGCCCTCACCTGGAGCGTCCGTCATGCCCCCACCCATTTTCCCCTGCTCAGGGTTCCTTGCTCAGGGTTTCTTGCTCAAGGTGCCTAATATTCCACCCTCCATCCTCCCCCTAATGTTGTGTGTAACTCATTGCGGTTGGCCCAAGGAACCTTTTCTTTTTGCGCTCATACAATTTTAAGCCAATTTAGGGGCACCGCAATGTAACCTGTCCTGTGGGGGTCGGCCAATCTGGCACCGGGAAACCGCGGGACTCTCCCCCTAGGGGCCCTTTGGATTAAAACCCGATGTGCCAGGCAACCCCCCGCCAGTACTCTACGTGGGTGCACTGTGTGCGGGTGTGTGTTTAGTGCGGGGGTCGGGAGGGAGTCGCGGCGCTTGCGGAGTTGCTCCTCGGTCGTGGTACCACACAAGCCACCATGACAGCATAGCTGTCAGCCCATAAGGTTTATCCCATGTTCTTGTACAGGGAAATTGAGTTTTCAGGTACATACGGCATACAACCGTTTCCACCACCACCCGACACAGCCAGCTAGTAAGGGTTGTCACGTAAACAGAACATGCCAATTCGTCACTAGTACAGCACGTCGGTGTGTTGGAGAGCCAAGCCACAGCATTTACAATCTGAGTACGACGTTTTGCCAGTAATTACTATCTTAATCAGGCGACAGCCAGAGCTAGTTGTAATTACTGGCGAAATGTCGTACTCAGATTCTAAATGCTGTGGCTTGGCTCTCCAACACACCGGTGTGCTGTACTAGTGACGAATTGGCATGTTCTGTTTACGTGACAATCCTTATTAGTTAGCTGTGGCGGGGTTTAACGACACATTTATATATTTACGCGATCTAACCCAAAAAAACCTCTGTTATGGATATTGGTCACGAAAGCATACGTGTGTAGTGTCTAGTAAAATCACTCAATCGGACACGTTGTTACAAGTCACCTGCTTACATTTTATTACCCTATTCTTGCACCAGTTGTAGGCACTCCTATATCTGTCTCTACGGTCACTTTTGTTAACCAACTTCGTTAACACCTCGTTAACCTCCCTGCGGCAGCTCTTCCTCTTAGCCCCTCCGTACTCAGCTTTGCACACAGACAGCAGCTCACACAGAGGCTCACACACAGCAGCGCTCACACAGAGGCTTGCACACAGATGCGCTCACACAGAGCTTGCATACAACAGCGCTCACACAGAGGCTTCGCTCACACAGAGCTTGCACACAGCTGCTCTCCCTCTGCGCTGCTGACCTCGCCTACGTTCCCTCAGACCCACTCGCTCGTCCGATCCGGGCGGGGGCATCAACCATCATCCACCCGGAAACTCGTGAGGGTTGAGGACCGTCCCTGGCTTGAGCGGCAGCAGCGAGATGTCTTCATCTTGGTCCCAGAACCCGAACTCCCGCTCCGCTCTCACGCACCCCCTTATATCCTCCTCCCAATTATCCAGCTCTCCCCTTGTGTCTCTTGAGAGCCAGACAGGCTGGCGCCTCTCAGGCCATCAATCACCCCTTATCGCACCTCTCCAAGGCGACAACTCCGGTGCCAGCGCACAACCCCGGGCCGACCCCATCTGCAACAGATTCTCCCGTTAATGAGAACGCACACCTGCCTGCCCTCGGTTGCCCTCGGCCAGCAGTGCGCACCGCGTATTTTACCACGCTACATGTGTTAGATGGATAAATGTTCACCAGACCGATGTACAAATGTACCGTTCGGAATGTGCTAACGTGTCTTTTACAGAGGGTGAGCTTCCCCAGCTGAAGCCGACGCTTGCTGAACTACTGCAATGGGAGATGGGAGTCCCGTTATCAAAGACGGCCTGAGACAATCAATAGGAAAGACCCCTAAATCATCCCACTCACGTGTAAGCACTGCACTGGTAAATGTGTACGATGGATATGCCTGCCGATTCTCAAGTCATCAGACATCCAAAAAGACCGAATCCTTCATACATGCTAGAGGCCGACCGAAACTGAATTTCTGGTTTCGGTCAAAACCGAAACTGAAAGTTTAACTACACTTTCGACCGAGACCGAAACAGAAAGATATATAACCGAAGTTTTCCGAACACAAGATTTATGAAATGTCATGATGTAATGCTACTTTAATTAAAACGAAATCTAGAACTAATCATTCAGTGCCTGCAGTAAGAGTCGCTAAATATAAAATCTTTAGGTGTTACTTAACAATTATTTCCAAACAAGCGAATGTTGTAGTTAAGAAACAACAGTTTTTCCGCATTCAGCCAGACAGGCTGCCGTCTGTTGACCGGTCGTATCTACATTAGCAGACCATGGTTGCGGCTGTAACCTCGCTCCCAAGCTGCTGCTGCTGCTGACATATGTGTGTGTGTTTGTGTACGTGTGTGTTTGTGTATACGTGTGTGTTTGTGTGTACGTGTGTGTGTGTTTGTGTGTACGTGTGTGTGTGTGTTTGCAGCCTATCGCATAGGATTGCCTAGCACCGACTGACCGGCCGATAGGCAGAGTGATAGACGTAGCACTAGCGTTACATTCTAAAAATAGATCTTCGGTTGACGAATGACGAACGAAAGTCAATATCAGTTTCGGCCGAAACCGAAACCAGACTGAAAGTTAAAAATTGACTTTTGGCTGAAACCGAAAGTATGCCAAAAAAGGGCATTTGGCAACTTTCGGCGCCGAAACCGAAACAGAATTTCGGTCAGCCACTAATACACACAGAGGCGTGGACTGGTCCTCCAGTTCAGGTGTGTAAAAACACATCTACGGTATATTCCCTGGTAAATATCACAGTAGTAACAATGATTGGGGTTTAAAGGGGGAGGGAGGGGAGACTCGTTCCCCGTCCCAAGAGGAGGCGACATCTATGCAAGTCTCGCCGTCTTTAAACTCGCACCGTCGTCCACCAACATCCATCGACAACACTCAACGGACCCAACCAACGTCCTGCCGTTGCTGCAACTCTCCCCCACCCTCCTCCACCCTGCAGGCTGCAGAGCTCGAGGAGTAGAAGGGGGCAGGAGTCGGTGGTGGGCCCCAGAGGTCCGCGAAGAGAGACAAAGGCAGTGTGGGCGCCACTGCGGGCCCTGCTGCGTCCGTGCGAGCCAAGTCACTGACCTTCACTCGTCTGTGTTGTTATTTGTTTGTCGTCGTTGTTCAAGGTTTGTGTAGAATCGGAATCGCGAAGCTTTCCCTCCGTAGTGCTTACTTTAATTGCACTACCACGCGCGGTTTAACCCAATGACTCAATTACCAGTCCCAACCCAATGATGTTACCGGCCACAGGCATCACCACCGCGCCGAGGCATCATCTCCTGTCGCTCCCTCTAACAGCACAGTACACGTGGCACCACTTCCACAACCTGCCAATGTGCTGCGGGCATCCCCTTGGCAGGTTACCACGGCCGTGTAATCTACCGAAGGTGAGAAATATCGACGTCCCACCCAAATAACATCCAATCGACAAATGCCCCCTCCATGTATACTCAGTGTAACAACACCGGTCGGCCCGCTCTGCAGTTCTGTATAGTATTGTGGTGCCACGATGGGGAGATGTTAAGTGCCTCACCTGCTATGCAAGAGGTCGTGGGTTCGATCTCGACCCTGACGCCTGTATATCTGGAGTTTGCATGTTCTCTACGTGGTCGCGTTGTCTTTTCTCCGGATCCTCCTTTTTTCTGTCAGCATTTGGAAACGTGCGTTTAGAGTATTTGGTTGCGAGAAATTTCCACGTGATAAGCCACTTCGTTGAGCTATCCTTTGTGGCCAGGTCGTTTCTCAAAAAGAGCTATATAGCTCAGTGGGCCTTACCTGGTAAAATAAAAAAAAGTTTAGTTTTTAGGATTGCAGTATCTTCGGTTGTGGCTGTTGGGCCCACAAAAATGTTACTTGTTCACCCCTGGTGACTTCTCATTGCCCCCTGTAACCACATCACGTCTCTCTGTGCTGAGCAACCCCCCTGACACTGGGCCCAATCCAACCTTCAGAGTTCTTACACTGACCATCAACCGCTTTCCTAAACACGTCTTGCTTGTGTGGTCGATTGACCTCTTAATATTGCCATGATTTCGTTCTTGATGATCTTCATGAACAATGTGTACACGTGCGATAATAAGCGAATGGGGTCTGTAATTCGAATCAGTTTCGTGTCACCCTTGTGCAATGGGAGGTATCGCTCCACGTTCGAGGCGTTGCGTCTCTGTGCACGCTTTCTCCATTGCGGTACATTCCACACAAATCGCGATAAGAGGCACCTGACAATTTGAAAGTACTGTGCTTTGTTGGATTGTGTGAGACAATGTGTTTAAATTGTAACTTGTACAACGCATGAATTGGTAAAATAATAGGCAGTTTCAAATATTTACACTTTTACAAAAAAAATTTCAATCCACCTTTCGTTACGGAACCTCGTGTAACGCGAGACATGCGTTCCGGAAAAAAACAACGCCTAAGTCGAATCGCACTATATGAAGCCTATTTTTCTATAGATATACATGTTATTAGCACAGTTGGCTATGTACGGTGTGAAAGAAGTTCAACATACATACGTTACAAGGGCGGATGCATTACCGAATAATTAAACATTGAATTATTTTAGCCCTGCATTTCCAAAATACATATAAATGCAATACTTAATAACATTGCAACAACATACTTAGTAAGGAGTTTAATTACACGTAATAGTAATCAAGATGACTTAATGAGTAACTTCAGGGCTTCTTGAACATTTCCGTGGTCTGCTTCTACTCAGAGCTCCGGCGGCTGTGCCCAGCCCGTGACTCTGGGCGCTGCCATGACGCGGAGGCGCCATCAGAAATATTGAAAGAAAAAATAAAACATTGTATATGAAAAATGGGGTTTTGTCATTTTCATGAGCGCGTAACTATGAAACCCACAGCGTAAGTGCGAAGCTTGTCCCTAAAAGATGAATCGCGTAACTACGAATTTGCTTTCCGGGTCGGTTCGGGTCAGGGGAGAGCGGTCCACTTTGCGCGAGGGGGACGCCTGGATCCCACTCTGTACTGCTGCTTTTTATTTCCGCACATCTATGAAAAGTGCGCACTAAAATATATATATAACCCCCCACCGGTTTCATCGCGAACACTGCCTCATGGTGATTTTATTTATGAGAATAGGTTTTCCCCTTTTATCTGGCAACAAAACAGGTGTTAAGTTGTTAAAACACCAAACTAAAACCTTTTACAAGGAATCATGTCTGCATTAATCACAATACTTGTGGTCAAAATGCAAACAAAAAAACATACTCTGATAATATATGCATTATCTTTGAAACTGATTGGTCCACACCAGAGACAGCTTTCTTTTGAGCCTCGTCTCAAATGGTGTTAGACCAGAGGACGCCAAAAGGCGTTTGCATTCTGACCACAAGCATTGTGGTTAATGCAGACATGATTCCTTGTAAAAGGTTTCAGTTTGGTGTTTTAACAACTTAACACCTGTTGCCAGATAAAAAGGGAAAAACCTATTCTCATATTTTGGTACTGGCAAAGGAAGTCCCATGATGATTTTATTTATGTTACGGTCATTGTAAGACATAGCCCTTCTGACTCTGCAGTTATTGCTGTTTACTCCAATTTTAACGAGTTCATCTCACGGGGTAAGCACCCATAAGCTTTGAATATGGGGAACATGTAAGCCCACGAAATGCAGTATGTTTTTGTTACTCCGCTGTGTTGTTGTGATGAAGCTGCCGATTCTTATTTGTGTTTGTGCGCCATTACAAATGCATTCCCTTATGTTTGACGCCTCTGAGAGAGGCACACTGCCAGCGTGTGTTCTCCACTGCTTAAGGTCACACAAACATTTGACGTTGCCTGTTTAACATTTTCAATGTACCACGTAATTTACATGTACGGAGCATTTGAGTGTTCCCGATTGTAAATACTCAGGACAACTGTCAATAGATATACTGCATATTTTATTGGAAGCAAAAGTTTTTAACAAGCCTTGGCATATGTTGACGTAGCGTGAACCACAAAAAATTGCATACAATATGTAAATCAAAGTGTTATATAAAAAAAAAACGTGTAAGATACGGATTTATTTATATTCTAAAATGCACTCATCTACTTCATTATAAACATTTTTTTTAGATTTTAATTTTATAAAGTGTTTTTTAAACTGAAAATTACAAGTTACCCCCCCCACCCCGCCACACTATAACTACTCATCCTCCCGTGCAAAGCGTCGAGTATGAAGCCCGGAGTTTCCAACCCGCGGGACGGCTCCCAACAGCCGCGACGCGATCGCCGGGGTGCTGTCGTCATGATCCATTCCCTCCATCACTCACTCTGTGAAAAAAAAGATCAAATAAAATGCACAGTTAACTTCTAGATTTGAAGCTTTCGTGACTGCAAGGATCCATACTCTTTGGTTCTATTCGGTAAAGTCACGTAAAAGTATAAAACAACAAAAATAAAAATAAAATCTGCTCAACGATGGAAGTTACTCAAAAATTAAAAATTACCCTACCAATAGCCTAGCGATAAAAACCAACAAGATCATCACAAGTTCGACCTCCCTAATCGACCCAACTAAACGTCCCTCCCTAAAACCTTCTGCTGCAAGACCCCCTAGATTCTATGGTCTTCCCAAGATTCATAAAGAAGGCACCCCACTACGACCCATCGTATCCACGATCAACTCCCCTACCTATAGACTAGCCTGTTTTCTGGCATATACCTTGCTGCCTTTCACTGGCAAGACCGCCTCAGCAGTACTTAACTCAGCCCAATTGGTCTCTATGGTCAAAGACGTTGTACTGTCCCCTGACCATATCCTTGTCAGCTTCGATATGGTCTCTTTGTTCACCAAGGTCCCAGTACCTGATACCATTGAAATAATTGAAAATTTGGTCCAACATGGACTAGACCCCGATAAACCTGCACTGGTTAGGCACTGCCTCAACAATACCTACTTTACTTGGAATGACTCATTCTACAAACAAAATGAGGGTATCCCCATGGGATCCCCCTTGTCACCAGTGATAGCCAATATTTTCATGGAGAAATTTGAATCAGACGCCATCCAGACTTCCACCCTCAGACCTTCCCTGTGGAAGAGATATGTAGACGACCCTTTCGTCATTTGGCCACATGGCCTCCCGGCTTTGAACCTTTTCCTAGACCACATTAATTCCAGACACCCCGCCATCAAATTCACCATGGAAGTGGAGAAAGATGGCAAGCTGCCATTCTTGGATGTTCTGTTTGAGAGGAGACCTGATGGCTCATTGGGACATTCTGTCTACAGGAAACCCACCCACACAGTTTCCTACTTGAAACCTGATTCCCACCACCACCCGACGCAAAATAATTATCTCATCAAAACGTTATACCACAGGGCTCATTGCATTTCGGACCAACACCACCTGACCAGTGAATTAAAACATGTGCATCTGGCCCTCACAAGGAATGGATACTCTGACCGTACCATCCGCCAAGCTGTTTCTTCCTCCATACAGAAACAACCACTTGATACTCTGATCAAAACCATCACACTGCCATATATAGCAGGCGTTACTAAAAAGATCTCCAAAATTCTAAACAAACACAAGATCCTGGTCCGGTTCAATACAGTACACAAAATCCGTGACCTGATCCCTTCCGTGAAGGATGTCATTCCTGATTTACAGTACCCCGGAGTTTACAGATTGATCTGTACCTGTGGTGACTGCTATATATCGGGGAGACCAAACGACATGTCTCTGACCGAATTCGCGAGCACAAATCAGATTTGAAACACGGCAGAATGGATTCTTCTGCCGTAGCTGATCACTGTTACAACGCTGTGGGTGATCACGATATAATTTTCTCCGATACCAAGGTTCTTTGCAAACCCACGGGTTTTTATCAGAGATTTGTTCACGAGGCAATTCAGATTTACAAACAGACACAATTTCAACCGAGAAGATGGTTTCAAATTAAGCAACCATTGGAAAGATGTTCTAAATCGAACCAAACATTAAACTAATTTTCAATGGTACAGTATATTTTTTTCAAGTAGTGGTATCCCAAAGTTTCACAGCTGCTTAAATTCCCTTTTCACACCATCAATATGTAAACTCCCCCTCCCCCACTCGCCGGTCTGCACATGTTCCCCCTCTCTACACCGTTCACCATGCTAAGTCCGCCAATTAAATGCTAATTTTTATGCTAATTCCTTTGTCAAGGCGCTCTGCTTCCTCTCACACAGCTTAAAGGTCGCGGTCTGAGCTTGGCTGTGTTCACTCCAGCGCTGTCCTTGAGACAGTCTGGTCCCTTCACCTGATGAAGGCCACTTGTGTTGTGGCCGAAACGTCGTGAATTTTTTATTTTTGTTGTTTTATACTTTTACGTGACTTTACCGAATAGAACCAAAGAGTATGCACAGTTAACCTTCACGCAATCATCGCCTTCAAACATAACCTAAGCTCGCTGTGTGTGCTCCGTGTAGTCTACATGCATGGCCACTTTACATTTATATCGTGACATTGTACCGTGAAGAAGAAAACACCCAACATCTCAAATTGTAAAAAGCGAGTATTTAAATATGAATGATAAAGGGGACATCATAGTCAATGTCAATGCAACATTTCAGTATCACAAACACGCTAAGTCTATCTCTCTGATTCACAGTCACACAGGCATTATTCCTGTCTAAAACACCCACCTTTAATGAGTTGACCTTTAAACTCTTCCAAAGTAGTGCACGAAGGCTTTCGCGGCCAATATTATTCATAGTACAGTTTGTGGGTTAGAGTGCGTAAATAGAAATGTGTTGTTAACCCACTGCCACCCGACAGCCAATCAGTAAGGTTTGTCACGTGAACAAAACAATTCTGAAAAATCGCCTGATGAAGCTGGTCGTAATCACCAGCGAAACATTGTACTCAATTGTACATTTTGTGGGTTTACTTTCCATCACACAGATGTGCTTAAGTAATGGCCATTTGGTACGTTTTGTTCACGTGACAAATCTTAATAATTAGCTGTGTCGGGTGTTGGTGGCATAACGACATACCAAGTCTTGTGATCTCACAACCTCCTGGTTTATGTACATTACGACTGCAGTATTTTCAGCCTAGGTCTATCAAAATTGTGCATAATATGGTAATAAAGTCCTACATAATACCAGTGCCACATCTCAGTAGAAATCAATTCCTGCTCCCTGAACCCTGATACCAATTCCTGGAATTTCCAGGTAGAATTTTCTGCAGAAGTGATCTGGCCTAAGAGTTTTCATTCGCCACTTTTTGCAGAAGGTTCACAGTGCTATTCCAGCAGCTGCTCTGGTTAATACTGCAGGTGCATGAACCAAAAACATCCATGCTGTCTGCTTCATAGTGGACGTTAAAGACGCAACTTGAGGCCATTCTGTGCCAACGGCATGATCCACATTTGTCAAATTTGAAATATTACCCGCAAATTACTCAATTGGGATAGAACACAGTAACCATCGCCCCCTCCTGAAAAAAAATTGGCAGCAACATCCTGAAAAAAAGACATGATACTCAGGCTTTCCTGGGTAAACAAGCATAATAATTATTAGGTGTGTAATGGACATTTGACAAAGAGTTAGGGTTGTAAGCCAGGTCTCTTTCTGGTTATATTATCAGCGTTTCTTCACAAGATGTCCATATGCGGCAGCACAGCTACTGTTGTGTGTGGTGTTTTACGATGCCTTGCACGGATGGAGGCGTTATAACGGTTTACCCACAAGGATACAAGAAGATTCTGGCCCTTCCCGTAATAATGTCCCAGCATGGCTGTAGACTTTCTGTGGACCTACCGGGCACTGCGTTATCCCGGTCATCCTCCACTACTTCGCTCTCCTTATGAACGACCACTCTGGTGACTGACATTCCTGGGTGCTGCTTCTTTGCTTCCTTGATGGCCTCAACTAGGGCCTACACAAAATGCAAATTTAAGTTAATGCGTTTCAAGAACGGTGTTCATTCGGTATATATACGAGTAATCACCATATTACTCTGCCCAAGTTCAAGCCACACGTTATACACATTACGATCCGTGTATATGATCCAATTACCACACAAGTCCTGTTGGTTTCTTTCTTCCAGTGCCTGAGCAATGCTGGACACATCTGTTCATCTAGTTCTGAAGTCACTTCAATAGGCCTCATCTACACCAGATGGCACACATGTATACGTGTCCTGCAAACACAGTGTTCGTGACATGACAATATAAAACAGATTTCTAATTCTCAGAACTGAAATCTGCCAAATTAGATTCGAAAGCAAATTCAGTACAGTATCACTTTTTTGTGAATTTGTTTTGACAGCCAACCTGAGAACATCAACTCGGCGCAGTGAGAACCCAGTTTTGATTCCAGGATGCTGAAACTACGATTCCCGTGCAGGAACTAAGCGGTCCTGGCTCAAGGCTTGACTTGAAATAAGCTCCTGAGCCATCCAGCCACAGCTTACCTGCGTATTTCCATTCTAGAGAAATTGAATGCTTTCATTTAGACTTCTCCCACAAGTATAAAAAAACACAATTCCTTGAACAAGGAATGAAACAGAGTTACAATGTTTTTTGTTGTACCTGATCGTGGTCCATTGTTTCATCTCCTGCAATCACAATTCTTTTTTCAATTCTTGTTTCCGAAATGCCATCTTTCACAATCTGTAAAAACGACAGACATAAAATCCAGGTGAGCTTTGCTAAATAATACATTTCATAAATCGAATTATTCAAAAACATAAGTCTGTAGTAATTTCACTGTAGGGGTTGATGTCGCTGGTTGTAACTACCGGCGAAATGTCACAGTACTCGAACTGTAAATGTTGTGGGTTTTCTCTCCAACACGCCGGTGTGCTGTACTAGTAACGAATTGGCATGTTTTGTTGAGGTGACAAAGCTTACTAATTGGCTGTGTCGGGTGGTGGCAGGTTTAATTGCACATTTATATATTTACCCGATCTAACAGTAATTTGTGGGTCATTTTCTAATAAGTCAAATTTGGACTGTAGTGGCGGCCAGCGCATGACAGCCCCCTCATATGAATGATAACACGGGATCTTAAAACGTCCACTGTAAAGCGGGCAGTGCCGAGTGCTTTATGGTTAGTACACCCCGCAGCAATAGCCTGGGGTGGCCTGGCTATTGTTCAAACCATGGGCCTCTGCAACACAAGTGTTGAACGAAAGGTGCCGTTGGACCATGTCAATGCCCCGTCAACAAAACGTTCCAAAGTAACAAATTGCAATTTACAGCCGGCCTGAATGACAGCGAAGCTGATGCACCAACAAACAAAGACAAAGATCCCCCGTATAGCTTTAATAGACTGTTTGGGCAAGTGCTGTTAGCGAGCACCTATGAAGGCCTGCACGGTACACGAGGGGGTGGGTGGCCAACACCACACCCGGCCGTCTTTGTCTCTTGAGTGGCGATATTTACACACCGCACCAGGTACTCATTTGAGGCTGAGTCGACCGAAGGGAGGGCCAGGACTGGTTCAGATAATTGTCACTGGTGATGGCCGTAAGCGGGAATTGAATTTGGATGGCCAGGTTCGTAGTGCAATATGCTAACCGCTACACTGATGCACCGCGCACTTTGTCACATGTTACTCTGCCGATTGTAATGGCCTCCCCCAAATCCCATAGCTGCAAATTTACTAAAATTCAAAGTCACTGGTGAAATTTCCATATTCCGATGGTATAGGAGCCAGTGTCTCCAGGTTAACACTGCCCACATGGGTTGCCCCTAGCAACGCACATACGATCGCCACAAATTTTCTTTCGCCTTACACATGCAGCTAAAACACACCAAACACGTACATTCTTCACTGTGCAATGTCCTCTTCTCCCCAACACACTCCAATGATACCCCAAATGCGTCCTGAAACTACTATAGAGCCCCTACATATCAGTATTATAGCGCTTACATCACATTATTGTCTCGTTGCTGGGGGGACCGGCCCAGCCCCCAGCCTGCCAAAGTCACACCTCGATGGGCTGGGAAATCTAGGCTAGCCCGGGGGCTTTGCACGGGACTAGGCCTCACCACGGCACTCTGTCTGCTTACTCCTTTGTGCTATACATTCCATATATACTGCTATACAGTCCAGCATGTACTACTGTAGTGCTAGCAGGTACCACCACAGTCACTATGCACTGCTGTCATCATAGCAGGTACCACCACTGTCGCTTGCCCTGCTCTAATCATAGCAGCTTACACCACAGTATGCATGCACTGCTGTAGGGAAAGCAAGTACCACCACACTTTGCACTGCTGTAATAATAGCAGGGACCACCACAGTCACTATGCACTGCTGTAGTTAAAGCAGGTACCAAAGTCCGTATGCACTGGAGTAGCTAAAGCAGGTACCACCACTGTATGCACTGCTGTAATCATACCAGCTACCACCACAGTCAGTATGCACTGCTGTACTGATAGCAGGTTACACCACAGTCACTAGCCACTGCTGTAGTGATACCACGAGCCATCACAGTCGGTTTGCACTGCTGTAGTTTAAGCAGGTACCACCACTGTCCGTGCGCACTGCTGTAGTGATAGTGCATACCGTCGATGTGTGTGCGTAAGTCCATGTGTGTGCGTGTGTAGACAACTACTCTTTTTTAATTCAGTTCTTTTCACAATAACAATATCTGCGTCTAAGTCCATGTGTGCGTGTGGGTCGATGTGCGTGTCTGCGACGATGTGTGTGTAAGTCGATGTGTGTATGTGTGTGAGTCAATGTGTGTGTGTGAGTGTGTGTGAGTCGATATGTCTGCGTGTTTGTGTCAGTCGATGTGCGTGTGTGTTAGTCGCTGTGTGCGTCGCTCCATGTCAGTCAGTGTAAGTACATTTCTTTCTGTGTGTGTTTTGGTCCACGTGTGCGTGTGAGTCCATGTGCGTGTGAGTCCATGTGCGTGTGTCTGTACGTACGTTTGTGTGTGTGCGTAAGTCCATGTGTGTGTGCCTCTATGTGCGTGTGTGAGTACATGTATGTTTGTGTGGGAGTCTATGTGTGCCAGTCGATGTGTGTACGCAATGTGTGTATGTGTGTGCGTCGATTTGTGTTCATTTGTGTGTGTGTAATATCTATGTATGTGTGTGTGAGTCGATGTGTGTCTGTAAGTCGATGTGTGTGCGTGGATCCATGTGTGTGTGTAAGTCCCTGTGTGTGTCTTAGTCGATATCTGTGTCTTTGTAAGTCCATATGTGTATTTGTGTAGGTCAATGTGTGTGTGAGTCTATGTACCATCGGACACTCCACGCGACGCTCACAACAACGAGCGGAGCGCCGGCTGCTAAAGCACAGCAAGTTGGCACAGTAGGGGGCACAGGTGCTGCATCAGCCAGTCGTCTCAGTCAGTCGACCTGTGGCATCTGGCTCTGCCCCGTGACCTCCTGCCAGCGGGCGTTCGACACTTCACGTGGCCTCAAGTTGCACATAGCCTGCCACAAGCATTGTGGTTACGTCACCGCCACTTAGTGGCGAATGGCGGCTGTTATTGAGTCTATGTTTGTATGTATGTGTGAGTCGATATGTGTGTGTAAGTCTATGTGTGTGTGTGAGTCCATTTGTGCGTGTAACTACATGTGTGTCTAAAGTCGATGTCTGTGTGTGTGAGTCCATATGTGTGTGTGTGCGTGTAAGTCGATGTGTTTCTATGTGTGTGGGTCGATGTCTGTGTGTAAGTCCATGTGTGTGTCTGCCTTTTTTGCCCAGGCAATGCCGGGTACTTACCGCTAGTATTATATTTATAAGAATATATAAATCTAAATTGTATTTCGATTGCGTTGGAAGTGCAAAATTGGCAATTGCCTTACCTTGGTGATGTGCGTCGTAGTGGATGTACACACGGACTCCGAGGTGATGGTCTGGGCACTCATCAGTGTCCCCGCCTGCCCCTCAGCAATACCCTCGCTCTGTGCAACGTAAAACTGTTCATCAAGTCAACGTGTGGAGAAAATGCAACGGTCGGTCGTGTTTCCTGGGTATTGAGAATTCCCCCCACCCCCCCTCATGTTTAAATTGCACAACAAGGAAACCGCGTTGCTCTTTCGTACTCCTCGCGAATGCCTGGGTCGAAGCACTGCGTGCTGGACATCGTTACGACACACATAGGCTAACCACCACCACGCTTCACACCCTACTCACCTGTAATTGAACCCATTCATTTATAATTAACCACAGCTTTGGATGTATGTGCCAAAAGTCCAGGTATCCCTTGATTTACGAAAGGGATGCAGTTCTTCAAAAAAGACGCGTAAAACGAAAATTTGTAAACCGGAACGGCTTTTCCCATCGCTTTAACACTAAAAATGAGGGATGTTTCGGACAGTCATTCTAACTCTACTCCTAAACTAAAAATATACACCTACATTACTTTTCACGATCCAAAAAGAATAAGGAACATACATATTAAAACAATTGAATACTAGAGAAGAATAGGATTTTTCCCCTTTTTTCTGGCAACAAAACTGAAACCTTTTTTCAAGGATTCATGTCTGCATTAATCACAATACCTGCAGTCAAAATGCAAACAAAAACATACTATGATAATATATGCACCAATTGGGTCGAGGCTCAAAAGAAAGCCGTCTCTTGGTGTGGACCAATCAGTTTCAAGGACAATGCATATATTATCATAGTATGTTTTTACTGGCAAAGGAGGTCTAATGATGTAGATGCTCACCCCGAGCCCTCATTACTTTGATAGTGCATTGTCTTTGAGCTGTACGCCTTTTGGCATCATCTAGTCGAGCACCAATTGGGTCGAGGCTCAAAAGAAAGCCGTCCCTTGGTGTGGACCAATCAGTTTCAAGGACAATGCATATATTATCATAGTATGTTTTTTGTTTGCATTTTGACTGCAGGTATTGTGGTTAATGCAGACATGAATCCTTGAAAAAAGGTTTCAGTTTTGTTGCCAGAAAAAATAAGGGGAAAAACCCTATTCTTATATTTTGGTACTGGCAAAGGAGGTCTAATGATGAAATTGAATACTAATTAATTGAAAACTAAATAAATTAACTATTTTAAGGAAACTCGACAAAAGATCTGCTGCATGTTTGAATAACTGGCAAAGTGATGTGGAGGCATTACTGGTGCACTGCAGGGACACCGTGATGCTGTCGTGGATGGCACTGAAGCCTCCCAGATTGGCTTCTTGTTTGATGATCTCACGGCGCGCGGCCGTAGTGAAATTTCGTTCACGCGGAAATTCGATATTGTTAATCCGAAATTTTGTACGCTGAATGTTCGTAATTCGAGGGATACCTGTAACTATACCACGAATGGCAACGAACGGCAACAATGACCAACGTGCATGGACAATATTGGTCGCGAAAGCCTATGTGTTAAAATGAACGACTAAGGTGCGTACTGGTCCATGGAAAGCAGATACCTTGGGTGTCTCGTAAGTGACAGTGCGGGTGACCAGCTGCTGCTGTGAGGGTGAGTCAGCTGCTGCTCCTAAGCTTGCCCCCTTGGATGTCAGGATCCGCGAGCCACCCTGACTCCACGACTCCGTTGTCTTAAAGTGGTACAAACAACACAACAACGGCGACACCTCCGGCATCACTGCTGCGAGTTCATTTCCTACTCACGACGGACGGAATCTCACGTCTGTACGATGGCATGCAGCCACAATGTAATTAATGCTTTTGTCAATTAACTGCGTCTTACTGCTCTTTCTCTGTTCCGTATGGCTATTCCTGTGATTACACTTAGCCGTCACATTTGGCCATGCTCATAGACCCTTGATTGGCTGTTCACATCCTTCCAAGGCGCATTGGACTTTGACGAAGAGGAAATTTCCCCTCGTGGGCTGCAGAAGAGTCTGCATGAGGCCCGCTTAGGCCGTAGCAATATTTAGCTGGAGGGAGTGAGAAGCAATGCAAGAGGAGACCGTGTCAAGGAAGGGTGCGAGTGTGCACAGGGAGGCTAACCATCGAACAAAGATGGTCACCGCATCGTGCGCGTTCACATGTGTTTCTGCGGGCGTCTGGGACGCTCTTCCTTCCGATATTAGGAAGCCACTGGAGCTATGCACTTTTAAGCTGGATTGAAAACGAAATTATTTAGAACTGTTTTTTTTGGGTTTAATTTGTTGTCTTACCGCTGCACCTCTGATTAGCACAGTTGGCTACGTACAATGTGAAAGAAGTCCAACATACATACATGTGACTCCATAATGTACCAGGGCCTCTAGATTGGAGCACGTGTTTACTCCAAATCAGCAACTCGGGACCAAGTTAAACTGTGAGGTTTGTGTAATAATTATTTTGTCAATCGGTGTTTTTAGTGGATATCTAGCAATTGCCTGATAATTATAATGATGTTGCCAGTTCTCATTCTACGTGACTTTACCGAAAGAACCAAAGAAGACACCATGTTACTCTACTTAAGGCCAGAAACAGAAAGACATCTTCACAGTTCTAGCAAATGCCTGATGAAGCTGGTTGTAACTATCAGCAAAATGTCATTAACTCAAATTGTAAATGTATTGTAGGTTTTCTCTCCAATACACAACCGGTGCGGTGCTGAAGTAATGACGAATTGGCACGTTTTGTTCACATGACAAACCTTACTAATCGGCTGTATCAGGCGGAGGTGGGTTAACGACACATTTATATTTACGCGATCTAACCCAAACAAATGTATTATGAATAATATCAGTCGCGAAAGGCTATGTGTTGAAATTACGGTAAAAACTTAAATCCTCCCTGTAGAGTTGGTTCCAACTTGATTTGAAGCTTTCGTGACTGCAGGAATTACTCTTAAATTTAAGTTTGTTTTCTCTCAAATTTCACACTTAACTTCTAACTTAGCAATCTTTGGAAGAACGTAATCAACCATGCTATGCGTTAAACTGTGTGTTAACCGACTCTCTGTGTTGCATTGCATTACATTTCCAAAATCTTACTAAGTTTGTTTTCTCAAACTTCCTATTTCTCTCTCTAAAATTTGCCAGGCTTGTATCAGTCCATTTGCTCTTTCTCTCCCCTGGCCGCTATGGGGTGGATTTCCACACAACTCTCTCATTGACATGCTAATTTGTCTACTCCCCCCCCCTCTCTGCCCTAACCCCCCCCCCCCCCTCTCTCTATTTAAGGCCTCGACACAGAGGCGTTGTTTCTCTGTGTCTATGTTGTGTGTCTCTCTCTGTGTGTCTCTCTCTGCTTGTGTGTCTGTCTATGTGTCTCCATGTCTGTGTTTTGTCTCTCAAATTTAGCAATGTTTGGAAGAAGGTAATCAACCAGGTAGGGTGTTGACTGTTGTGTTAGCCGACTCTCTGTGTTGTATTGCATTATATTTCTAAGTTTACTATGTTTTCTAGATTTGAAGCTTTTGTAACTGCAAGGATTCATACTTTTTGTTTTTTTTCGGTAAAGTCACATAGGTAAAATAAAATAGAACAATTAAATCACGAAGTTTCGGAGGCAACACAAGCTTCCGTCTTCAGGTGGAACAGTCACAGCAGAATTTCTGTGTCAAGTGCACAGTTCCGAGACGACTTGGATTATATATAGGTTGGGGGGGGGGAGCCAGAAAGGGACGTGGGTGGGTGGGAGGGCTGAGTTAAGCCACCTTTTGTTAAATGGCACAAACGTGGGTAAACAACCCTTTTGGTTTTCTGGCGGCGGGGTTTTTCCGGGGGGAGGCGATGCAAGACATCAAGTACAGACCAATTTTTGAAACCTAAAATGGAAACTATGTAAATGGCTGTAAAATTATAAGGTAGCTAAAGTTTGACATACAACCACTGAGAAGTGGAAATGGCTGTACAATTAATAGGCAGCTAACGTTTGACTTGATTTATAACATCTTCCCAACGTTTTTTTATAAATAAATAAATGTGCCGTTTAAAAATAAATTTATGCAAACCAACACACCTGATGATGACCGTTTGAGTTATGGTCGAAACGTCGTGAGAATTTTTTATTGTTTCATATATATTTTGTTATTTTGTTGTTTCTCTTCAACGTGACTTTACCGAAAAAACTAAGAATATCTTTCCAGTGGTTGCTCAATTTGAAACCATCCTCTCTGGTTGAAGTTGTGTCTATGATTGTATATCTGGATGGTCTCATGGACAAATCTTTGGTGATAACCAGGAGGTTTGCAAAGAACTTTGGTATCAGAGAACACAATGTCATGAGAACCCGCTGTGTTGAAGCAATGATCAGCCACGGCCGAAGAATTCGTTCTGCCGTGTTTCAAATCTAATTTGTGCTCGCGGATTCGGTTAGAAATATGTCGCTTCGTCTCCCCCGATATAGCAGTCACCGCAGGTACAATTCAATTTGTAAACACCGGGGTACTGTAACTCAGGGATGACATCCTACACGGATGGGACCAGATCACGGATTTTGTGTACTGTATTGAACCGGACCTGGATCTTGTGTTTGTTCAGAATTTTGGAAATCTTTTTAGTAACGCCTGCTATGTATGGTAACCTGATGATTTTGATCGGGGTCTCAAGTGGTTGTTTCTGTATGGTGGGCGAAACAGCTTGGCGGATGGTACGGTCAGAGTATCCGTTCATCTTGAGGGCCAGATGTACGTGTTTTAATTCACTGGTCAGGTGGTGTTGGTCCGAAATGCAATGGGCCCTATGGTATAACGTTTTGATGAGAGAGTTATTTTGAGTCGGGTGGTGGTGGGACTCAGGCTTCAAGTAGGAGTCTGTGTGGGTGGACTTCCTGTAAACAGAATGTCCCAAAGATCCATCAGTCCTCCTCTCAAACAGAACATCCAAGAATGGCAGCTTGCCATCTTTCTCTACTTCATTGGTAAATTTGATGGATGGGTGTCTGGAATTAATGTGGTCTAGGAAATGGTTCAATGCTGGGAGGCCATGTGGCCAAATGACGAAAGTGTCATCCACATATCTCTTCCATAGGGAAGGGCGAAGGGTGGATGTTTGGATGGCGTCTGATTCACATTTCTCCATGAAAACATTGGCTATCACTGGTGGCAAGGGAGAGCCCATAGGGGTACCTTCATTTTGTTTGTAGAAGGTGCCATTCCAAGTAAAGTAGGTGTTGGTGAGGCAGTGCCTAGCCAGTGCAGGTACCTCTGGGTTCAGTCCATGTTGGACCAAATCTTCAATTATTGCTATGGTATCAGGTACTGGGACCTTGGTGAAAAGAGAGACCACATCAAAGCTGACGAGCTTTGATGCCTTTTAATTGTACAGCCATTACCACCTCTCAGTGGTTGTATGTCAGACTTTAGCTACCTTATAATTTTACAGCCATTTACGTAGTTTCCATTTTAGGTTTCAAAAATTGGTCTGTACTTGATGTCTTGCATTGCCTCCCCCCGGAAAAACCCCGCTGCCAGAAAACCAAAAGGGTTGTTTACCCACGTTTGTGCCGTTTAACAAAAGGCAGCTTAACTCAGCCCTCCCACCCACCCACGTCCCTTTCTGGCTCCCCCCCCCGACCTATATATAATCCAAGTAGTCTCAGAACTGTGCACTTTACACAGACATTCTGCTGTGACTGTTCCACCTGAAGACGGAAGCTTGTGTTGCCTCCGAAACGTCGTGATTTAATTGTTCTATTTTATTTTATTTTACCTACGTGACTTTACTATGTTTGTTTTCTCATTAATTCTTACCTAATGATAGTTGCTTGTGTTGCAATCGAAACGTCGTATTCTATTATGACTTTACCGAAAGAACCATAGGTCACAACTTTACCATAGGTCACAACTTTACCATAAGTCACTACTTTTTTAAACCATAATGTCTCTCTTATCTTCCTAACACAGCTGCTATCACACCTATTAAAACAAAATTCAGATCCTGAGCTCTTCTCAATTATGCTATCTCTCTGCTTCTATTTTATGATAAAAAAATATTTGAACAGGTAACCCAGAAGGTACATTTCTTATCTTATCTTAATGTAATTCATATAGCCCATTGCCCAAGACGCTTGACAGAGACTTAACAACGGTACAATGTGTGAATGTAACGGTGAAGATGAGGTGAATAAAATAGACGACAGGAAGTCATGGCTGAATCTGTGGTGCGTGAATTAGGTGAAAGAAAAAATTGATGAGAGCAAATGATGACGAATGGAGTTAGGGGGATGGGGAATGATTGGTAGACAGCCACATAGAGAGAGATTACGAAGAGGGAACCAGGGACGGTGGTGGTGGTGGTGGTTATGAGGGGAAGATTAAGGGGATCCGTGGGGTGAGCTGGGAAAAAAAGTGAGTTTTGAGGGAGGAGCGGAAACCAGTGAGTGAAGACAGCTGCTTAATCGCCAACACCACCGTTCTGTTCAGTCTGATGTACATGCAGGGAACTCCGTAGAGACGTGTCTGCAGCCCCACGAGGGGAAATGACCTCTTCATCAAAGTTAAATGAGCCTGGCCAGGACGTGAACAGCCAACCAGGGGTCTATGAGCATGGCCAAATGTGACTGACTGCTAAGTGTAATCACAGCAATACCCTTGTACAAACAAGACGTGCCCACTCAGTGTATCCTGCTACCCTGCTCATGTGGATGGAGCGAATGATAAGATTCAAATAACTAAGCGGACAATTCGCCTCCGTCACGTAGCTGTCTCTTCGCATAAAACAAAACAGTGTTTGTTACAAATCCCATCAACCACACGGCCTTCTGCGAGTGCATCACTTCCGCAACAGTGGTTAAACACAAGCAAGCTGTGGACTGCTTTCAACATTCAGAGTCTAATCAGCAGAGAGGCTTGTTTAAATAATGCCGGTGTTTACAGGCAAAGGCCCTCTCTGTTGGATATGGATCCTAGTTCCATGATAAACTATGTAATACATAGCACCTAATGAGCAGCATATGTGTATTACACACATGCTGTGTGTAACACACACATGCACGCACACGCACGCACGTGGACACTTTGGATTTGTTCTACGCCTGCACGTGTTCTGTACCTGTGCAGTCTTTACAGTCGGGCTCTGTCCATTGTGGAACACAACCCTTCCCGGAGAGCCCGAAGACAGCCGCTTGTCCCACTCGCTGGGCATCTGCGGTGGCGGCACCGACTCCATGAAGTGTCGCTTGAGCTCGCTGATGCTCATCTTGTGCCGAGTCAGCTCCTCCTTGGTTCGACCGGTCCCCTGCAGGAGAGTCCCCACGTTAATGCAGCACAACAACCACAACAACCGCAGCTTGCCACATCTTCTTTTTTCGTATGTCTGATATAGATGTAGAGCAACGACTACAATGTCACATTCAGATGTTCAAGCCACATAACCGCATCACTTAGTGGTGGTGACATAACTACGGTGTTTGTGCCAGGCTAGCTGCACGTTGAGGGCACATGAAGTGTCAAACGCCCACTGGCAGGAGGTGGCGGGACAGACCCAGGTGCCATGGGTTGACTGACTGAGATGACTGGCAGATGCACCACCTGTGACCCCTACTGTGCCAACTTGCTGCGTTTTAGCTGCCTGGCGCTCCGCTCGTTGTTATGAGCATCGCTCCTCTGCTCTAATGTGGCACAGGGGCCACATTCCCATGCATTGACTTGGTCTGCATCGGAGTTCCCAGTTCCTGCTTTACTTCACCTGATAGAGTTCAATGCAAAGTATGCAGCACGCATGATGCAAACAAAGGCGGAAGATCTACGATGGTTACACCTAGCCCGTGACTCTGGGCGCTGCCTTGACGCGGTGATGCCATCAGGAGTAGAAAAATTTACTTTAAATTTTTATCATCGAAAATATTTTTTTTGCTTACAAATTTTTCGTTTTACAAATTTCTAGTTTTTTCTTGAGCACGTAACTGTAACCATACAAACTTCACAGCGCAAGTGTGAAGTTTGTATGGTACGTTGAACTTCTTTCGCACCATACGTAGCCAACCATGCTAATTTGAGGTGCGAAAAGTATGTCTATAAAAGATGAATCGCGTAACTGGAAATTTGTGCTATGGGAGTTGGGCGTGTTGTGCGAGGGACGCCTGTACAACTCTGATGGCGCTGTTTGTTGCTGGGCTTCCCCACTGGACATGTGATTTAGAGCTTTATAGCTCATCGGATTCCACCAGTCTAAATAAAGATGCTGATATTCAGCTGATTTTAAATACAAATGGGAAAGCTTTACAGCATATCTCTATGTTAAATCTGTCTTTGCAAGTTGTATTTAATTTGACTTACCTCCAGCATTAGTTTGCTATGTCTCACGTATATGTTGTCACCATCTACTCTCATTATTTGATATTTCTGTAAAAGACAAAAATGTAGGGAACATTACAATAGGTCTCAGAACAAAATATTTCCATTGCCAAATGCATTTAGAAACATGCGTTTAGACTATTTCGATTATTTCACTGCTATACGTTTCCATGTGATAGGCCACTTCGTTTAGCTATAATTTGTGGCCAGGTCGCTGCTGAAAGAAAAGCTAACAGCTAAGTGGGCGTTACCTGGTAAGAAAAAAAGTTTGTGATTTGCTTACCTTTCCTATACTTTGAACTCCTGTCGTGTTTTTGTATTGTTTGTTGTTGTAATGTTCTGACCCGCCCCTACTGGACATCTGTGAAAAAGAGCTTTATAGCTCATCGGATTCTTCCTCCAGGATAATTAACGATTCTGATTCTGACAGTCGGAATCATTGGCCACTGTGCCCGGTGTGTCGGGGATTTCCTGCCTTCAGGAGGCCGGACATGGGAGTGGCCGCCGTGTGTGAAGGGACCCGAGTTAATGACCACAAACGAGTGATCAATTATAAATTATAGTGGATTGATCAACTAGATCGTCCCAGCTCTATGGCCAGAGTAAACCAGTATCATGCTCAGAACAAATTACCTACACTGAATGAGTAATCAGTTAATCGTTTCCAGTGATATCATTCAAACCACACAGCTGATTCATAATTATTTTTATTGTTGTGTAGGTATAACGTCCAGTTTACTGTGACCCTCCTCCATCCAACAGAGCCAATTATAAAACGAGTTGTCACGTGGGCAGGCAAATGTGCCAATTGATTTGGTTTTTCAGCAAATCAAAATGTGTAAAAGCAGGCAATGGTTTAACAATTTACTACGTAGGATTTCGTGACCAATGTTATCCATAATAGAGGGGTTTTGTTTACGTGACAAACCTTACTAATTGACTGTGTCGGGTGGTGGCGGGTTGAACGACACATTTGTATTTATGCGATCTCACCAAAAAGCAAACCTCTATTATGCACGATATTTTATAATTTTATACAAAAGTTAATTAATTTCTTTTTAACAGACTCCACACAGAAAGGTGCCCAAGTCGGGAATCAAATTCAGGCCCTTGCTGTGAGGTGTAGCTGTCACTGAGCCACCCTGTCACCCAAAAGCAAATAAAACCCAGTTATACATTTTTTAACCCTTTTATTTAAGCAAGCCCACACACTCTTTGCAATGTATATTACCTGACTCTTTATCTTATCATATTTTCTATTGGCCCGTCAGACAAAACACAAATACCTTATTTTCCTTTTAGTGGCAACAAAAATCCTGTTTATAGTTCTACTTATTGTACCAGTTGACAGAGAAGTGACAAACATTGACACGACAGTTGCCACGCACCTTGCGCTCGCGATCATCCTCCTCCACCTCCTTCTCATTCTCAGACTGACACACGAACAACATTGAACATTGCAGCTCTGGTTAGAAACAGGCAGTCTTTAACTCCACCCAATGTCATCGATGGACCGTATAGTAATCCACCGCGGCCTGTGCTCCTTCAAACAGAGGAACGCCAAAATGACACCAACTCTCTCTCCTGAAGCCCTCTCGTCGTGGCATGCAGACCTCGGCATTGGCATATAGCTCCTGAACGTGTTGCTGCTGCCATCATACGCAAAATTAGAATAGAATCACGTGACAGTGCATTAATTCAACACCACAGTTTTATTTCAAAGTAATTTGCAAATAATGATATTTTGCTCATTGAGTCTAGGCCTTTGATCAATTCACAGACATTGTAGTGATTATTTGTTCATACAGCAAGACTATATCTATTTAAGGACGAAAACCTCCAAAGCTTTTATCATATGTACATTCAAAATAGCATGCTTCTACCTAAGACTGACATCTCCAATACAAGTGTAGATGTGTAGATAACATTGTCTCTCAATTTCTGGTGGTTCCCCGTGAAGTCTATACAGTATTCTATTTTCTGTTCAGCATCTTAAGATGCAGCTGTATGCAGATGCTATTTTAATCCAAACGGTGTATCGTGTTGTCAGTTGTCCGCGATGTAACGCACCCCGGCGTGTAATATAAAGTAAACTCAACACACCGTTGAGTGTAATGAATTAACCTTAAACAACGCACCTCTTGACATTTGCTAAAACGTTTGCCCGTGTGCGCTACAAACCTCGGTGTCGAGTTGGTCATCCACCGAGTCCGAGCTCGAGCTGCTGCTGTCCGAGCGCTCGCTGTCCGACTGGGGCACAGAGAGACAGTGGGCCCTTTCGTTTCGCAAGACACGGACAAGCGTCTACGCGTAATCGCGTCCGCGCGTTGTTATATTGCAGCACCGACGTTTTGTGGAACGACTTCTTTACCTCGCTCAACGTCGTAAATCTGCCTTAAAAAATATCCTGAAGCTGAAGATTAGTGCTGCTGGATACAGCCACAATTGCGAATGTGATTTGTAACTTTCATCCTTTCCTGTGTATCGATAGTTAAATTTGTATATGCCGTTTTATTGAGGGACTGTGTTGTTGTCTTGGTGTGGTCTGGGACTACTGTTGTTGTTTTGCTGCCTTGCACAAGCTTCCAATTAGTGTGACAAATCGGCAGGAATGTATACATTTATGCAATTTGTACTTACATACTTTATTTATTTTAATGTATGTTTAATAACTTGCTTACCTATCGTTTTGTGTATCGTTTGTTGTAGTAACTGGTTGACTCGTCCCTTCTGAACATGTGAAGAAAGAGCTTTATAGCTCATCGGATTCCTCCTCCAGTCTAAATAAAGATTATAATTCTGATACCAGCACCTTCCTTCCGCACATGATAAATCTTGGAAGTGATCGTGTGATTTGTGTCCAAGTGCGCAACCAACTTAGACACGAGTTATGGTTTACGGACACTTTCCAGACCGATGTTTTCCCAGCAGTGTGAAGCGAACGTAACGTGTCGGCCTCAGTGCTGAGCATGCCGCAGTGTTTGTGAAAGGAGCTTGCGTACAACATCAGGCGAGATGTTAACTGCCTCGCCTGGTATATAGGAGATCATGGGTTCGATCTCAACCCTGACGCCTACTGTATATTTGGAGTTTGCATGTCTCTCTCCCCATGGTCGCGTGAATTGTTCTCCGTGTCCTCCGTTTTTTTTCCCTCCACATTTAGAATCAACATTATGCATTTAGAGTATTTAGCTGCTATACATCTCTACGTGATAAGCCACTTCGTTGAGCTATCATTTGTGGCCAGGTCGCTTCTGAAAAACCTCAGTGGCCCTTACCTGGTAAAATGAACAAAAAATGATTCGTAGTTTACTGAGCTTTACAACACTGTAGCATTCATTACATAGGCTAATCTCTGTTGATAAGGCTCGGAAGAGTTGTCACCTATCCGAATTTTATCTGAACATTCTAGGACTTGCCAATAGTGATCGGGTGGCAGGAATTGATTTCGACTGAGACCTGGTACCAGTATTGCTGTGCTGAACTTTACTACAGTCGTGCTAATGCACAGTGTTGATAAGAGACGTAGTTCTGACTGAGACATATGTCTGGGTTTGGTCGAGAGTAGAAAAGGTGGAAATGTCACTGATAAACCAACTCTTTATTGTTTTGTCATGGGGGGCGCTGATTCTTGTTTGGTACTTCACTAGGAATAATCTACCACAGCACTGCACAGTGAGTGCCATTCTTGTGTGTTGAGTGGCACACCAAAAGACGGCCTATACCTGCAGCGTTTACATATTAGCTGCACGAATTGCAATGTTCACGATTATTAATAAAAAAGAGACAGACTGGCACAGGAAGCTGTGCAAGGACAAATGCATGCACGGCCGACCGGGCATCGGAGTTGACTGCACAGAGAACGGTCTTTACCTCCTCGTCCTCTGCTCTCACGCTACGCGCCCTCTCCTGAGGACCACTGAACAACAACGCGGCCTTGGGCTCCAGGTAGCACAGGGACAGAGCCAGGGGGAGGGAGAGGGTAAGAGAGAAGGAGACGGAATGAGAAGCAGAGAAGAGCAGCACAAAGATGAGCATGAAGGAGGGCAGCAGGGAAGGCGACCGGATTGGGATGTACTGGCGCAGGCTGAGCGGCACGAAGCCCGCGTACTCCTCGGGGAGAGAGGGGAAGGCAAGGTAGCCATCTTCATCCAGCAGCTTAGGGAAGTGGAACATAAATATAGGGAAACAGTCGAGGAACGGGAATCGAGCCACGAAGGGCTCGTCGCATTCTGACTCGGAGTCTGTGCCATGCAAGCTGCCTGGATGGGAGCCCCGCGGTGAGCCCTGTGGTGAGCCACACGGTGAGCCACGCGCACCACGGGGCTCCGCCACCCGCCCTGGGGACTGAGCCTCGTGCCCAACGCTGGCCAGGGAGCAATGGGAGGGAGATGGGGGTGGGTGTGACGGGATAGGGGGCGTCTGCATTCGGTGTAAATGGTAAAAACCAGGCAAATCAAAGTACGACGGCAGAGCGAGGAGTGGCGATGGCGAGGTTGACAAAGAGAAGGACATGGAGAAAAGGAACGGTTAATTTAATCGCAATAAAACCCAAACACCTCTCGGCGACTGACCGTGAAGTTATTTCGGAAAGCAACAACAATGTGCCGTGATGAAGACATAAAATACGCGAGAAAATCGGCAACTCTGCATTTGAATTTACGAGATACAGGCACTAACACAGGGAAGACAAAACGTACTTGTGCATGTCTATTTTGGGGAAATTAAAACTCGCAGTTATTTTACACTCCCCAGGAGTCTTTTAAAGATCAGCACAGCAGAGTTCCTCATATATACAGAGCCGTATTATCTTATTTTCTGTGAGAACAGCTGATCCACGATTGCTTTGCTGCCAGCTGAATATGAAACAATCCGCAGATAAGACAGCAGTGAAGGGACGTAATCACAACCGCAGTCTCTCTCTGTTCCTCCTTCTCCTTGCGCTCAATCCACACTTTCTTCTCGCCCACGCCTTTCACTGGAACAAACGTCCCCTCCACATGAATCAGTCACCTTCGCTCACTAGTTTCCATTCCTCACTCAAAACTCACTTATTGTTCCTGAGCTCACCCCACAACCCCCTCTTAATCTCCCCGCATAACCACCACCACCACCGTTACCGGTCCCTCTTCATGTTCTCATTACATGGCTATCACTCATTCTCCCATTCATTCAATCCACTCGTCATCATTTGCTGTCATAAATTTTTGTTTTCGCACAATTCACGCATCACAGATTCGCCCACATTGCTTCCTCTCGTCTATTTTAGTAACCTCATCTCCACCGTTACATTCACACGCGTTGTTGCACCATAGTTAATTCTCTGTAAAGCGCCTTGTTTCAAGGCGCTATATAAATATAAAGTCCGTTAAGATAATGTTACCGTGGCCTAGCACGAGGGCCAATCGCAGCGGACGAGTGCGCTGTGTGATGCGACGTAGTGGTTTACTCACATCGCATCAGTGTTAAAGGGAAAGGAATCTTAATGATTTGTAACATGTGTTATCACAAAATATGTCGACAAACATAAGTTTATTGTTTTAAAAAAATGGCCCTGCAGCAGCAAAGCAATTGTAAAAAAAAAATGTCGTTCAACAATGACTAAGATATAATGTAGAATAAAAACCCCTCTGTCATGTCAAATAATATAAAGATCAAACACAGAAGAGTGCAAATGCTCCAGCCTGTAAGAGTGGCTCTTAATAGGTGACATTGTTTGTGGCTTATTTAATCATCCATGACGACGTAGGAACTAATGATCCTTGAGTCTGGGCTGCATCTGTTGAAGCCTACACATTCTCAGCATTTGTTAAAGTTGCTGTTTGAGTATCTGCTGGTCCCAGCAACACTAAGCACTCTCAATGAGTCTATGGGTTTTCCCATAATGCTAAGAAACCCGAATATACTTTGTCGTGACGACTTTTAGCTCTTTGTTAATTTGGTGTTTCCACTGCATTGCGGAAACACGCCTCAGTTCCCCTGGGCGCTCGCGCTACTGGCACTCGTGATTAGCAGCTCGGAATTGCGATTCGGACCTAAGAGTCATAGATACGATGCTAACAGAATCGAGGCATCGGCGGAATGGTGGGATCGTGACGAGGCCAGCGTGGCGTTCCGACGGGAGAGGGGAGGGCACCGTGTGGACCTGGCCGACACAATGGATCGAGCGTGGCCCGCTGCCTGCATGATGCGTCTCAATGGCCACCCTTGAAGTGACTGCCAGTGTGGTGCCATGACCGCGGAGCAACTCCGCAAGCACCGCAACTCTCTCCCGCCCCCCGCACTAAACACACACCCGCACGCAGCGCACCCACGTAGTGTCCTGGCGGGGGGTCGCCTGGCACATCGGGTTTTAATCCGAAGAACCCCTAGGGGGAGAGTCCCATGGTTTCCCGGTGCCAGGAGATTAGCCGACCCCCATAGGACAGGTTACATTGCGGTGCCCCTAAATTGACTTAAAATTGTATGGGCGCAAAAAGAAAAGGTTCCCTGGGCCAACAGCAATGAGTTACAACATTAGGGGGAGGACGGAGGGTGGAATATTAGGCACCCTGAGCAAGGAACCCTGAGCAAGGGACAATGGGTGGGGGCGTGACGGACGCTTCAGGTGAGGGCGGCGCATCAGTTGTAAACCGAAAGGTAGGCGCGTGATTGGCTGTGCGATGCCCCCCGGGCCTTTGAAGTTTAGAGTATAAAGGTGGGAGCCCCGGGATGATTAGTTGAGTTGTCTAGAACCTCTGGGCAGTCACGACCCGCTCCCTGCCTGCCGTCCTGCCTCTTCAAGCCGCTCACAGCAACCGTGTGATGCCAGCGAGTGCTGCTGTGAGGCAGTGATTGGGCAAGTCTTCTCTCGTCCTTCTCCCTCCGACTCTCAGCGTCCGTGGGACGCCGCGATTCCAGTTTCAAGGTACATGTTAGGACGTTTCAGTAGCTGGGTTCATAGGCAGAGTTACGCTAGGCTCTCGTGAAATATTCCTCCTCCGGGTAATGCGTATTGGTGCCATTAATAAACTCTAGTACAGAATATCGGTGTAGTGTGATTTCTGTGTGTGTGGGGAGAACCTCGGCGTAGCATCTGTGATCTGTGTGTGGCGCGTCTGCATGGAGAGACGGTGTGCCCAGCGCGAGCACAGGGCTGCAGCTTGGGGGTGGTGTGAGTAATTTGAGCGTGCGTGTAAGGCACGTGTACTGCAGCACATACGGCCGCCGTCGTTTGCGAGTGCTTGCACTCGCGTGCGTGTTTACACAGCGTGCTTTACACAGCGCGTTTACACAGTAGAAATAGTGTTAACGGTGAGGCGTGCCCCATAGTCCTATCCCCGCCATTCCTTTTCCGCTAGCATTAGCCCCTGTTTGCACAGCGGATTAAGGCTTGGGGGTGGGGGGATGCGTATTCATACCGCCGCCATTTCTGTTGATTAGTGCTCGGCGTGTGCGAGATAACCCCGGGCGGTGATAAGCCAGCCATTGAGATATATCCCTCAGAGAAGGCGCTGGCGCGGGGGGGCCGATCACGCAATCGGTGGGGGCCCGGCAGGAGGCGGCCGAAGAGGAGGAGGGGGAAGTGGAGGGGGTGGACGTCACGTCCCGCCCGCTCACGGGGAGCGGGGAGGTGGACATCGGCCCCCACATCAGATCTGGAAGGCTCGCCTCAAATCGCACAGGTCAGCTCGGGTGAGGCCACAACTAAGACGTTGAGTCAGCTCTCGGAACCAATGGCTCAGCTACCTCCTGCACCGCGAGCGCCCGGATTCCTCCACCACCCCTTGGGCAGTTACCGAGTGTGAACAGGCGATGGCGTCCTGGCGTCTGACTCTGCTCCGCCCTCTGTATGTACGTATGTATTTTGAACTTCTTTCGTGCTGTACGGAGTCAACCATGCTCATCGGAGGTGCGGGGGAAGGACAACAAAACTAAACTCTTTGGTTCCTTCGGTAGAGTCACGTAGGTAGAAAAATCAAATCAAATTAAAATAATATATCACGACGTTTCGATCGCAACACAAGCGGTCGTCCTCCGAAAGAACCAAAGAGTATGGATTCCTGCAGTCAAGAAAGCTTCAAATCAAGATTAAAACTAAACTGTCGGTTCACCGCCACCCCTAACGTCCCTGTGCCTGTCCTCATAAGCGTCACTCTGAATTCAACTATTTATTTGGGTGATGCCGCATTCGCAGTGGAGCTCTGAATTAATTAAACACATTTATCAATAACGCCGCCATAGCCGAGCGGCGGTGGCTATGCTGCTGCATGTGGCTGCTGCCTGGAGTGCAACACAGTCGAGGCAGCAGCAGCGAGCGGTTGGTGAATTGCCGCATGGATGGGATGTTAAATTTCCCTCCTGTGCGTGTTGAAAAGGTACCATAACCCTGGCTTCCCAGGAGAAGGTGGTACAGCAAGTTGACGAACAGAAATATGTTCCGTCTGTATGGGGATATTGTGTTGCACCCTTGCACACGTGTGGGTTTGCTCCGGGTGCTCAGGATTACTCTTACGTGTATAAATGATCATGAATGGGATAAAACATCTTAAAAATAAACAAACCCAACAGAGGACCCTCTTGAAGATGAGTCCTCCGACTCAGTGTGAGTGTCCTGGATAACTCAGTAAATTATCATAAAAAATATTTTAAAAGACTAAGTTTCAGGCAATGTTCCTTCAAAGGACAGCAATGAAACGTCACCTATTACCTATTGTTCCTTTTAAGGCCACAGCGTGATTGACGAGTGTGTCAGGTCTTTTTGTTTTAATCAAGCTTCACTCAAATCATCTCCCAGATATTAAATAAAAAATAAATGGGTTTCTTCCCCGAGCCTCTACGCACCAAGCAATCGCTCACCGCCCCTGCCGCTATATGTTACCACACGTGTGCATGTGTAGTTTGTGAGCCTCGTCATGAGCACACGTGTTCACGGTGGCGAGATGTTATCTCCCTTGCCTAGTATGCAGGAGGTGCGTGGGTTCGATCCCGACCCAGACTCCTGCTGTATATTTAGAGTTTGCATGTTCTCTCTCCCCGTGGTCGCGTGGATTTTGCTCCGGGTCCTCAGGTTTTTCCCGTCCACATTTAGAATTAACATCATGCGTTTTGAGTATTTGGCCAATATACATTTCCACGTGATAAGCCACTTTGTTGAGCTATTATTTTTGTGGCCAGGTCGTTGCTGCAAAAGAGCCATATAGCTCAGTGGGCCTTACCTGGTCAAATACAAAGTTTAGTTTTCTTATCTTTACGCACCGCTGGATTTATTTTCACACTGTTAGCCATTCAACGCACACAACGCACGGCCGATGAAAACAGAAACCCCCCAAGTACCTTCGGCTTGAGCAGACCATCGGCGCGCTTGTCCTCATAGCCTGGGAACCGCTCCTTTGTGCTCTTCAGCTGGAGTCCCTGCTGCTCGCTCTCGTCGACGGCGCATCCCCGCCACTCCATACGCTCCTCCTCGTCCACCACCCAGCCCATGGCAGGCCCCTGCTCGGCGGAGGATCCAGCCGTCTCCTCTGAGAGGACGACGACGTCCTTCCTCCAGCCTGCACCGGTGACGGCCCCCACCCCCCGGGCCACAGCGGAATCACAGTAAAAATAAACGTGGATGGCCGAGCGGCGGTTTCTGTTTTTTGAGGGGACCCCCCACCATAGACAGAGTTTGACTTGGTGGGGGGGGGGGGGAGGTGGGGGCGGGCAGGGGTTCGTTTTGTTCCTCATATTAGGAATCACGGGTGCATATCATTAATGTATTTAGTTTTAATCGACATTGTAAACTACTGAAAGTAAATGAATAAAGGTGTCCACCCATGGATCCCCTCTAAAGGTTGACAAGACTGTGAGAAAAATTGGAACTCCTTGTTGAATTATAATTGTTGGTATGTACGTACATACATACATATGTAGTGACAGGGTGCCATCTGTTGACCATGAGGGATAACTACGGGCATGGGTGCGCTATATAACAGCTAACCATAAGGGGGGTGTAACTGGGCCAAAGGTCAGAGGCGGGGATCAGTCGGGAAGCTCCTGGAACCTGCACGAGAGTTCTAGAAGGGGGCCGTGGCCAGAGGCGGGGCTTGGCCACGCTGATGAATATATAAGGGAGAGGTAACCGGAGGTTCGGGGCTGTCGTGAGAGTTCGGGTCCTGGCTGCCGTCGCTGTCTTCGCCGTCATCTCTTCATCATCGTCCGGCCGTATGGCCGATCCGCTGTACGGACTCCATCGTCATTATCGCTGTATTAGTCAGCCAGCTATATAGTTAGATGCCGACGATGTGGCTGTATGAGCGGGTCAGCTATACGTAGCCCAGTGTATATGTTGCTCAGTAACTCTGCCTGTAAAGTGTGAGAAATAAACAAGGATCCCTCTACAAGTCGTATCTCGGAAGTCGCTCACTACACGTACAACACTGCCTAGTTATTTAATTATAATTGTATATATGTACGTACATAATTGTATTATGTACATACGTACGTATATATACACAATGCTGTCTTGTTCAATTATAATTACACCATCCCCTGAGGCGCCAGGACAAGGCAGTATGGCGAGTGGGCTCATCGCCATCTGTTTCCGTATGTACAGGGATAAAGCGTTGCCCCCTCGCGCACGTGCGTTTTCCCTGCACTCTCCAGTTTCCTCCCACAGGCACGCATTCATTATAAATCGGATGACAACATCTTGAAATAAAAAAAAACTCAATGCGGAAATAAGTCAATTATAATTATCATGATTATTATTCGTAAATCAAACTGGAAACCATGATGAGCTGAGCGAGCACCGCCTCTCACCTCCATCCAGGCTGCGCACCGTGTTCTGCCGGCGGCTCGACACACGGACGAACGGCGGCCCCGGGCGGCCGATGCGAGCGCTCGCCTGCCGGGTCTGCGCCTGGGTGCGGCCGCTGTAGCGGAAGCGCGAGCCGAGGCTCATGAAGCGCGCACGGCGCGTCGGCTCAGGGACGGCCATCCTGCGGCACAGCGCGCGGAACGGTCAGCACTCGGTGCCTATCGCACTGTCTCACAGTTCATTCCTGATATCGGTGCGCACGTCATCGCTGCTATCGGTGCCATGTTGTCCCCGCTATCGGTGCCATATCATCCCTGATATAAGTGCCATGTCATCCCTATATCGTTGCCAAATCGTCCCGCCTATCAGTGCCACATCATCCCTGCTATCGGAGCTACATCATCTCTATTGGCGCCATATCACCCCTACTATTGGTGCCACGTCATCCCTGATATCGATGCCACGTCATCCCTGATACTAGTGCCACGTCATCCCTGATATCGGTGCCACGTCATCGCTAATATTGGTGCCACGTCATCTTTGATATCGGTGCCACGTCGTCCCTGATATTGGTACCACATCATCCCCGCTATCGGTGCCACGTCATCCCCATTATCGGTGCCACGTCATCCCTGATATTGGTGCCACGTCATCCCTGATATAGGTGCCACGTCATCCCTGATATCGGTGCCACGTCATCCCCACTATCGGTGCCATGTCATCCCTGATATCGGTGCCACGTCATCCCTGATATTGGTGCCACGTCATCCCTGATATCAGTGCCACGTCATCCCCGTTATCGGTGCTACGTCATCCCTGATATTGGTGCCACATCACCCCCGCTATCGGCCCATCATACTTATGGGTTCGATAATGAGACCCATTTCATGGGGAAATCAACAGTGGCTGTCCTATGGATAGACCAGCCCCCACCATAGAAATGTGGAGTTTCCACCATTGGCTCAAGAGCTGTAAACAGCAGATTAACACCGCCTTATTTGAAGAGAAATCAATTGGTCATGTTGACTTTTGAGTGCAACCCTCCATCTTGGCGAATGGCCCACGAAAGCGGACGTCATAGAACTACATTCGAGATCCTTTCAAGTGACCTCTGGTCCTCATAGCAGAGGGCAGCACTTTGACACTTCCTCTGCATGCGAGAGGAAGGCTGGTCACGTGGCAGACCGAAATAAAATTCTCAGAGCTGGAATTTTAGCCCAATTAATTGCAGATGCATACATGAATGTGTTGGGGTTTTTTTTGCATGTGTAGTAATCGGTAACCGGGTCGTGACCATTAACTTGCTGCACTCCCCTAACCATTCCCCTGCCCCCCCTGCCAGACACATACCTTCTCCCCCTTCTTGAAACTTGCTATTGAACGTATCTGCTGGCCCCCTTTTATCTATTGGTTACCCCCCCACCCCACCTGTCGGTCAGTACAGCTGCATTGGATGGTGGATCCCACGCAAATGTTTACATCGTCCATATAGGAATCTAACGATGCACTGTAATGGGCCTGTGTTTTGTTTTATAAAAAATTGTAATAATAAAAAATAAGTAGATAACATTTTAGATAACAAAATAAATGTAAATAAATAATGAACGCTTGCTGCGCTAGAGCAGTTACATTCATGACACGCTGAAACGTTCCATTGCATGCGAACGCGCGCCTATCGAAAATCGTTCAACCGCTGAGACGCCGCGTGACCATGAGCACCTGAAAAAGGTGTGGTGCTCCACACAGGTCTTCCACAGCCTCTTGGCAGCTCGGTGACTCGGCAGCTTGAACCCCACGTTGCTCTCACACTTCTCAAACTGGAAAAGGAACATTTAGACTCATGAAACTCACTAAGGGTCTGTTTAGTTTTTTGTCCTTCACCCGCACCTCTGATTAGCACGGCTGGCTACGTACGGTGCGAAAGAAGGTAAATTATTACATACATACATGAATTGTCCTCTCACTTGTTAGACAGTTGTGCTGGGTGGGACGTGTGTGTAGTGGGGAGCGGTGTATAGGGTTTAGCGCGCTGCGCTACTACGAACCCAGCGACCCTAGTTCGATTTCCGCTCACGGCCAATACCAGTGACGATTATCTGAATCGATCGTGGGCCTCACCTAGATCGACTTAGCCTCAAATGAGTAACCTGGTGTGGTGTGTAAACATCGCCACTGGGGAGACAAAGGCATGGTGTTGGCCACCCACCCCCCCGTGAGCCGTGCCGGCCTTCATAGGTTCTTGCTAACAGCACTTTCCCCAACAGTCTGTTAAAGGCTATATGGGGCATCTTTGTCTTTGTAGGATTGAGGAGGGCCGATCTTGGAGACCGCTGTGTGTTTACTATGCAGCAGCAGCAGTTGCGGGATCTGGCGGAGGGTAAAGAGGGTTGGCAGCGGGGCGTGGTGGTGGTGGCATCTACAGCTTAAAGTGACTGACTCTTAGAGTCAGTTGAGAGACAATCTTGGAAAGCAGTGATATGGAAAAGGGGCACAAACGCAATCTACGTAAAAGCAAGAAGTCACTATTTACGATAATTCATGGGGACACTTACACAGATTACAAAACGCAGAACATTCCGAGGAGTCAGTTCAGAAGGTTCTAGAGGTTTGGCAGGAATGCTTCACCACATTTTAAATAGGACCTGCTGTGAATCATTGCAAAATATCGGGTGGCAGGTAAATTTAATTGGCATGATCACGTCGTGATTTTTTGTTATTTTATTTTCACCTACGTGACTTTACCCAATAGAACCAAAGGATCCTAGCAGTCACGAAAGCATTAAATCTAGAATTAATTGGCATGGTCTGGGGAATCTTACAGAGCCAATGAAAGAAGCAAACCCCATAGACGTGGGAGTAGCAGAGGAACATTTGAAATGCAGTAAAGAATACAAAAACTATGGATCCCACATGGGTTCCACCCATCTTAACCTCCTCTTCCCCAATGCATTTACCACAAACTTCCAACTTACCCTATTCTACCAAAACATAATTAGCATACCCATATTTACAGGCCATGTAACCATCTTTAAGAATTGCTTGGCAAGAATGCATCACTTTGATAAGAACAGAGCCATTGCTCACGCATCAAACACAATACAATTGACCTCTTTGCTCTGCCAAAGTGGTTTTTCAGAGAAACCCATCCTGCTGAAGAAATCTGTCTCTTGACTTCTTCCTCAGGCTACTCGTCAGAATCAGAATATTTATTTATACTTCAGAACGGCTTTTTCTCGAGGTTTGGTGGAGATGGTTTTTAGCCAACTTTTTTAAACAGAAAGGAACCACAAAAACACATTTCGCAACATAAGCGGCATCGGAAGAAATATTAGAATTTTCTCTCGTAAAGTATTACATTGCTATTTGAATCGTGTATGAATGTGTGTTGGACGTGTGCACGACATTATCATTTCAGAATAGGGCCAGACGGTGGCTCAGAAAATATTCCTGCACCTGGATCAGTGACCCACATGTTCGCACCCAGCACACCGCATCTGGTACACGTCCTGCTAGTCTCGTGTAAACTGCAGGCCTACTCCAGATGGCCAGCGACCGGGGAGATATTTCAGAGAGAAATGAAGCCCAAATCCAAGGCTGCAACAATGCAGAGTGGCCCTTTGCCAATACCTGCGGCGGAACGCTACTTTGATGTTGGCAATGCCTGACAGGGTTACAAGCGGTCGTCCAGGAATGTGACAACATTGAAGTAGATCAACTTTAATTAACTGCAAAGAGTTTGGAGAGTGACATTTTGTACTCGAAACGTCACGGTACTCGAATTGTAAATGTAGTGGGTTTACAACCGGTGTGCTGAACTAGTAACAAATTGGCACGTTTGGTTTGCCTGACAAACCTTGCTAATTGGCTGTGTCAGGTGGTGGTGGGTTTACCCCACGCATTTATATTTACGCGACCAAAAAAAAATAAACCTATGTTATCGACATTTTATAAATCGTACACTTGATGAGCTCACCTCGCCAGGCCGAACCTTGATGAAGAAGTTGCTCCTGCGGTAGGATATCTTGAGTATCTTGGGCCAGGCAAAGCGATTAATTCGCAAGTGGTCCCGGTAGACCAGCAGCCCATTGGCACACACGCCCAGCTTGATGTCCACCCCCTCGGAGTCCGGGTGGCACTGTGGTGAGAAGGCGGCATTGTGAGCAAATGCTTCCGGTTGGTTCGAGGGAAACGCGGAACGCATCACGGGAATCCTCACCCAGATCGTGATGACGCCGGAGGAAAGCACCGAGGGAGATTGGGGAGGGAGTGAGTGAGGGGAATGTCATGGATTAAAAGTCACACCTCGCGTGAGACATCACGCAACGCCTCACAAACCCTGCAGCCACGGGGCTCCCTCGACGCCAGCAACCAACGTGCTGCTACGCTCCCTGACACTGATATCAGATGTCCAATAGGGGCGGGTGAGAGCATTACAACAACAAACAGTTCAATAACATGATAGTAGTGAAAGTACAAGAAAGGTAAACAAATCACCCAAACACATACAAATAAAACTAAACCATCCCCATCATTCCAGGCAAAGCCCACGAAAGTATTAACTTGGTTTTTAAAAGCGACCTGGCTACAAATGATAGCTCAACAAAACCAAAGGACCCAGAGAAAAAATCCACGCGACCCACGTGGAGAGAGATGCGCAAACTCCAAATATAATGCATTTTCAGGGTTGGGTCCAGAACCAAAGTAAAGTGCACACTTTGAAACACTTGCTGTATCGTCCAGTGTTATGATCTAAGGCAGGCGAATTAGACATGTGTATGATGAGGAAGCGGTTAAAAGTGATTATTTTCTGTTCTGAGGCCTGAGCCAGCGTGGGACAATTCCACATTGCTATGGTGAGGGGGGAGCGAGTTTCTCCCAGAGACAACTGCCACCGCCGTTGACAACTTCCCCGCAAGGCGTTTACCTGATTTTACGACCCCTGCAGAGATGGTGGGCGAAGCGGGTGTGGGGGAGAAGGGATCGTCACAGCAGCAGCAGCAAAGCAAACGGTGCGCGTGAGAGTCGCCGTGGGCAGCGCCGCTCTACCTTGGCGTGGTGCAGTTCCACCCCGTACATTGGCCAGCGTCTTGGCATTCTCCAGGTAGTGAAGCTCGGCCTCCGCTGGGCTTTGGCCCCTGGAGACAAAACGTGATGGAACACGCCGGTCAATAACGAGACGCAACGCAAACAGCAACCTAACACCATAAGCAGAACACCGTGCCTCCTTCCCACATTGTCACCGCACTTGTTCTTTGCCGATGGACAGTGGGGCATTCAACCAGCATTGGTGTGAGGCAAGCCTGACTCTGCTGACGGGACGATGGATGTTGAAACCGGTCCTAGAGTTTGCTTGTAGAAAATTGATGCCGCTGTACTGCGCACGTCGTAGAAGGAAGGCCTTGTGACCAATGGAAAAAAAAAAATTCCGTGGAGAGATAGAAAAGGAAAGACTTGCATTATGCGGTTATTTATCTGTTACTTATTCTTTGGGTCTTTCGGTAAAGTCACGGAGATAGGGTCAAGGAACTAACAAAAACGAACAAAAAACTACGACGTTTCGATTGCAACGCAAGCGGTCGTCATCAGCCTGATGACAAACCGCTTGCGTTGCGATCGAAACGTAGTTTTTTGTAAATTTTTGTTATTTTCTTTGAACCTATCTATGTGACTTACCAAAATAAATAAATTAAATCACGACGTTTCGATTGCAAACACAAGCAATCACCATCAGGTGGGAAAACCACAGCAAGAAAATGTTTTTCTGAAGTGGGGAGAGAGAGCTTGCCATGGTAAGAGGTTATATTGGTAAGAAAAGAAAAATAGGTGAGAAAAGAAAAAAATATTGCTGTGGTTTTCCCACCTGATGATGATTGCTTGTGTTGCAATCGAAACGTCGTGATTTAATTTATTTTATTTTATACCTACGTGACTTTACCGAAAGAACCAAAGAGTATGGATCCCTGCAGTCACGTAAACTTCAAATCTAGATTTTACCAAACGACCCAAATATGAATTCCTACAGTCACGAAAGCTTTAAGTCAAGATTATCTGTTACTTGTTTTAAGTTTGTCTCCTTCACATATTTGTCCCTCCCCATTAAAATATGAATAATTTCTTTTTTTTTACACATCCCATCAGCCACAGGGCTTCTGGGAGTGCACAATTTCTGCAGCAACGGCTCGGGACAATCAAACCCCTAGAACTGGCGTTGACAATTGGCATCTCTTCAGCAGTCAAAACTTGATGAAAAAATAAGAAAAGGTTTTACCCCTTCCTGGAAACAAAGCAGAAGTTGTGTTAAAATGTTCAAACACTAAAATAGAAACCTTTTTCAAGGCATCAAGTCTGCATTAAACACGCGTACTTGTGGCAAAACATGCAAACCAACACGCTCTGATCATTCATATATGGCATTGTCTTGGAAACTGATTGGCCTGTGCCAGAGAGAGCCTTCTTTATGGCCTAGTCTCACCAGTGTCAGACCAGAGAACGCAAAAAGGTGAACAGTACAAAGACAATTCAAGTTTTATTTATGGGACCTTTTTGCCAGTATCAAAACTGATTTTAAAAATATAAGAATAAGTTTTAATCTTTCTGGCAATAAAACAGGTGTTAAGATGCTCACACAGCAAATATACACATTTTTATTCTTAGTTCTTTCGGTAAAGTCACGTTGAAGGGAAACAATAAAATAATAAAATATATATAAAACAATAAAAATTCTCACGACGTTTCGACCATAACACAAACGGTCGTCATCAGGTGTGTCGGTTTGCATAAATTTATTTATTTTTAAACGGTGTATTTACTTATTTATAAAAAAACGTTAGCGCCACGCGCAGCGATTTGGCAGTTTATTTAGAAGGACTAGTCCATCTATGTTCTGAAAAGAGGAGGGGGGAGACGAAAAATTTAATGTATGCTGTCTGAAAGCCACTGTAAGCGTGAACAATCAATTAAGACCTGAAATGGTTTATCAAATCTTTCCAATGATTGCTAAGCCAGAATCCATCTTCTCGGTTGAAATTGTCTCTGTGCTTGTATATGTGGATAGCCTCATGAACGAATCTCTCATGGTAGCCAGATGGCTTACAAAGAACCTCTGTCTTGGAAAAGTCAATGTCATGTGAGCCTACTGAATTGAAACGGACTTGGATCTTGTGTTTATTCAAGATTTTGGAGATCTTTTTTGTGATCCCCGCAATGTAGGGTAAAGTGATGGTTTTGAAAGGCTCCTCAAGAGGGTCCTTCTTCATGGTTTGAGTGATAGCTTTGCGGATTGTATAGTCGGAGTAACCATTAGCCTTAAGAGCTTGGTGTACGTGCTTGAGTTCACTGCCTATGTGTTCCTGGTCAGATATGCATTGGGCTCTATGATACAGAGTCTTGATGAGAGAATTCTTCTGTGATGGATGGTGGTGGGAATCCGGTTTCAGATAAGCATCCGTATGGGTAGCTTTCCTGTAGACAGAGTGGCTCATTGAACCATCAGGTCTCTTTTTAATTAGGACATCCAAAAAAGGTAGGTTGCCATCTTTTTCGACTTCCATGGTAATCTGATGGCTGGGTGTATGGAATTGATGTAGTCGAAGAATTGGTCTAGAGCAGGCCGGCCATGTGGCCAGATGACAAAAGTGTCATCCACGTACCTCTTCCATAAGGTTGGGCGCAGAGTGGCAAGCTACCTTTTTTGGATGTCCTAATTAAAAAGAGACCTGATGGTTCAATGAGCCACTCTGTCTACAGGAAAGCTACCCATACGGATTCCCACCACCATCCATCACAGAAGAATTCTCTCATCAAGACTCTGTATCATAAAGCCCAATGCATATCCGACCAGGAACACATAGGCAGTGAACTCAAGCACGTACACCAAGCTCTTAAGGCTAATGGTTACTCCGACTATACAATCCGCAAAGCTATCACTCAAACCATGAAGAAGGACCCTCTTGAGGAGCCTTTCAAAACCATCACTTTACCCTACATTGCGCGGATCACAAAAAAGATCCCAAAATCTTGAATAAACACAAGATCCATGTCCGTTTCAACACATTACATAAACTCCGTGATCTGGTTCCGTCTGTAAAAGATGTGATTCCGGACATACAATACCCTGGTGTCTACAAACTAAGTTGCCTCTGTGGTAGTAGTTACATTGGAGAAACCAAACGCCATGTTCTCGGACCGCATTCGTGAACACAAAGCAGACCTTAAACACGGTAGGACCAACACCTCGGCCGTGGCAGATCATTGTTATAATTCAGTAGGCTCAAATGACATTGACTTTTCCAAGACAGAGGTTCTTTGTAAGCCATCTGGCTACCATGAGAGATTCGTTCATGAGGCTATCCACATATACAAACACAGAGACAATTTCAACCGAGAAGATGGATTCTGGCTTAGCAATCATTAGAAAGATTTGATAAACCATTTCAGGTCTTAATTGATTGTTCACGCTTACAGTGGCTTTCAGACAGCATACATTAAATTTTTCGTCTCCCCCCTCCTCTTTTCAGAACATAGATGGACTAGTCCTTCTAAATAAACTGCCAAATCGCTGCGCGTGTCGCTAACGTTTTTTATAAATAAATAAATACACCGTTTAAAAATAAATACATTTGTGCAAACCGACACACCTGATGACGACCGTTTGTGTTATGGTCGAAACGTGAGAATTTTTATTGTTTTATATATTTTTTATTATTTTATTGTTCCCTTCAACGTGACTTTACCGAAAGAACTAAGAATATGAATTACTGCAGTCACGAAAGCTTTAAATCAAAATTTAGACACATTTTTCTAAAGCATCAGTTCTGCATTAACTACCCATGCTCGTGGCTAAAAATGCACACACACATGCTCTGATCATAATATTTGACGTTTTTATTGCCAGCAAGGGCAAAAAACCTATTCCTTAATTTTGTTCATTAGATAAAACTTGCTCTTCCATCGGCGAGCGGAGCAGTCATTATTAAGCTCCTTTTTGAAGTTCCAAGGACAAATAAAAGTCTCCCGTTGCGTACGCAGCCATCAGAAGCGACCTCCTCCCCTGGCTGCCCGCGCGTGTTATGAACGTGTCGGAGCGTGCGTTTTGTAGCGTGTCGGAGTATGTGTGTGCATGTCGGAGCGTCTGTGTGCATGTCGGAGCGTATCAGAGCGTGTGCGTGCGTGTCGGAGAATGTCGGAGCGTGTGTGTGTGTGGGAGCGTGTGTGTGTATGTCACAGCGTGTGTGTCGGACCGTGTGCGTGCGTGTCGGAGCGTGTCAGAGCGTGTGTGTGCATGTCCGAGCGTGTGTGTGCATGTCGGAGCATATCAAAGCATGTGCGTGCGTGTTGGAGCGTATCAGAGAGTGTGCGTGCGTGTCGCATCGTGTGTGTGTCGGACCGTGTGCGTGCGTGTCGGAGAGTGTCAGAGCATGTGTGTGCATGTCCGAGCGTGTGTGTGCATGTCGGAGCATATCAAAGCGTGTGCGTGCATGTTGGAGCGTATCAGAGCGTGTGCGTGCGTGTCAGAGCGTGTACGTGCGTGTCCGAGCGTGTGTGTGCATGTCGGAGCGTATCAGAGCGTGTGCATGTGTGTCGGAGCATGTGTGTGTCAGAGTGTATATATGTGTCCGAGCCATTCCCTGTACACCTTGGGGTGCGACAGGGATGTCCTCTGGATCCAACATTATTTAACATCTATTTTGACCACGTAGTTCGTGAAGCCTTCAATAGCTGTACCGGGGGAATCTCCATATGGTACAGATATAATGGGAGGCTGATCGATGCCCGGGTGCGGTCAAGGGATGGCTCCCTATTGCTCAACCACGTTATGTATGCCGATTATTTGGTAATAGCTGCTCATTCAGAGGAGGAGTTGGAGACGCTGCTGCTGAGACTGGAGCGTGCCACTAAGAGATGGGGCCTTACCATCAGCCCCAGCAAAACTAAGCACCTGCCTGGGTATTTTGTACCATCGGACACTCCACCCCCACAACTCCCAATCGGTGATGGGGCAGTTGTGGAGAGAGTGGAGAGTTTCCCATACCTGGGCAGTGTGCTCATGACCAGCTCCAGTTTAATAGCAGAGGTCTCACTCCGAATCAGTCGAGCGGCAATATCTTTTCATCGGTTGCGTAACGCTGTGTAGAAGCTACCTGGTCTGTCGCTCCGCACTAAGCTTCAGGTCTTCTCGGCCACGGTCATTCCCTCCCTTCTCTACGCTTGCGAAATGTGGACCCCCCTAATGGAACATCTTCGCCGGTTAGAAACATTTAGGCTGGCCTGCCTACGATCCATCCTGGGTTTAACCAGACTGGATTGTGTGAGGAGCTCACAAATCCTTGAAAGATCTGGGCAAGGTCCCATCGGCGAGCTCCTCCGGCGGGCAAGGCTGTGATGGCTGGGTCATGTAGCCCACATGCCCAGCCACCGCATGCCGAAACAGCTTTTGTTTGGCCGGATCGAGGGGCTAAACGGTGCGCGGCACGGGCTAGAGAAGAGATGGAGTGATGGGGTACAGGAGGACGTGGAGCTGAGTGGACTTGCCGATGACTGGTACCAGCAGTGTCAAGATCGGCCTCTGTGGAGGAGGCTCGTGAAGGACGCTACTGGGCAGTTGGAGGTAGTCGCCCTCCAACAACAACGGAGGGCGGAGGAGCGACGCTCATAACAACGAGTGGAGCACCGGGTGGCTAGGGCACAGCAGGTTGGCACAGTAGGGGGCACAGGTGGTGCATCAGCCAGTCATCTCAGTCAGTCGACCCGTGGCACCTGGGTCTGCCCCGTGACCTCCTGCCAGCGGGCGTTCGACACTTCACGTGGCCTCAAGGTGCACATGGCCTGGCACAAGCGTCGCGGTGACGTCACCGCCACTTAGTGGCGAATGGCGGTTGTTGTTGTTGTGCATGTCCGAGTGTATCAGAACGTGTGCGTGCATGTCGGAGCGTGTGCGTGCGTATGCGAGCGTGTCATGAGTATGTGCATGCGTGTCGGAGCATGTGCGTATCCGAGCGTGTGTGTGCATATCCGAGCATATCAGAGCGTGTTCGTGTCTGAGCATGTGCGTGCGTGTCGGAGCGTATCAGAGCGTGTGCGTGTCGGAGCATGTGCGTGCATGTCGGAGCGTGTGTGTGTTGGAGCGTGTGCGTGCATGTCGGAGCGTGTGCGTGCGTGTGCGGGCGTGTGTGTGCATGTCGGAGCATATCAGAGCGTGTGCGTGGGTGTCGGAGCGTGTCATGAGTATGTGCATGCGTGTCGGAGCATGTGCGTATCCGAGCGTATCAGAGCGTGTGCGTGTCGGAGCATGTGCGTGCATGTCGGAGCGTGTCGGAGTATGCGCGTGCATGTCGGAGCGTGTGTGTGTTGGAGCGTGTGCGTGCGTGTCGGAGAGTGCGTGTCGGAGCGTGTGTGTGCGTGTCGGAGCGTGCGTGCAACCTGTGAGCGGCGTGCAGCTCGGCCATCCTGTCCTGTAGCTCGTGCGTCTGGTTGGGGGCGAGCTGGAAGCGGTCTGCGTAGCCGGCACCGTGCTCCGCCGCGTCGTAGTCCCCCAGCTCGGCCTGCAGGGCGTAGGAGCCCAGTAGGGCGTGCACCACGGGGCAAGCATGGCAGCCGGCCTCTAGCCCGTCCTCGCGCAGCTGCAGGCACAGGTAGTACCTACGCACGTGGCCAGCGGCCAACCGCCATCACGCACACACACACACATTCTCCTTAACACGTAGTAGTAGTTGGGGCTTTTGCGAGATGGCAACTACTACCTGCGCCTGGTATAGAGGTGGTCGTAGGTTCAATCCCGACCCTGACGCCTACTGTATGTTTGGAGTTTGCATGTGCACCCGCGTCGTCATGTTCAATTTTCTCCGGGTCCTCCGGTTTTTTCCCTCTAGATTTAGAAACACGTTTAGATTATTTGGCTGCCATAAATTACCACGTGATAAGCCAATTCATTGGGCTATCAATTTGTGGCCAGGTCGCTCCTGATAAAGCGCTACGTAGCTCAGTGGGCCTTACCTGGTAAAATAAAAATAGAAAAAATGTCAGTTAATATTATCCATAATAAAACCTTTTTTTGATAAGATGGCATACATATAAATGTGTCATTAAACCCGCCACCACCACAATTAGTAAGGTTTGTCACGTGCACAAAACATGCCAATTAGTTACTAGTTCAAAACAACCGGTGTGTTGCAGAGTAAACTCACAACATTTACAATTTGAGTGAACGACGTTTCGCTGGTGATTACAACAACCAGCTTCATCAGGCGATTACCAGAATAGTGATGAAGTCTTCCTGTTTCTGGTATTAAATAGAGATAGAGTAAGGTGATGTCATCACTGTGCACCTATCAACCTTTATTACAATAACCTTCATCTAAAAAAAATACTGATATCATCATTCTAATCATCAGGCAATTGCTAAAAATCTAACCAAAAAAGCAGAATGACAAAATAATCTATTACACAACCTCACAGTTTCACTTGTTTCCCGAGTTGCTGATTTGAAGATTTGAAGGTAGTTTTAAGGGAAGAACGGAACATGCAATTTGTGAAAGTGAAGACAATAGCGCTCTGTGCTGCAGAGGGAGTTGGTTCAGGTGGAGGGGAGTGAGAAAGGGAACAGGAAGGAGAGGCGAGACTGGGCAGAGAGCGAGGGAGGCACAAAGAGGGGCGGTAGAGACTGGGAGCAGAGAGGACAGGGTGGGGCAGAGGAGTGAGAGATGGGGCAAGACCTTGGAGGGATTTATAGACTTCGAGTGAGAAATGTAAACAGACAGCGATAGTAGACAGGGAGCCAGTGGAGTTGGGAGAGTAGAGCAGATGTGTGGGAATTGTGGAGTAGGTAAAAAAATATCCGGACAGTTTTTAAGCAAAGGCCCGAATGTCAAGCGGTCAACAACAAGTAGCACTTTCAAATTTGTCATTGATAAGAGCGTAACATGTGTCTTGACTTGAGCATGGTGGTGAGATGTTAGCTACCTCGCCTGGTATATAGGAGATCGTGGGTTCGATCCCGACCCTGATACCTGCTGTATATTTGGAGTTTGCATCTCTCTCTCTCTCTCCCTGTGGTTGCGTGGATCTTTTTCCGGGTCCTGTTTTTCCCTCCATATTTAGAATCAACATCACACATTTAGAGTAGTTGATTGCTATACATGTCCACGCGATAATCCACTTTGTTGAGATATCATTTGTGGCTAGTTCGCTTCTGAAAAAAGCTATATATCTCATTGGGACTTACCTGATACATTTTTTTATAAGTTTAGTTTGAGTCTGTTATTATAAGAGCATGGGGAAAGAGACGATGGGAAGGAGGAATTCAAAATAGGGCAGGGTGAAGGAAGAAACAGAGAAGCGTTGTGACCTTCAGTGCGGTGGTTGGACAACGTGTGGATGAGATGAAACGCCTTCTATGAGTAGTTAATACGTAATTAAATCTACCACATTTTTGGAAGGCTGAATTTAGATGCACGGTGAATTAGTCGCCTAAATTATCTGAATTCTGATTTGTTTCCAAGCGTTATCACAAGCAACACTAAATAAATACTTGAACTTATAGCTGCCTACGTGCAGGTCGCAATGCAGGCAGGGTCCACACCTGCAGCATTTCGCCACTGGAACAGTGAACCCCATAAATCCGCTCCAGCGTTGGTGGTTAAGATGGCAACAGACCTTGGAAGAACATGGCCACAGCCGTTGATGCCACCACTATACACCTCGCTGCCAACGCTCTCTACCCTCCGCCAGATCCTACAGCTGCTATACAGGAGTGGCGCAGTAGCCTCCCAAGATCTGCTCTCAGTCTCCCACCATCTGCTCTGTTGACTTATCCTCCCCTTGGTCGCCCGACTCGTGGAGACCACGAGTCCGGCCCTCCCCGATTCTGCACACGCCTCCCACCCAACAGCAGCCGTTTTGGCCTAATTACATCGGTGCACACGTCTGACACGCTCTTGTCCCGACCTACATAAGTCATTATAATTGCCCCTTCCAATGAATTACGAGAAATTAATATTGTTAAGTGAATATAATAAGATCCAACCGTGTCCGTCCAGTACTCACCGAGCTGCATTGGCTTTCAGTTTCCGGATGAATACCCTATGAGGTCGTACTCATTACACACAAAGTTCTTGCCACAAATGAACCACAATACCTTGCTGATCTCGTCAAGGAGTACAAACCATCACGCCAACTCTGGTCATCCTCGCAGCAGTGGCTTTTAGCTGGCCATCGACTAAATACGGTCACCACATCGCACGCTTTCAGATATGCTTCCACGGCCGTCTGGAATGCTTTCCCTTCCGATCCTAGGAAGCTACTGGTGCTATGCACTTTTAAATCTAGATTGAGAACTGATTTCTTTAGAACTGCTTTTTGTTTCTAGTTTGTTGTACTTCCCACACACCTCCGATTAGCACGGTTGGCTATGTACGTTGCGAAATAAATTCAACATACATACACACATACACAAAGATATAGTAAACAGTACCTGCTAATGTCTTCAAGGAGATGTGATGGGTCCGGTGGATAAAACTTCACATTGAAGGAAACAAGCCACGGAGAGTCTGAAAAAGTCCCACACAGCCAACATGCAGTAAATCCGTCGCTCAGACGTGGTGCAGTGAAAACCACGTGCATCTCACAGCAACAAGGGCCTGGGTTCAAATCTTGATCTGGGTGCCTTTTTTCTGTGGATTCTGTATGCTTTCCCCCTGTTATGCAAGGGTTTCCTCTGGGTTCTTCAGTTCCCTCCCATAAATACATAAATATTTCGATTTAAAGCTTTCGTGACTGCAATGATTCATCTTCTTTGGTTCTTTCGGTAAAGTCACGTAGAATGAGAATAAAATAATAAATTGATAAAATAAAATAACACAATAATATTCTCACGACGTTTCGGCCACAACACAAGCGGCCTTCATCAGGTGAAGGGACGAGACTGTCTGGTAGGACAGCGCTGTCGTGAGAATATTATTGTGTTATTTTATTTTATCAATTTATTATTTTATTCTCATTCTACGTGACTTTACCGAAAGAACCATAGAAGATGAATACATAAATAGTTTACGATGTAACTGGTATTGGCCAAACATCCCAATGCTGAAACATTGCATGCAAATTACTCAATTGGGATTATATAGAGTAACGTCGGCCCATAATGTGAGGCTTTCCTAGGTAAACAATTGCAATTGGGAGCCGCAGTGGTGAGATGTTAACTACCTCGCCTGGTATACACGAGCTCGTGGGTTCGATCCCGACCCTGGCACCTGTATAATTGGAGTTTGCATGTTCTCCCCATGGTCGGGTGGATTTTTCTCCAGGTACTCTGGATTTTCCCTCCACATTTACAATCAACATGCGTTTAGAGTATTTCACTGCTTCTAGATTTAAAGCTTTCGTGACTGCAAGGATCCATACTCTTTGGTTCTATTCGGTAAATCACGTAACAAACTGCTATATCGGGGAGACGAAACGACATGTCTCTGACCGAATCCGCGAGCACAAATCAGATTTGAAACACGGCAGAACGAATTCTTCTGCCATAGCTGATCACTGTTACAACACTGTGGGTGATCACGATATAATTTTCTCCGATACCAAGGTTCTTTGCAAACCCACGGGTTTTTATCAGAGATTTGTTCACGAGGCAATTCAGATTTACAAACACAGACACAATTTCAACCGAGAGGATGGTTTCAAATTAAGCAACCATTGGAAAGATGTTCTGAATCAAACCAAACATTAAACTAATTTTCAATGGTACAGTATATTTTTTTAAGTAGTGGTATCCCAAACCTTCGCAGCTGCTTAAATTCAACCTTTTCACACCATCAATATGTGGGCTCCCCCCTCTCCCCCTCGCCGGTCTGCACATGCTCCCCCCCAGTACATCGTCCTTCATTCTAAGTCCGCCTATGAAATGCTAATTTTTATGCTAATTCCTTTGTCAGGGCGCTCTGCTTCCTCTCACACAGCTTAGATGTCGCGGTCTGAGCTTGACTGTGTGCACTCCAGCGCTGTCCTCTGGACAGCCTTGTCCCTTTCACTCACTCCACTCACTCCACTCACTCACTCCACTCACTCACTCACTCACTCCACTCACTCCACTCCCTCACTCACTCCACTCACTCACTCCACTCACTCACTCCACTCACTCCACTCACTCACTCCACTCACTCACTCCACTCACTCACTTTACTCCCCCCCCCCGCTGCTAGTCCGTTATGGTCCCCACCCGCTCCTGGTCCATCATGGCCCATACACCTCCTACGTATATCGTGCTCATTTCTATACTAATTCCTTTGTCAAGCGCTTTGCTTCCTCCCACACAGCTTAAAGGACGCGACCTGGGCTTGGCTGTTTTCACTCCAACGCTGTCCTCATGACAGCACGGTCCCTTCACCTGATGAAGGCCACGTGTTGTGGCCGAAACGTCGTGAATTTTTTATTTGTATTTTTTTGGTTTGTTACGTGACTTTACCGAATAGAACCAAAGAGTATTTGACTGCTATAAATTTCCACGTGATAAGCCACTTCGTTGAGCTATCATTTGTGGCCAAGTCGCTTCTGAAAAAGAGACGTATAGCTCAGTGGGCCTTACCTGGTAAAATAAAAATGAGTTTAGCTTAGCAATGTTATTGTAGCGTTTGTCGATTTAGAAAACTGGTCATAAAATATTTTTTAAATGTAATTCTCACCAGTCCCCATGGTTTAAAGTGCAGTCTCCAACTCTTATTATAATTACATTCTCCACTCTGGCCCTATACTGCCTCTCTGATGAAGTGCTGTGCAGAAGTGACGTTTCCTGAAACGTCACTGATAATTACATTTTTTTAAGGCCGCAGTGTTGTTCACGAGTGTGTTGGGGATTACATAAATAATTCGCTGGACTATTGAGATAGGTGATTTGCAAATCATTCCCGTATCTGTAAATGACTACGTGTTAATGATGTTGCTATAACCATTCAATTCTTATTTTTGGTTCTTTCGGTAAAGTCACGTAGAAGGGAAACAATAAAATAATAAAAATATGAAACAATAATTATTGCTTCCCTTCTACGTGACTTTACTGAAAGAACCAAGAATATAAATCCCTGCAGTCACAAAAGCTTTAAATCAACATTCAATTCTTGTTTATAATTTAGCTGCTTAAAATAACTGTAATTTCTATCTATATATAACAAAGTCAAAAATTGTCTGTCGGTTTGTGGCTTTGTATGTGTTCGCGCGCTTGCGAAGGATTTGACTCTCGAACAGTGGAGTTTACGTTAATTAAAAATAGCCAGGTACCGCGCCGTAAGCCCCGCCGTAAGCAAGCGCTATTCCTTTTTCACATCCGTCAACTTTTAATAAGTTTAATTAGCAATTTAGTGCGATTTTTTCGCGCTATCTCTTTATTTATTTATGACGCGTGCACGACCATACCAACTCACGCGCCTTTGGTGGGGGGGATGGCCCATGCCAAGTCGCACGCCTTCGGTGGGAGTGAGGGGGACATTTTCTTTCGTGTTAAAAATGCTTTGAAAATACACTAAACGCTGAGCTTAAATCTTCACTGTGTGATGTCCCCCCACCCTGATGTGTGCAGTTACTAATATATACAGTCGCTAGATGTTACCACTATAGACCGTAGATATTACTGCAGAGCGGCCAGGGAGATCATGGCTGGGGAGCGGGGGATCAGGGGTAGCAGCCCAGCCCCAGCCACCTCGGCCGGCTGGACAATATAGGCGAGGCGGGAGGCTCTGCACGGGACTAGGCCTCACCACGCCACTCTGTCAGGTGAGTACTTTGTGCTATAGAGTCGATAAATACTGCTATAGAGTCAGCATGTACTACTGTAGTGATAGCAGGTACCACCACAGTCGGTATGCAACGCCGGGTATATAAGCTAGTTTCATATAAAAGTTTGATGCGAACATTGATATTTAACATAAGACTAGAGTGTAAATAGTCGAAAAAATGTAGAGCAAATAAATAATGAACACATTTCAATTGTGTAAAAAAACATTTTAATTTTAAGTTGAGCCTACAGTGATTCCTCTGCAGAGCTTACAATGAATGAATATTGCACACTTGTGATAACCTAGGTTATGAGAGCTACGTGTTTATACATTTGAGATACAAAGTGTGACACGTGCCATACTTACGCATCAGCTGTTTCTTAATTTCTTTAATGGGATCCAGCCAATTCTGAAAGAAAAAAAAGACGTGAAAATGTGAAATCCATAGAGACAGAATACTAACTTTCAACACCGTGAATGTAATTATTGCCCTGGTTTGCGAACTGTTAGATTTTTTCTGACAGATTTCCAACCAAGCACCCTAAACACATCATCTGCACATGCGCAGATCATGTGATTGTCACTGTGTGGTGCCGGGCTTACAAAGCCATGGCAGATAATGTGTTGTCATTATGGGCAGCCCGGTTACGGGGTGTAGTACCAGCCCTAGCGGGGCTTGGGTGAGCGCTGGTCAGCGCGGAGGCACCGCAAGCAGTGTGTGGTGCAGGCTCCCGGTGAGGGAGCGAGAGGGAGCGTCAGCCAGCCAGGGTTACATTGGGGCATGATACGCTGGTTGACCTGCTGACACATGACCGGATGATATTGGAGGAGGGCCACCGGTGGACGGGGGCCGCTGGGAAGTCACGTGGTCTAAAAAAGCTCCCTGGAACCTTCAAGAAAGAGCTCGAGAGATCTGGAAGGTGGGCGGGGCGAAGGGCGGAGCCAGCTCCAGCCCAGGGGCATATAACAAGGGCCCCGTGAGGAGCTCGACGTTCTTCGTGTGCTGGTGTTACGAAGATCCACGTCGGGGAGAAGAAGCCTCTAGCCACGCGGTCCAGGACCCAGCTTGTGGTCCGGGCCGGGATAGCGAACCGTGTCTAGTACTGCCGTAGCGTGGTTACATGGGCATTCGAGACCCGAGTGTAGATTGTGTAATGTTGTGTTCAGTTACGGAATAGTGTTGCTCCCAAGATAACGTCTGCGACTCAGTTGGACTCACTACACATGTAGTGAACGCAGCACAAATGAGAAAATAAAAAAAAATTCCTCGTGAAAATTCATTATTCTTTGAGTTAATGGTCTCCGAGTGAGGCTCATGGCGAGCTGTTCCTCTGTACTTGGTGGTATTCTCACGCATTGCTCAATGCAAGTGGGGGTTTCACAACACGAAAGAGTTCCCGGCGCTGAGCAGCCCTCAACGACAACATAATGCAGCTTCGGTGATCTGCGCTGAAAATAAATCGCGTTTCTCTTCTCCTAACCATGAATGGAACCACATCCACGTCCATCGCGAGTCGCGGCCACGGAGACCCATCAAGCATGACACTTCACACTGGGAGATATGGCAGTATAGTCTCGTTTTCCTATAATGCGGCAATAGTAGTTGTTGCGTTCCTGAAGAACACCGCGTTGCGGAAAAATCGCCTTATCATAAATTATATATAATTTAGGGTATAAATCACAGTCCGCGATAACACGTGAGATGTGTTCACAGGCTGAACAGAGACTGAGGCATGTGGGTAGCATCTAGAAGCATCCAACATCATCCTACCTTGTGTGATGCTACACCGAGGCAACCGTACGACTGCTTATTCCTACTCGTGCGACGTAGTACCGTTCGCTGGCTCGCGTAATATCCAATTCGCATCCACGTTATAAAAAAAGTGTTCCCTAATACATTTATCGCGTTAGATCTAATTCGCGCGATTTAAACAACGCAGTGTTATAGGAGAGCACACTGTAATTTTTAATGCACTCCGATCATAATTCTCGCGCAGCTATGAAGCGATGGTCTGCTTCAAGTTTCACGGTGGATCGAATTCCCTCACACGCTTCTGCGAGCTTCACGGTCATCGTGGTTGTCTCAACTTCGGCGTGACAAGAAGGAGGATCAAGACATCACCCCGCTCAAAGAGCCACTGACGCCACCACACCTCGCCAAACGCGTTCATGCCAAAGACGCCGCGAGCCTGCCGGCTGCCTCCGCGCAGCGCCAAAGGGAAGGTGGAAGCGAGGCGAATGTGTGCACATGTAAAAAACCGCCGCCGTCACCTTCTGATCCGAGGCGTCCTTGTAGGTGAGGGAAAAATAGTCCCTCTCCAGAAGGTTGAGATGCTCACACACCCTGTGGAATAGCTCGTGTCCTTTCGCATGTCTCTGCGAAGAGGAGAAATACAGCATAAAATACTGTACGCGTACCATAAATCACCATGACATACGCATCACCATGTCATACACGTACCAGCAACAACCAAGACTCCATACTCTTTGGTTCTATTCAGTAAAGTCACGTAGGTAAAAAATAAAACAAAAATCACGACGTTTCGGCCACGACACAAGTAGCCTTCATCAGGTGACGAAACAGGACTGTCCAGAAGACAGCGTTGGAGTGAACACTGCCAAGCATGGGCCGCGTCTTTTAAACTGTGTGGGAGGAACAAAGCGCCTTGACAAAGGAGTTAACATTTTAATTAGCATGTAACTGGGGGATTGGACATGCTAATTTATATGTTAACTCCTTTGTCAAGGCGCTCTGTTCCTCCCACACAGCTTAAAAGACACGGCCATGCTTGGCAGTGTTCATTCAAGCGCTGTCTTCTGAACAGTCCTGTTTCATCACCTGATGAAAGCTATTTGTGTTGTGGCCGAAACGTCGTGATTTTTGTTGTTTTATTTTTTACCTACGTGACTTTACCGAATAGAACCAAAGAGTATGGATCCTTGCGGTCACGAAAGCCTCAAATTTAGAATTAATAACCAAGACATACGTGTGTAGTGACATCGCGGGATATCATTGTTTGGTACCAGCCCTACAGAGGCATGGCGTGCGGTGTATTGACATTGCGGATACCACTATGGTGTGGGTGTAGTATCGGTCCTAGAGGGGCTCGGTCAGCGCTGATTGATAGCGCTGGATGGTATCATGCTTGGCGTGCAGTGCCAGCCTTACAGGATAGGGTGATGGGAGTGCCGGCCGTAGGAATGAGGTTACTAAAGGCCATGGCACTCTGGTTGATCCGAGAGGACACGTGACCAGTTAAGTCTACAAAGGGACCCCGAGTGGGGGCTAGGGGTGTTCACGTGGTTGCGGTCCAGATCCTGCTCTAGGATTCTGGAAGGTGGTCATGGCCAAGGGCGGAGGCAGCCATGCCGTAGAGAATATAAGCCATGCCGTAGAGAATATAAGCCGGGTCCCCCAGAGGGGCTGGCGTTGTTGTTCATCCTGAGGAAACCTTCGTATACATTATACGTTTTACCGAGTCTCCAACACTTGGATCTGTGGTCTGGTCCGTAGTAGCTAGTTACGTAATAAGTGTAGTTAGCCTGATGGTCACCACCATAGGTTGTTATTATGTGAAGGGGCAGTTACCCTGTGTGTTTAGTGTTAAATAACGTGTTGCCTCCAAGAGTACGTCTGCGACTCAGTTGAACTCACTACACGTGTACCAGCAATCACCATGACATACGCATACCAGCAATCACCAAGACATACACGTACCAGCAATCACCAAGACATACGCGCACAAGCAATCACCATGACATACGCGTACCAGCAATCACCATCACCATCATAAGTGTACCATGACCATCACATATGTGTACCAGCAATCACCATCACCATCACATACGTGTACCATCAATCACCATGACATACGTGTGACATCAATCACCATCACATACACGTATCATCAATCTCCACATACCGTACCATCACCATCACATACCATACTATCACCATCACATACGCGTACCACCAATCATCATCACCATCACATACGCGTACCATCACCATGATATACCTGTACCATTAATCACCAGCACATACGTGTACCATCACATACACGTACCATCAATCACCATCACATACGTGTACCATCAATCACCATCACATAAAGCGACCGGTTTATTAAAAATATTAACGGGTTATTTTTGTTTTATTGTCACTTAGAGGAAAGGAAAATTTTTCATTTTAGTGGACTGGTCTTTTTCATGGAATATCGAGGCTTACAATAGTCCAGGTGGGTTTGGGTTGGGTAGTGGGTGATTTGTGGGGAGCGGTAGTGAAGTGGTTAGCGCTACACTGTGCTACGAACCCGGTGACCCGAGTTCGATTCCCGCTCACGGCCAACACCAGTGATGATTATTTGAACAGGTCTTGGACCTCCCCTAGGTCGACTCAGCCTCAAATGAGTACCTGGTGCGGTGTGTAAACATCACCACTGGAGAGACAAAGGCGGCTGGGCGTGGTGTTGGCACACTCACCCCCTTGTGTGCTGTACCGGTCTTCATAGGTGCTACTTGCTAACAGAACTTGCCCCAACAGTCTGTTCAGGCTACGCAGGGGATCTTTGTAGTCGGTGACTAAAAGCACTGTCTGAAGTGTCACACAAAATAATCTACGAGTGTCATTGTGGAAAATATAGTCACAAATCAAGATTGTAAATGTATATTCTTAGTTTTTTCGGTAAAGTCACGTTGAAGGCAAACAACAAAATAATAAAATATATATAAAACAATAAAAAAATTCTCACGACGTTTCGACCATAACTCAAACGGTCATCTTCAGGTGTGTTGGTTTGCATAAATTTATTTTTAAACGGCGCATTTATTTATTTATAAAAAAAACGTTAGCGCCACGCGCAACGATTTGGCAGTTTATTTAGGACTAGTCCATCTATATTCTGAAAAGAGGAGGGGGGAGACGAAATTTGTTATAATGTATGCTGTCTGAAAGCCACTGTAAGCGTGAACAATCAATTAAGACCTGAAATGGTTTATCAAATCTTTCCAATGATTGCCAAGATAGAATCCATCTTCTCGGTTAAAATTGTCTCTGTGCTTGTATATGTGGATAGCCTCATGAACGAATCTCTCATGGAAGCCAGATGGCTTACAAAGAACCTCTGTCTTGGAAAAGTCAATGGAATGTGAGCCTACTGAATTAGAACAGTGATCTGCCACGGCCGAGGTGTTGGTCCTACCGTGTTTAAGGTCTGCTTTGTGTTCACGAATGCGGTCCGAGACATGGCGTTTGGTTTCTCCAATGTAACTACTACCACAGAGGCAACTTAGTTTGTAGACACCAGGGTATTGTATGTCCGGAATCACATATTTTACAGACGGAACCAGATCACGGATTTTATGTAATGTGTTGAAACGGACTTGAATCTTGTGTTTATTCAAGATTTTGGAGATCTTTTTTGTGATCCCCGCAATGTAGGGTAAAGTGATGGTTTTGAAAGGCTCCTCAAGAGTGTTCTTCTTCATGGATTTACACTGACCTCTGCTGCTGTAACTTCTTCTAATGCGAAACGAATTCTTTTCAAAACTAGCTTAGCTCTTATCTCAGAAAAAATCAGACTTATACGCACTGAACTAGATCAGTTAGACAAGACACTCTACAAATCACACTTATCATTGACGGCAACAATGTCCACATCGGATTGGGAACATGTAGACAATATGACTGCCTCTTTAGCTGCTACTATGTCGACCAAATATAAGGAAAACCTGATTTCCAAATTTAACCTCCTCTTCAACAAAAGACCGGACCCACACACCAAAAAGTTAGACGTTAATAAAGTCGTAATTAATCGCAGTAACAGTTCTATTTCCGATGGTCTGAAATCCGTTTAGCTAAAGGTCTAAAACTTTGCAGTCACACCTAAACACATACCAGTTAATGATATAATTGCCCAAGTAGACGTTGCTCTCAGGGGCCTGGGTCACATCGCTGCAGACGTAGCAAGATCTGAAATCGCTGCAACCCTCAAAAACGCTAAGATGCCAGCTAGCAACCTCAGCAAAGATGAGCGTTTTGAATTATATAAATTAAAAAGAGGAATGATATTGTAGTCCTCTCAGCTGACAAAGGCAATGCTACTGTCATCATGGATAAAATAGAATACAACAACAAAATTAAAGAATTACTCGACGATGGTAGTTATACAAAAATAAAAAGAGATCCACCAACAGCCTCGTCACACAAACCAACAAAATAATTTCTGATTCAACCGCATTAATTGATCAATCTAAACAGTTTTCGTTGAAACCTTCTGCTGCCAGGCCACCAAGATTATACGGCTTACCAAAAATACATAAAGTAGATACACCCCTTCGTCCCATAGTCTCTACTATCGGCTCCCCCACCTACAAACTAGCTCGTTTTTTGTCTGAAATCCTGCGTCCTTTCACTGGAAAGACCACCTCTGCGGTACAAAATTCTACTCACCTGGTATCGACAATCAAGGGTATTTCCCTGTCCCCAGACGACCTGCTTGTCAGTTTTGATGTAGTTTCCTTATTCACCAAGGTTCCTGTACCTGACACCATTGCAATAATTGAAGACTTAGTTCATCAAGGACTAAACACTGAGGTACCCCCCCTGGTGAGACACTGTTTAACCAATACATACTTCACTTGGAATGGAACTTTCTACAAACAAACTGAGGGCACCCCAATGGGCTCCCCCCTTTCTCCAGTTATAGCTAACATTTTCATGGAGAAATTTGAGACTGACGCCATCCAGACTGCCACTCTGCGCCCAACCTTATGGAAGAGGTACGTGGATGACACTTTTGTCATCTGGCCACATGGCCGGCCTGCTCTAGACCAATTCTTCGACCACATCAATTCCATACACCCAGCCATCAGATTTACCATGGAAGTCGAAATAGATGGCAAGATACCTTTTTTGGATGTCCTAATTAAAAAGAGACCTGATGGTTCAATGAGCCACTCTGTCTACAGGAAAGCTACCCATACGGATGCTTATCTGAAACCGGATTCCCACCACCATCCATCACAGAAGAATTCTCTCATCAAGACTCTGTATCATAGAGCCCAATGCATATCCGACCAGGAACACATAAGCAGTGAACTCAAGCACGTACACCAAGCTCTTAGGGCTAATGGTTACTCCGACTATACAATCCGCAAAGCTATCACTCAAACCATGAAGAAAAACCCTCTTGAGGAGCCTTTCAAAACCATCACTTTACCCTACATTGCTGGGATCACAAAAAAGATCTCCAAAATCTTGAATAAACACAAGATCCAGGTCCGTTTCAACACATTACATAAAATCCGTGATCTGGTTCCGTCTGTAAAAGATGTGATTCGGACATACAATACCCTGGTGTCTACAAACTAAGTTG